CTATCTAATTCCAGAACATTTTCATCACCCCAAAAGGAGACCTGGTACCTATTAAGTGTCATTCCTCATCCTTTCCCCCACCTCCAGTCCCCAGCAACCACGAAGAGACTTTCCCAACCACAAATCTCTAGGGACTGGTCTGTTCTGGACATTTCACATAAATGGAATCATGTACTGTCTGGCTTCTCTCACTGAGCATGACGTGTTCAAGGTTTGTCCACATTATAGACGTGTCGGCGCTTCCCTCCTTTTCGTGGGTGCATAATATTCCGCGGTGCGGATGGACCACAAAATTAACTCCAAATAGATCCAAGACTTAACTAAAAGAGCTAAAAATGACAAGACTCTTACATTGGGGCAAATCTTCACGATGTGGGATTTGGCAGTGATTTCTTAGATATGGCACCAAAGACACAAGCAATAAAAGAAAAATAGATAAACTGTACCAAAAACAAAAACTCGTGTGTATCAAAGGACACTATCAAGAGTGAAAAGACAGCACCCAGCACGGGAGGAAATATTTGCAAAGCCCCGACGTGTTAACGTTTCTGAACTCTGGATGCACGTTACAACACCCGTCAGCCAGGTGGCAGTCACAACCTAGCTGTGTGGAAACTTTCTTTTGACACACACCTTCCGGCAAGATAGGGAAAGTGCGGGCGAGTTGCCTGAACAATTCATGGAATGTTCACCATCCTCATTATCGCAGTTTTTCCAGTTTGTCTCTTGTTTCAGAAAGCTCCATCAAAAGGCTCCCGCTGAGCTCCAAGTAAATTCCAATCTACCTTCTTCGGGATCCTCACTAGCTTAGGGCTGCGATGGAGTCACATAAACAAGGCAAGCCTAAGTGAGCTCTTCTCCTGTCTCCAAATACCCGCTCATTTTCTGGAGGAATCTTTTGGGGGCCAATCATTTGCTTGTAAATACGTCTGCTCGAGAACCCTGAGTTCCTTTTGTGCACCAGGTTTCCCTGTGACCTGATGTCTTTCTCCATTTCCAATCTATCCAGGCACCCTATCTGCAGATGAGCCCGTCCCTAATGATGGGGACCCCTACGACCACTGCTTCCATCCACACAACGTCTTTTTTATTCATGCGTTGTAGGTTGAATGGTTCTCCCCTCAAAAAAGCGTGTGTGGAAGTCCTCACCTCCAGTACCTATGCCCGTGACCTGACTTGAACCTTACAGGATCTTGAAATACTGGAGTAGAGGGGTCCCTAAGTCCTACGACGGGTGTCCTTTTGGAAGAGGAGGCAGAGACACATACAGAGGGATGATATTTATGTGAAGACGGAAGCAAAGACTGGAGTGATGTCCACAAGCCAAGCAAAGGTAAGGACTGTCCACTGCCACCAGACACTGGAATATGCAAGGACGGGTTCCCCCCTTAGAGCCTCTAGAAGATTCCAACCCTACTGACCCCTTGATTGCAGACGTCTAGCCTCCAGAACCGAAAGGCAATAATTTTTGGTTGTCTTAGGCCACCCACTTTGAGGCATTTTGTTCCACCAGCCCAGGCGATGTTTTCTCACACTCCGCCGGCGTCCGCTGGGTACCACAGCAGCTTCTGCAGTCGAGTGAGGATGCGGGAAGCCAGCTGCCCCATCGCCTCCTCCTGGCACCTCCCGACTCCCTCCTTTAGCTTGAGCAGCCGTGTCTGCCCAGCCCACGATTCCCGTAGATTCCTGGTTATCACACCCCGTCTAAGAATGCCCGAATGAATCCATTTTAAAGATTTGACTTTACAAAAGTGATGGGAGTTTGATGGAGCTGAAGAAGCCGACAAGGGAGAGGCATCAATGGACACAGATAAGGACAGACCCCCGGAAAAGTCTGCTCGCTCTCTCTAGGAAAAGGACCTGGAAAGACACAGCCTCACAAGATGGGAAACATTGAGACAAAGACTGCGTTACCTGAGCCAACCACCATAGAAAAGCCGACGGGCCGGCCGGGGGAGGATAGCATTTGTCTGCAAAGGAGCAAGAAGGAACATTCTGGGGAGATGAGAACGTTCCAGATCTCGTTTGTGGTGGTGGTTATGTAAGTGGATGCATTGATTGAATCTTACCGAACTATGGGCTTAAAATGGGTACATTTTATGGTATATGTTGCATATTTATTGTATACATTTACTGTGTATATTGTGTATTTATCGTATACAAACTATCCTTCAATAAAATCGATTTAAAAATAAGCACAACCAGAAGGACCCACAACTAGAATTTACAACTATGTACTGGGGGACTTTGGGGAGAAGAAGAAGAAGAAGAAAAAAACATATATTAAATAAAATTAAAATAAGACTCCGAGCATCCTTAAACGAAGAAAACCTGTTTAATTGGGTTTCTCAAGCTTACTAGAGAATATACACATCTATATAAAATATTCTACTTACTGGAGAATAGATACAAATAAAATGTATATATAATACATATCATGTATTCTTATGCGTATGAGATATATATATAAATAAAAACGTTAGCTGATTAAACTGTTACCTATAATCAGTTTTCAGAAAGTCCCAACCTATAGGGTGACACGTGACAACTGTCAGATTTCATTAGGTTTAAGAAGTCCCAAATTGAAGAAGTTGGTTGCAATATATGATTCTTCTCTTACTATGGCTTTTTTCCTCCCCAAATCAAAAAGTTCGATCAACGTACACAAAAACTTCATTTTTCCCCTTATTGGACGTAAAAGTTCAAAAAAGTCTCCCCAGAGCCATCTAAGAAGTAGAGCTATTTAATGCTACAAATGTCACTATAAAAATTAGCTATGGATATAAACTACTGTGTGTATATATACGTGTGTGTATATATGTGTATGCGTGTGCATATGTATACATGTGTGTATGGATACATATGTATATGTGCACATATGTACATGTGTGTGCCTGTTTATAGATTTGCATGTATGTGTACGGTATGTATATGCGTGTGCACACGTGTGAGTGTGTGTATACACTCCTGGGAAAAGCACGCTGCAGGACAAAGTTGAACCAGGTTTTAGCGCCATTACCCAGCTGTTCGCAAGCCCGGCTGGGCACAACAGACTAGAAAGATTTTCTTAAAAAGCAGCGTCTTGAGGCCGACCCTCAATCTCCCAGTTCAGAAAAGCTGGGAGGGAGAGTTGAAACCTCTGATTTAAAAAAGTGCGTCAGGCAAGGCAGGTGCAGAGCCAAGCTGGAGAAACCCCAATTTCAAGTTTCCTACAGCCAGGGGTACAGATCCCATTTTTTTAAAAAAGTCACAGAATGCATCTCTATGAGGTGTCCTTTCTGGTTTCTAACCGGGATGGCTCAGCGGACTTCTCCTCTTCCCAATTTCCTGCTGAAAAAGACAGGAATGGGAACTTATCTGGATGAAACTCCAGGGTTTGACCTGACAGCTGTCAGTCTTCCTGTTTTTTCAGTGTAATGAGCTTGGGTCCCTTCTCCTCTCCTCTGATGATACCTTTCACTCCATTTTTTGAAGCTGCCATTAATAGGATTGAAGCACTTTTTTCTCTTAAGATTTATGATAAGTTTAAGAAACATATAGTTATTTAAAACCAGAAGCAAACACGTCCGGTATCCTCTCACAGCTTCACAAAGGGACGGCGGCTTAAAATCCCAAACAGATTAGAAGGGTCCATAATTAAAAGATTAAACATTAAGGGCAAAATTTTACTAAGACCTGTTGTCCTAGGTTCAAAAGAGATGTTGGTGGTTGAGATGAGAAGCACCTTTTTATAGATTATTTTTAAAATAACCAACATACACAAGACATTTGCTCCTGTGAACAAACCATCGATTTTACCCTGATGGGCATGTATGCTTTTCTCTTCATAACCTCCAAGCTGAAGTCACTATTTCAGGAACGCGTATTTCCAGATTGTCTTCTTGTGCGTGACCTCTAGGAAACTTTCACATTATCCGTGAAAACGTCCGCCTGTGAAAGGAAAAGGGAAGGTGGTGGCCCGCTGGAGAAAGTGAATTCTTATCCGCAAGGAGTCATTCCCTTTAAACAAGGTAGGAGGGATTTAATAAATGTGCAATAGAAGAAGCAGGAAGAGGAGGAGGCAGCGACATTCAGTAACGTGTAGAACCATTTTTGGTCATCACAATTTGGAGCATCTGGCGGGTGGAGCCCAGGGATGCTGCTCAACACCCTACATTGCCCGGACGCCCCTCCAGTAAAGAACTACCTGACCCCAAATATCAACAGGGCCGCGGCAGAGAACGCCGTCTGACCACCGAATGGAGAAAGTTAGGACGAACTTCAGGCAACCTGGGAGTTTTGACTTGGATCCTGGAGACTCGTCTCCTTGGGTTGAAGTGGTGCAAAAAAAAACAACTACAAGAGTTTTGACCGCCTTTGCGCATCAGCAATGCCATTTAGTCAACCCGGCACAGAGCGGTCTGCGTGCCCAAGTAAAGGATGCCCGTGGTGACTACTTTCCATTTGTCAAATTCATAAAGAATTTTTGCAGCTGTGTAGGCAGAAGATGGTTATTTGGCAAGCGGGAGTCTCCCGTCGAAACTCTACAGTGTTCAGGTCATAGGGACCAAAAATGCACGGCGACCGTCTTTACGGGATTCAACACCCAGAAGTGTGCCCCAAGTTCTTAATTGGAAAAGTCTTTGAAAAGAGTCGTTTTTTACGTGTGATCATGCCTGCAACACATATTCTGCTACCCTATGAAAAAAAAAATTGTGCTCCCTAAAGAATAGAAAAGAAAAAAGTTGGCATAAAGCCGGAAAGGGGTGCACGTGGTCGATCACATCGTTAGGCGGTTAAGCAGTTCCAGCCCGACAGATTCAGACTATTTCAATAGTCAGAGCTGTTTTCTGTCTTCTCTCCGCTCCCGGGGCAGACGCCAGAGGGGGAAAAACAAAACTAGGGAATTTAAAGAGTGTTCGGAGGAATTTTCAAGTCAATTGCTTTCCCAGTTTGGGGCAAAGCCAGCAAACAGCCCCTGAGAGTTGACCCACAGCCAGGAGGGTTTCATTCGACTGGTGAATGAGTGTCACTGTTTCCAGCTGTCTGGCATCCTTCTGCGAGTGTTACAGTTTGTAAATCAGAACAGAAGGGCTTCTGTGGAAACCTGGAACATGACAGACAGCGGGACACCTGGGGATTTCCCCGTCCAATCTCTCTGGACAACCTAACTTGAAGCCTTGCCGTTGCTTTGAAGAGTGAATCAGCTACGCACATGCGTGGACCGGACCAGAGGTCTGCAATCCAGGAGCCAGGGAGGGCCTCTCCTGGCAAGAAGACCTTCCCTCGGAGAACCAGCCGTGCTCGCTGGCCGGCAGCCCCGAGGGCACCCCCATTCAGGTAACCGGCTTTCCTTGGGTCCCCAGCAAGGCGGTTCCCACGTGTCCAGGGATGCCTGGCAGCTGTGCTAAAGAACATGCTGCTGCCTGGCACACTGGCTCATCTGGAAACATTTTAGAAGCAATCTCCTTAAAGACGATAAGCAACCATAGCCATGACAGATTGGGACCGGGGGAAATTTCTGAAAGGAATGCAGAATCAAGTCAACTAGAAAACGTTTACGGAGGGGCAAGACGTAATGATGCTAGACGCTAAGAGACTGGCGGGCATGTGGAAGTTGAAGAGATGCTGGATGTTAAAAAGTAAATGGGGGCTGGGAGCAGGGCCCCAGGGCACTGGCAAAGGCCGGCTTCCTGCTCCGAGGTCTGGAGGACAGCCCGGGACCAGGCATTGCAAATCCCTTCACTGGAAGAGAATTGAAGGCTAAATTATGGGTTACATTTCACCAAAGAGCTTTTCTTTCTCTTTTTCTGTCTCTTTCTCTCTTTTTTTTTTTTGTTTGTTGAGATATAATTGACAGATCTCATTGTGTATCTTTGACGTGCAGAAGGTGTGCATTTGATACATTTATAGGTTGCAAAATGGTCACGACAGTAGCATTTTCTGACACCTTCTTTACGTCGAAGAATTACCATTATTTTTTCCTGTGTATGGGGAACAATGAAGATCTAGTCTCTTAGCAACTCTGAAGTTGATAACACAATATTGTTGACTATATGTGCATTCACTCTCCAGAACTTATTCAAGTACTAGTTGCAAATTTGTATCCTTAAAGATAATCTCCCCAATTCCTCCACGCCCCTGGGCACACGGCCAGCCGGAGCCCGTCTGCGTGCTTCCTCAGGGAACAGCTCAGATAGGACAGGGTGAGGCTCACAGGAAGGCTGGATACACCCAGCTCTGAAACCCACCCAAAACGGATGCCAACATCGCATCCAACAACTGGTAAGCAGAGTTTCCTGGTCACCCCGAGGGCCATGCCAGGTCAACAGTCACAGATCCTCAGAAGTCCAAAGCTGGCTTCCCTCACGTCTTTGTGGTTCTGTCAACACACAGACAGGGTGCCAGGCATAGGCATTTTTATCACACAGCGTCATCCAGCCATGCTGACATTCCACCTTCAATGGGTTTCCAGGGAAACAGAACCAGAAAGTTAACCTGAGGTCAAGTTCCTGCAGAAAGCGAAAGGATTTGCACTCGTCTGTAGAAAGCAATTTGCATCACCAGATCATTGTGTAGACCAGTAAACCGACATATCGTTCCCCCTCCTATTATGGTTTTACACGGTTGACAGCATACCACACACCCTCCCTACACTCTTACTGCTTTCACTTAAAATATGTTAGATATAACAAAATGTGGTCCACCCATACAATGGAATTTGATTCCGTCTTGAAAAGGAAGGAGATTCTGGCACATGCTACAACATGCATGAACCTTCAGGACATGAGGTTCGGTGAAATAATCCAGTCACAGAAGGACAAATACTGTGTGGTTTCACTTCTATGAGGTCCCTAGAGGAGTCAAATCCATAGAGACAGAAAGTAGGTGGTGGTGCCAGGGGCTGGGGGAGGCGGATGGGGAGGTAGTGTTTCACGTGGAAAGTTTCCGTTTTGGAAGATGAAAAGAGTTCTGGAGATGGATGGTGGGGATGGGTGTACAACAATGGGAATGTCCTTAACGTCACTGAACGGTGCCTTTGAAAAAATGGTTATGATGGTCAATGTTTTTATGCATTGTCCAAATTAAAAACAAATATATATATATATCGCAGATCATTTCTTATCAATATTCTTATCACTTCATGAGGCATTTTCTTTCCTTGGCACTCCTGCTTTCTATATCAGGCATCAGAAATCTACAGTCCACGGGCAAACTCCACCTATTCTTATAAATAAAGTTTTACAGGAAGACAGCAACACTCAGTCATTTGTGTGCTGCCTGTGGATGCTTTTCAGCAACAAGAGTGGAAAGAACCATCTTGGTGGAAAAATCCAAAATCTTTATCATTTGGGCCCTTGACGGACCCACGTTCTACGTCCTTAACACCGTGTCCAGCATTTTTAAAGCCTTTTCAATAGGGAAGAACACTCTTTGAAGAGGTTTTAGCAGTTGTGTTAAAGTTTTATCAACAGCCTCAGAGAGAATCAAAGTTTCCCGATTGCATTTATTACATTAGCTCATTGTCTGCTGCCTATGTTATTACGGACCCCTTTATTTCTTGCAGGAAATAAAAAGAGAGAACATGTTACATCGGGAACCCTGTCGGTAAGATAGGATCACGCAGGGTGATTCATCTTCACTTCGGCCTCTGCATTTCTTCATGTCACCTTCTCAGGATGCACTGATAACAAAGTGGTCTTGCTCAATTCATAACTGATCATGCATCTGGGGGCCCGAGTGTGGAATTCGTGATTAATATAAGTTTTCCATGCTCCCCTATCGGGGGGGGGCGGGTCTCAGGAAGCTTCAAAAAGAATTGCCTTACACTCTTCCCAGGTGGGCATCAAGCCTTGCCGTTGGCTACGTGTCTGGTTTTCCAGAGATGCTATATTGCAAATCTTCTTCTTCAGATCACGCCTTTATTTCATGACCCTGGGGAGTGGAACAGTATTGCCCTGCTGTTCACGCACACGCCCAGGGTCGCATCCGTAAGAGTATGAGCTCTTTTTAACTGAGAAGAAAACCCCAAATGCCTAAGAGATGTACTCAAATTCTTGTGAAGTAGGATGATAATATCAAAGACCCCCCAAAATAGTGACGCCACCTTCCCACTTCCAGAAGTAGTGTAAATGAAATAGAAAGTAGCATTCAGATTCAGCTTTCTTTGGTAGCTTGTCTTTCAGGAGCTGGCTGGCTGTGACAGTCGGTGTGCTCCTGGGTTGGAAGCCCTCGGCTTGCAGCGACTTACCCGGCTCCCGTCCCAACATCCTTCTTCTGATGGCGGACGATCTTGGCGTTGGAGACGTCGGTTGCTACGGCAACACCACCATCAGGCAAGGAACAGAGATTGTCCATCGGGTACCCCGACGCATAGACCATGATAATTCACCTAACCCTTGATGTGTGCAATCCGAACTTTAAGAGAATTCTGCATACATTTCTGTCAACATCCCCTAATCCTACCGTCTTCTCACACCAGCACTAACCCCGACTCAAATTCATCTCACGTATGACCAATCATTTCACTTTTAAATTTGATTTCCATCAGCACGATCCATGATGGACAACATTTTAAAACTCATTGCCGTCGCCTCTAAGCCAGAGACCAAAGCTTACCTCACTCTCCGGCCTTCGTCCATCAAGCCGAGTGCCCACTCACACATGCTCTGCTGTAGACAGACAATTCCACGTCCTCTTCATCCCAACACGTGACACACCCATCAGTCATTGCTGGTCCGTCTGTCTGAGAATGATGTCACCCCATCAGCTGGGTCACATTCGAATTGTCCATGGAGACCCAGCTCAGGTGCCCCCATGAAGCTAGGTGTGAGTTCCACCCTCGTGTACGACCTACAACGCGTTGGTGCCATGAGGTCAAATCTTCCAGCCAAACACTGGGAGTCCCAAGTAAGAAGGCACCCTGGACCCTCAATTCTGGATTTCCCATGATGCCCATCTCAGTACTGGTAGTGCATTGTGCAGAAACTCAGTAGATAATGTTGAACCGAGTTGATGTTTCTCTGACGGTTCAGAAGACATCTGAAGTACTTGCCATTGCCTTTTGGTCATTCCTAAGAACACCTTGACGTATGAAACGATGCCCGGCAGATTTTCTATTAAATAGCATGTAGCTACGCTTCTGGGGGAGCCTGCGTGTTTGTTTGCTAAGAGATAAAACTGTTCGTGTCTCCCTCTGCAGGACTCCAAATATCGACCGCCTCGCAAAGGATGGTGTGATGCTCACCCAGCACATCGCTGCGGCGTCCGTGTGCACCCCAAGCAGAGCTGCCTTCCTAACAGGCAGATACCCTGTCCGATCAGGTTTGTCCTTCCTCAGATCTAACCATGGGCCTCGAGAGGACCTTGCTCCCTTTAACTCCTGCAGTACAACTATTAAAGTCTGGCTCCTCCAGCACGGTGGGAAGGAAACTGTTCAATTCCCCCATATTTTTATCATCAGATTAGAATCTGTAGGAGCTATAGAGCCTCACAGATTGTGGGGTGACACAGGCAGGGACTGGCCCGTTTGCTTGTATTCTGTAATGTGAGTAACCACATGAGGCAGAAGTTGGCAGACATTTCCTGTAAAGAGCAAGATCTTAACTACTTTTTGGTTCACGCGATTGTGGGAGCTGGCAAGTCCAGAATCTGTAAGGGCAGGACAGCAGGCTGAAAACTCAGGCAGGATTTGATGTTGCCGTCTTGAGGCGGGATTCCTTCTGTATCTGGAAACCTCAGTTGTTGTTCTTAATACCTTCAACGGATTGGATGAGGCCCACCCACCTGATGGAGGGCCAGCTCCTTTAGTTAAAGCCAATTGATTGGAGACGTTAGCCGCGTCTACAAAAGACCTTCATAACAACACCTAGACTAGTGGATTTGTGCTGGAAGGACTGGAGACTGCAGCCTGGCCAATCGGACACATCAAACAGACCCTCACAGACCCCCACATATACAGGTCTCTGGCACCCTCTCATGTCTCAGGGATGAAGGAATCTTGGCCAACTTAAGTTGAAACACCTCAACTGTCTTTGTTATGGCCAAGAGCTTTTTGGCTTCTGCTGGTCTTTGCTGAAGCAGATGCATTCTCAAACTTTTGGAAGATCTCAGAAAGCATTCTCCAAGTTGTACATGAGGATCACTGAGAACTGCATTGACTCTTTGAACCAGATGAGTCTTCTCTAGTAAGACCGAGTTGCATTCATCAAAACGGTCTAGGAGGCATCGAGCATCTTCTAAGCCAGTGGGTCTCGACTGTACACTCCAGGTCTTTAGAAAAATATTGAATCTACCTTTTAATACGCTTGGGTAGAGGTCCTGGGTATATCTGAGGCAGGATGAATGCTACCTGTGGCTCCTAACCTTGTCAGCACAGTAGAATCATCTGGGGGATTCTCAACCAACCATTGAAAATCCCAAGATCTACCACTGGCTCACATCAAGAGTTTGATGAAATCATAAAACCACTTTTAATTCTCCTTCCTTTCTCATTTAATTCTCTCTTTGTTTATAACCCTCACATAACAGGAATAATAAGTCCTCTCACTCACGTCTTCAACTAACTAACCATTTCCTTTGCTGCCAAAAATGCAACTCATGAGGCAACACCACGGGGGGAAGTAAATTTCCAATCTAATTTTGAATAATGGAGATTTTCATCAAATATTCTAAACTAAAAAAACAATAGTGGGGACACAAAAATCGATGCGTGATGGTAACGTTTTCTTGAAAATGATTCCCCAAAGGTATGGTTTCCAGTAATGGCTATCGTGTTCTTCAGTGGACCGCAGCATCCGGAGGCCTTCCGACAAATGAGACAACTTTTGCAAAAATATTGAAAGACACAGGTTATGCCACTGGACTGATAGGTATGCACATTTTTAAAAGAATTAAGCACATTACTTTTATATGGAGAGTATATTTAACTAAAATGAGTGAAAATGAAATGGTTGTGATGCAACTGGAATTTTCCATGACAGAAAGCTCCATGCATACATAAATGACGTCACTACCTAGGCTGCTTGGTGCCAAGTTGATGCTCAAGAAATAACAGCTTAATGAAACAGTCAGCATTTTATACAATTTGCTGGTGCACTATGACAAAAAAAATCAGAATTTTTTTTTTCTGATTTTACCAAATCACCAACAATTTCCATAATGCTGTTTTTCCCTATTTTCCACATAGAAACGTGACTGCAAGGCTTAGGACCGCCCTCTCTGCTTCCATAAATAGCACGCTTATCTTTCGACATGTCGACAAACCATGTCATGTATACAATGAAATAAAATTGAGGACAATAGCGTTTTGAAAGGGGACCAAGTGGTCATTAGCCACATCATGGTATAGTGATAATTTCTAGTAACAGTGCCATTTATGGATCACAGAGAGCAAGACTAGCTGATTCACTGAATCCCAAACCCAACAGACTCACTATCATTTTCTAAGACAGAAGAGTCTATCCTCACGGGATATTCCTTGAGAAATCCTATGAGGTTCTTGGGATGGCACACACCGTTGGGGTGGTGAGAAGACACACAGGGTCTCTTTATCAACACCCCAGTAGTGACAGCAGAAAACTAAGCATCCTCCATTGATTGAACTTGAAAGTTGGGCTCTGGGCAACCTATCCCCCTGTCCATCACGTCCGCCATGCCCCTGACCATCATTATAGCGGTTTAGCAAAGAGAGGGACAATTCCAAAGTCAGGAAATCTTTTACCCACGCTGGTGATATCAGATTACGTTTTCTAGAGCAATCTGACCACTCTGTGCCTTCAATATTGCTCTTCCCCACAGACCGGTGCAAACCCAGGTGTGGCAGACTGAATAACAGTCACCAAAAATATCAGGTCCCAAATGCTGAAACCTGCACATACAACTTTATATGGAGAAAAGGTCTTTGCAGATAGATATGATTAAGTGAAGGATCTTGAGATGGGGAGATTACCCAGGATTACCCAAGTGGGCTTTATATGCAAGGACAAGCGTCCTTTTAAGAAGGAGACAGAGAGATTTGACTTCAAAGAGAACACAGTGTGATCACGGAGGCAGGGATGGGAGGGAGGCGGCCACCAGCCCAGGGACGCCTGGAGCCCTAGAAGCTGGAAGAGGCAGGAAGGACCTTCTCTTTGAGCCTCTGGAGGGAGCACAGCCCTGCCACCCCTTCATCTCAGACTTCTAGTCTCCAGAACTGGGCAAGGATGAACTCCTGTTGTTTTAAGCAACCAAATATATGGTAATTTCTTACAGCAACACAGGGAATGAAAACACCACGTAATGCTGCCATGCAGGGTCCTTATTCCCCTGAAACAATGAGGCCAGGTTGTGATGCAGATCACAGCAAACACCACCCCCATCCTTCTGCATCCCCACCCCGTCCCAGCACCCAGACGAGTACTTGGAATGTGGCGAGCACACAACACCTACTTACCAAGTGATGATCAGCCAGTTGTCCCACCAGCATACTTTTCCCCTTTCAGGAAAATGGCATCTGGGTCTCAACTGCCAATCCTCCAACGACCACTGCCACCACCCACTCAACCATGGATTTGACCATTTCTACGGAATGCCCTTCTCCATGATGGGAGATTGTGTCCACTGGGAACTATCAGAGAAGCGCGTGGGCCTGGAGAACAAACTCAACTTCTGCTCCCAAATCATGGCCATCGCTGCCCTCACATTCACCACCGGAAAACTCATCCACCTGATGGCAGGCTCCTGGGCACTGGTCATCTGGTCAACCGTCGCCGCCATCTTGCTCTCCGTGAGCTCATATTTCACGGGGGCCCTGATTGTGCACGCCGACTGCTTTCTGATGAGGAATCACACCATCACCGAGCAGCCCATGCACTTTCAAAGAACAACATCTCTTATCCTGAAGGAGATCTCCTCCTTTGTCAAAAGGTGGGTGTCCAAGGGGTCACCCTCATCCTAACCTGCTCTGCTTCATGACGAAAATGCTTCGAAAAAGTCTTCTTCTCTAACGGGTATTAGAATGGTGAAAGACGGAAAGAGGTTTTCGGTAACATGGGGCATGGATGATGTTCTGTTGACCCCAACTGGATGATGTCCATTGGCACAAGGGACAGGTCAGTTGAAAGCTGCTGCTGCTCTCTCCGACTTTGGGGCCAGTCCCATCCCCTAACCACCCCCTGATCACCATGGACCATATTTAACTAACATGACAAACGGAGTCACCTGAACAGCCTTTACAATAAATTCTAAATATTTTCAAAGCTCTCTCATCGGGACTGAGATGTCCTGTTGCTAACTTCAGACTAGATGTCAAGTTGAGTGACAAAGGGACCAAGAGAGACACCAGGAAAAGCTTCAATAAACACAGGCAGTTGCACGCTCCCCATGGGTGACGCCATCGAACCCCCGCTTACCTGGTGCCAATGAGGTTCAATTCAATTGAACTTACCTGGTGGTGAAGAGGTGATCATGTTCCAGAACGTTCCTAGAGAGTTCTTGATGGCATCGCCTAGTATGGGTCAGGGATGAAGCCGATCATTAGCTTTCAAATTAAAAAGTTCAAAAGGTGATCCCGATGTGCCCTAAGTAAACCTACGAGCTTCACCTTTGCTTGTCTACTTAGATTAGACCATAAATATCAGGTAGAAAGAGGAGGAAGCTGAGGCATTGCCTAGATAGAGGATAATCAAACTGAAATTAATAACCTACTATGTGTCATTTTTAAAGTGTGTTTTCTCCATAACTATTCATGCCTTGAAAGCAATTATAAAGAAAAACCCAACGTGCAATATCACTTATTCTGTAAGCTAAGGCTTGAGGCAGGAAAACGTACTGAAATAATTGAACGAAATAACGTCAAATCAGACAGTTGCCTGGGGTTCTCTGTTACTTTCTGTTGTCAGAAGTACACAGAGTTAGAAAATGATAATATTCAGGAGAAAAGAAACATAAAATCCGTGTGGATTTTTCAGTAGACTTTGGAAGTCAAAAGCCATCACAGAACGGGAGTTCTCCATATTGGCTCTTGGAGGACAGAGCAGCAAAGACATCTGAGTAAGGACTTGACCGTCTAGAACCGTATCCTGGCTCTAAGACCTCAATCTCTGTCTTACCAAAAAACAAAAAATAAAATAAACCCACTCTGGTTGCTTTGTATGTATTTTTAGAAACAAGCAAGGACCGTTCCTCCTCTTTGTCTCTTTTCTGCAAGTCCACACCCCTCTTATCACCACCGAGAAGTTCGCTGGGAGGAGTCTCCATGGGCCGTACGGCGACAACACAGAGGAGATGGACTGGATGGTGGGTAAGTGCCTTTTCCGGGTGAAAACGTGAGGGTCCCTCCTTCAGAAACAGCGGGAGGAGAGGAGATAAAGAAGAAGAAGCTAAGACAACGAAGGCTGAAGATAGAACAGGCAGTGTAAGAACTGCCGTCTCCTTGAACGTTAAGGGTCTGAAGTACGATCACATACGTCTTCATTCTGTTTGGTTGCTCTTCATGACGTGGTTTTAGGTGGGTTGGTTTTTCTGTTTTCCCCAGGACACTATAAAAGCCCTGTGGGGTGGGACGGTCTGATCTTCTCCTCCCACTGCCTCCCCGTGGGCTTCCAACAGCACCTGCCACGACAGAAAGTGAAATAATCTCGAGGGAGGCACTGCTTCGGCAAACACATGGATGCGGATGTAGTCAATTCCATGCTTCTCAGACAAGGGCTGGGGTACCCTTGGGTTTATGTGGTGGTGGGCCAAGAGGAGCTGCAGAATAACTGTAATCAGAGATTTTAGGGAGAAATGGACTTTTAAAAAAATCTTGTAAAAACGCCATTGTGGGAGGCCGGCCCCGTGGCTGAGTGGTTAAGTTCTTGCACCCTGCTTCGGCGGCCGGGGGTGTCGCTGGTTCGAATCCTGGGCGCAGACTTGGCACCGCTCATCAGGCCATGCTGAGGCGGCCACCTGCATAGCACAACCAGAAGGACGTACAACTAGAATATACAAGTATGCACCTGGGGGGCTTTGCAGAGAAGAAGAAGAAGGGAAAAAAAAAAAAGAAGATTGGCGAGACAGATGTTAGCTCAGGTGCCAATCTTTAAAAAAAAAAAAAGAAAAAGGTCATCTTGGAATAAAGTACATGATTTCAATGAACTCCTGGGAAAAATGAGGGAAGTTGGAAGACGTGTGCAATAATTCATTTCACGTCCCTTTTGCAGAGAGGCGTCACCTCGTTCCCTTCAGGACAAATTCACTCACCTTTGTCACTAGGGGTCCTTAGTTGGGGAAGATTAAGAATCGCTGGAAAATAGAGGCTATTTTACGTGATGTCAAATGTTGAATGTTTAAAATTGAATTTGCAATGTCACAATTTGGGGAAAAATTAAACTAATAAATGTGCCGAGGTATGTAATTGAACGCATTGAATTCTAAAGACTTAAACTATGGTACAGAGTTAAGAACCCCGTAAGTTCATCAAGATAAGGAACTTATCATGAGATACCTCTAAAGAATCTTTTAAATGTCTTCACTTTCTCTCTGTCCTAATTTAGAGCTCAATCTAAATTTTTAATAATTACTTTAAAAATTGATAATTTTTGAAGTAAAAAATCATTCTAATAATGTAGATAGGTGGACCACAGGGGGTTTTTAGGACAAGGAAACCATTCTGTGTGATATTGTAATGGTAGATACATGATACTATGCATTTATCAAAACCCATAGAATGGACAACACATTAGCGAAAATTTTTTAAAAATTTGTACCTTTTGCCCACCTTCACCCAATCGCCCCGTCCCCTGCCTCTGGCACCCGCCACTCTTCTCTGTTTCTATGAGTTGGTTTTTTTAGATTCCACATATAAGTGAGATCCTACAGTGTTTCTCTATCTGACTTATTTCACTTATATAGTGCCCTCAAGGTCAATCCATGTTGTTGCAAATGGCAGAATTTCCTTCTTTTTTATGGCTGAATAATATTCCACTATAGATACATTTTATATATATTATACACATATATGTATCTTTATCCTTTTTTTTTTTTTAAAGATTGGCACCTGAGCTAACATCTGTTGCCAATCTTTTTTTTTTTCTTCTTCTCCCCAAAGCCCCCCAGTACATAGTTGTATATTCTAGTTGTAGGTGCTTTTGGCTCTGCTATGCGGGACGCCACCTCAGCATGGCCTGATGAGTGATGCTAGCTCCGCACTCAGGCTCCAAACCAACAAAACCCTGGGCCACCAAGGCAGAGCGCTCGAACTTAACCACTCGGCCATGGGCCGGCCCCCTTCTTTATCTTCTTTATCCATTCATCCATTGATGGACGTGATGGTCGTTTCCATATCTTGACCACTGTAAATCCACTAGTCCCCCCTTTTGTTCAGTTTTACTTTCCATGCTTTCAGTTACCTGCGGTCAACCACGGTCCAAAAATATTAAAAGGAAAATTCCAGAGAAATAATGCATATGTTTTAAGTTGCATGCCATTCTGAGTAGCAAGATGAAATCTTGAGCCCTCCTACTCTGTCCCACCCAGGATGTGAATCTTCCCTTTGTGCAGGGATCCGTGCTGTAGACGCCACCCGCCCGTAAATCATTTAGTAGCTGTTCCAGTTATCAGACCAACTGTCACAGTATCACAGCGCTTGTGTTCAGTCACCCTTATTTTGCTTAATAATGGTCCCAACGAACGAGAGTCGCGATGCTGGCATTTAGGATACGCCAAAGAGAAGCCATAAAGTGCTTCCTTTAAATGAAAAAGTGAAAGTTCTTGACTTAACGAGGAAAGAAAAAAAATCATATGCTGAGGTTGCTAAGATTTACGGTGATTTTTGTTACAGTATATTATTATAATTGTTCTGTTTTATTGTTAGTTATTGTTAATCTCTTTCGGTGCCTAATTTATAAGTTAAATTTTATCATAGGTCTGTAGGTAGAGGAAAAAATGTAGTATATGTAGGGTTCGGTACGATCTATGATTTCTGGCATCCACTAGGGGTCTTGGAACATACGCCCCTCAGATAAGAGGGGACCAGTGTAGTGATGCAGTGAACATGGGGGAGCAGACATCTTTCGTGTGACTATAAGAAACACAGAGCCACCTCTGACCATTCTTCATCAACGTCCACACATGTCCAACGGCGTTTCAGCCTTCTTCCCAGACCCCCTTGATCCCTGTCCATTTTTCTTTGTAATCTCCCTTGGCCTCACTTTTTAGTTTTTGTCCTTTTGTCCTCTGTAGCAAATACCCTGTAGCTGGCCTAAATCTTTTTGCAAACAGAATGGGCATACATAAAAACATACATCAATCTGAGATCAAGGATGCTCCGATTAGCCAAAATATATTACTTCTCGCTTCCATTATTATGCTTTGAAACTAAAGACTCATTCTCATGGAGAGTTCCAAAATGCAGAAGCACACCCCGAATAATTTGGTTATTCAGACAGTCGTCTGTTTTTTGACTGACTCAAACACATCTATTCTCTCCAGGGCAGATACTTGATACTTTGGACGTGGAAGGTTTGACCAACAACACCCTCGTTTATTTTACATCGGATCACGGGGGATCCTTAGAGGCTCAACTCGGAAACAACCAATATGGCGGCTGGAATGGGATCTATAAAGGTAACAATGAGAGATTCCCAGCTCCTTGTCTATGGTCTTCCCCTCTTCGCTACAATTCCCAACCCTTCCAGTGGAGCGGGGCCACCCACCTCAAGAGAAGCATATACTGTTAACCAAAGACTTTGCTTTTCTATTCAGGGCAGAAATTACAATTTGTCACGCTCAGATTGGAATTTTTTTGCACAATTCCGTGTTCACAGGACTGTGCAACCATCCCCACTACTTAATTGCGGGACATTTTCATCACCTCCAAAAGGAACTCGGTACCCAGCTGCAATCATTCTTTGTTTTCCCCTGTGCCCAGCCCCCAGCAACCGCTAACTTATTTCTTCCTCTATATATTTCCCCACTGTAAACATTTCATGTAAAGGGAACTTGGCAGCATGTGGTCCTTTTCAACTGCCTTCTTTCATTCAGCATGATGTTTTCAAGGTTCATGAATGTCATAGCGTGTGTCAGTATTTCAATCCTTTTTATGGCTGAATAATATTCCACTGTATGGATGGGCCACATTGTGTTTATCCAGGCAACTGCTGACGGACTCAGGTTTGAATTTTATATTCAGGCAAGGCATTCAAGGACGGTGAGCACCCCTGGAGGCCACAATATATTCAAACTAGGATTCTATTGATCGTGGACACGATCTTATTTGATGTATCACAGAGATTGTACAACATGCTGCCAAAAATAACGTGGTTCAACACTTTCTTTTTCATTTAGAAAGCTTAATCTTTTTCATAATAGTGAAAGAATTTGTTTAGACCAACATTGGCACATATGCTTAACATGCATTGGTCAATTACATACATAAAAAGGAACATTATATACAGTTATATGTTGCTGAATGACGGGGCTATGTTCTGAGAAAGGCATCGTTAGGTGATTTTGTCATTGTGCAAACATCATGCAGTGTACTTACACAAACCTTGACGGTACAGCCTACTGCAGGCTATATGGTACTTATTTGAATGGGACCACGGTTGTCTACACGGTCCATCATTGACTGAAACGTGATGTTTGTGATGGGGTGCATGACTCTCTCTATACGCAAGTTAAATATTTTAATGCCTTCCTACAACTTCACCTTGGGAGTCCGACTCCACTGAAACCCTTTTCATGTCACTGTCATCTATGTCCATATTTCCTCTACCCAGCATCCTCCACTGTGCCAAACAGCGTGTCAGCAACACAGCCCCTTTTACAACCAGCTACTCTACCAGCCCACAAAGACATTTCTTCCCCTCCTCTGACTCCACGGTCTGCGAGTTTTAGTGCATACACACAGGGAATGGCAGCTAGCTGTTCATGGTCACCCAGCCTGCAGCTATTGTCAAAATACGTGCACCTAGGAATCTGGGAAAGATGGCGTATGCATCCTGAAAAAAGGTCTGGTCAAGGATTTGGAACTTACCAAGCAAAGTCACAAAAACGGGAAGAATTGAAATGATCATTGTGGTAGAAAAAACAACGGTCCCCAAAGATGTTCACATCCTAATCCCCATGTGGCAGACAGAATAATATCCCCCAAGGACGTCCACATCCTAATCCCCGTGGGCTGGACAGAATAATGTCCCCAAAGACGTCCACGTCCTCATCCCCGTGGGGTAGACAGAATAACATCCCCAAAGACGTCCAAGTCCTGACCGCTGGAACCTGCAAAAACTTTATATGACAGTAAGGACTTCACAGATGTGATTAAGAATCCTGAGATAGGAGACGATCCCAGATTATCCAGGTGGGCCCAATGTAATCACAAGGGTCCTTAGAAGACGGAGCCAGGAGGGTCTGAGTCAGAGAGAGCGAGAGCGAGAGGGAAGGAAAGAGGGAGAGAGACATTGGGAGATGCTACACTGATGTGCTTGAAGATGGAAGAAGGGGCCACAAACCCGGGAGCGTGGTGACCTCCACAAGTTGGAAAAACCAATGAAACAGTTTCTCCCCTGGGACCTCCAGAAGGAACTGGCAAGGTGAGGCTGGCATTAGGGCCATCAGAAGATTGACTGTGGGTGAAAACCATCCAAGGGAAACATATATGAATATGACTGCATTCGTTTTCTGTACAAAATACTGTAACAAAATACCAAAGACGGCATAAACAACAGAAATCTATGCTCTCAGAGTTCCGGAGGCCAAACGGCTGACAGCAAGATGTCAGCAGAGCCATGCTCTTTCGGAAGCTTCCAGGGGAAGACTCCTCCTTGCCCCCTCCAGCTTCTGGGGGCGGCCGGCAATCCGTGGTGTTCCTCGACCTGTAGATGCATCCTTCAACCTCTTCCACCATTGTCACACGGCCATCTTCTCCTTGTGTCTCTTCTCCTCTTCTTATAGGGACATTCGCGATTAAGCACCCACCCTGATCCAGTAGGAACTCATCTTAACTAATCACCTCTGCAAAGACCCTATGCACAAATAAGGTCACATTCTGAGTTCCTGGAGGGTACACCACCAACCTATCATTTAGGGGTTGGGGGGGGGACACCATGAAACCCAAACCGGTGACAAAGACGAGAAAAACATCCAAGCCGTAAAGATGTAGAAACCAGAGAAATGCGATGGGCTTCCAAGGAAGGCATTCACAGCGGCATGGGCAAGAAGAACGAGTGAAGAGTGAAGGGAGACGGGGAAGGATGACAAATAAGCACAAAGATGATACGAAACAGAACAGGTCCCGAGACAATCACATGGATCCCACGTGACATAATGCTCTGGAAAACCACCAACAGCAGGGAGAAAATATGAGCAAGATAAAATGCTTTCAGGGATGCAACTTAGGACTCCCAAAGAATTAGTCTCATAATTAAGAAGTCTGAGAGAGGGTCTGGCTCGGTGGCACAGCAGTTGAGTTTGCATATTCTGCTTGCGTGGCCCACAGTGTGCTGGTTTGGATCCTGGGTGCCTACCTAGCACTGCTCATCAAGCCGTGCTGTTGGGGGGTGGGGGTCCCATATAGCAGAACTAGAAGGACCTGCAACTAGAGTGTACAACTATGTACTGGGGCTTTGGGAAGAAAAAAAAAAAGGAAGATTGGCAACAGATGTTAGCTCAGGGCCAATTTTCCTCACCAAAAAAAAAAAAAAAAAAAAAAGTTGTTTGAGGGAAATTGCAATGTCCCCGTGTCACTCAGCAACATGGAAGACCAACACCCAGGTTAGTAAAGAATATAAAAATCTAACCTCTCTTGGGGAGGAATTTAATGTTGTCAGGTAATTAAGAGAAAGAGAAGGACAGAAAGAGAGAGAGTTTTAAAAGAAGCAAAATGCTTAAGTCACCCAGGGTAAGCAACTACTTCTGATTTTTAATCAGATTCTTTCTGTTCATGTTTAAACACAGGTGGCAAAGGCATGGGAGGCTGGGAAGGTGGGATCCGAGTTCCAGGAATATTCCGGTGGCCCGGGGTGCTGCCGGCCGGCCGGGTGATCCACGAGCCCACCAGCCTGATGGATGTTTTCCCCACTGTGGTCCAGCTGGGGGGCGGCCAGGTGCCCCAGGACAGGTAAGGAGCAGCCCAAGAAAGCAATTCAATGTTGCAAAGAGACAGCACGTCTGTGAAACATCACCGTCTCTTTTGCATTGTGTGAGCCATCCCTGAAATGAGCATCTGGAAAAATGCTTCAGTCCCCGAGTACTATCTACTGGGATCAAATGTCTGCTTCATGTGTGCTCAAAATGTCCATTTCCCTTCTCCTAACGCTCACGTGGAGCCCACTTTGTTGTAAGGGTGATTGTCATTGAAAAAATCCAACCATTCATCACAAGAAACTACTTTTGATCCAGTGTGGTACAGACTTTTTATATGATTCCACTTATGCTTGTCTTAAAAACTTCTGAAAATTTGGGGGCAAACAGAAAGAAGATAAAACTATTTCATAATCTTAGTCTAGAGATGAATACATAACTAAATGGTATGACGCACAGATATATACATTTAGAGATGTTACATATTCATATATATTTTATATATATTCTTTTTTTTTTTTTTTTTTGGTGAGGAAGATTGTCCCTGAGCTAACATCTGTTGCCAATCTTCCTGGGTTTTTTTTGGTGAGGAAGATTGTCCCTGAGCTAACATCTGTTGCCAATCTTCCTCTTTCTGCCTGAAGAAGAGTGGCCCTGAGCTAACATCTATGCCCATCCTCCTCTATTTTGTATGTGGGATGCCACCATGGCATGGCTTGATGAGCGGTGTGTAGGTCTACACCCCGGATCCAAACTTGTGAACCCCCGGCCACCGAAACGGAGCACGTGAACTTAACTACTATGCCACTGGGCCAGCCCCAATATATATTCTTTATATATTACTATATATAACATACATTATTTTATATACTTATTTATATGTATTTAGAAATCTTTGCACACAGACAAAAAATTTAATGGCGCCATGGTATTTTCTTTCAACCACCCTCTTATAGATGGACATTAGCCTTGCTTTCAAAAAAAAAAAAAAAAATACTGTTTTGTCATTTTACTGCCTGACATGATTAGCTCCTTAGTAAAAATCTTGGAAAGTGAATTCCTGGATCAAAGAGTACGGCCACTTATAGGTAAATCTCTTGATACATTTTGTCAGATTGTTTCTAGGAATTGCTACCAGCCATGTGACATGTGAGAGTGTCTCTTTTAAAAACAACAGAACAAAAATCAATTTGAATAGTGGATATGTAATTTATTTATTACATATATAAAGTACACGTGGGTGTTATCATTTCCATGCCTTCACTGGAGAGATTGAATATTTCATACCTTTACTTCCCATTCTCCTTTTTCATTTCTGACATTGAATATCTTGCCTCTGGTTGATTTTTTTTTTTTTCCTAATTGGCTGCTAGCCTTTTTATTAATTTATAACATTTGTTTTAAAAATAAAAAACTTTGTCATGTATATTGCAAATGTGTTTCACTAGAATCTAAAATTCAACCATATATTGTTGGTTGGTTTCATTGATATGTATGTGTATATACACATAAACATACGCACTTTTGTGTACGTGTGTATGAATATGCATATCTGGAGGGGAAATTATATATATATGGATATACGTACACACACATATATATCCATTTATTATAAATATTTATTTTAATGTTATTTTACATATGTTATTTATTTTATTAGAATGTATAATAAAACAATGTGTACATATTATTATATATATTTATGTGTATGTATATTATAAATATATAATACTTAATTTTAATAATATGATATATAATAATAATATATATACTTTTATTTCATTTTTTTCATGGAAATTCTGGCCAAGTCAATCTACTTGGGGTCCTGAATTCTCTACCTTGACCAAAAACATTAATCCACTTAGAGAAAAAGACTCCTGTTTTATGGTTCTTCTCAAGGTCACAGCATCTGTAAAAATCCGTCGTCGGTATTCATGATTAAATTTTGAGACACAAAGTCCTGAAAAGTTTTCAAAATAATTTAAGGGAAATCAGAGTCATTGCAGTTTTCCACAAAGGCATTTCCTTACCTTCAGCTGCACAGGATGTTAATGATGGAGCCCAGCAGACGCACATATTCATTATCACCGGTTTAGCGCACAGCGAATAGTGGACGAGTAACAAAGAAACCCAGATCCGTCTGCCATCCCGGAGCAATTAACCACATAATGGGGAAATAAAATGCGCAGGACCATCACGCACATCAGAACTGGGGGACCGAGCCTTTCCGTAGTTTATTTTTGCATCCATAATAAGGTTGGGGGGGTGGGGACAATAATTTCAGCCCAGCAAGCTGGTCCTCTGTGATCTCGCAGCCAAAGGTGATGTTTGCAGGGGAAAGACGTGGCTGCCCGCCCCAGTGCTTCCCCAAGCTAATGTTAAGTGCTCGTGCATCCCTGCCAGAAGTCCTTGCTTTGTCACTGGGGTGCTGTGTCCTGCCTGCAGGGTGATTGACGGCCGGGACCTGCTGCCCTTGCTGCGGGGGACAGCGCGGCACTCCGACCACGAGTTCCTGCTGCATTACTGTGGGAAGTTTCTGCACGCAGCCCGGTGGCATCAACGGGACAGTGAGTAGGCTGGGCGACGGAGTCACCTCTCGGCCTCGCTTCTCATTCTTCTGCTTCGTTACGCGTTCCATCTTCACGCCAACTCTTCGATTTCCTTCTTGGCGGTGTTTTTCCCTCCCGTCAGCAACATCCTTCTAGCTGTCAATCATCTCATCGCTATGAAATGGGAGTTGTTAGCTGTGGTTTAAACATCCTGTATGGGATTTTCTGACTTTCCTGCCTCCCACTATGACATGTGAATTGCAACTGTTTCCATCACACACATCCTGACACACGCATCCTAGCACAGTCTGTCTTTACCTTTCAAATCTGTTCTCTTAATCTGGATTGTTTTCTGCATCTTTTTTTTTTTTTTTTTTGAGGAAGATTAGCCCTGAGCTAACATCTGCTGCCAATCCTCCTCTTTTTTTTGCTGAGGAAGACTGGCCCTGAGCTAACATTGGTGCCCATCTTCCTCTACTTTATATGTGGGACGCCTGCCACAGCATGGCGTGACAAGTGATGCATAGGTCCACACCCGGGATCCAAACCGGTGAACCCCTGGGCCGCCGAAGCGGAACGGTGTGAACTTAACCTCTGCGCCACCAGGCTGGCCGCTGTTTTCCACATGTCTTAACCACCTTAATTTAATGACACAATTTCTTCCTTGTGGTAAGAATGACAACTTTGTAACATAAGCAGCAATGTGCTTGCTGAATAATTTTTGTGTTTCCAAATTTTCTGGGCTGTTCTGGACCAACCTTCCTTGCAAAAAAAACAAAAAATTATTTACAAGTATTTTTTTTTTTAAATCCCACAAGAATAGGAATTCCATTGCCTTCAATGGTTAAATTAACCTGGGGGGTGGCGGAATTGGTATTTTGACAATATCGAATTTTCCCAAATTGAAACATATTATGTGTCTCCACCGTAAATGTATCCACTTCACCAAGCCCTCGGTTGCCTTGCCGCGTAATTTCATTGTATTTTAATTGTATTTGTGTTTAATTTGTATTTCATTGTATTTTATTGGCCTCTGCGTTTATGGCTCCAAGCTCCATCTTCACCTAACTGGAGTTGCCAGAGGTCTTCCGTTTTTAAGAATCATCTTTAAAACTCCAGCTCTTGGATTTCCTGAGAAACTGTGTTTTTCACTTTTATCAGCGATGACCTTCTGCTTCCCCCTTTGTCTTCTGATAGGAGAAGTTCACCTGTTTGAACGTGTTCTCTTATCCTCATTTTTAATTCCCTCTCTATCACTCCGCTTTGCCTCAGTATCTCCTGTTCTCTGAATTTGCTTTACAGACGCGGTTTTCTTGGTTCTTCCCTTCTTCCAGTGTTTGGGGAGGCCTAGCTCCCGCTTGCCATTCGACTCACTTTGATTTCTTCCTTCTTCAAAAGCATCCCCTCCACATCTCCCATCATCCGAATCAAGAATGAAAGAACAACGCATAGAATCCCCTTTATTTGAGGAAGTCACCAGATGTGATTTTTTTTTTTTTTACGGTCTCCCGCCCTTTCCCCTCCATCCTTTTTAGTATTATTCTTCTCTGGGATGATTTATATGGCTACCTTTTTGGGCTTTTAAAATTGCATATTGTAAGTTTCCCCACTTCTTTTTAAAAACTTTCATAGCCCAATCTACAACCATTTCTGCTTAGCGGCACAGAGAATGGGGTTCACCCTCAGTGGCCACCCCACTGCTCACCTCTCATCTCTTGGTCATTGGGCAAATATTTCCGTTTTCTTTCAAGGTAAGTAGATGGGGAGTGTATTCCTACCATCCACCCCTCTTGAACTTGTCTTCCCGGGTCCACTCTTCACCCCACATCCATTGTCCACTGAGCATCCTGCAGAAAGCCTTCCTGAGACCGCCCACTGCCCATCCATCAGAACCAGCCCAAATTCCTCCTTGTGACACGAGCTAGCCCCTCCCCATCTCTGAGATGTCGGCTCTGCCTATGGGAGCCCTCAATCTCCAAGCTCCAGCTGAACTGTGCTCCATCATTCTAGGACGGGCTAAGCTAGTTCCTACCTCAGGACCTTTGCACGAGCTGTTCCCGCCACCCAGGACACTCTTAAGACCACTGAGTCTCCATACGGCTAGCTCATTCTTGACGTTCATGACCTGAGTTCAACGGGGGCCTCCTTCCCAAAGCGACAAGAAGCTGCAGGGCACAGCAGCTCCTGGCACATATCGGGACATGCCGGATCTCACCTTCTGTCCTTTCAAAGTCGCTTGCAGAGGCCGAGCTAGCTCTGGTGCCAGCTGCCTTCAAGTGGGAGTCCTCCCAGACTCTGGAGGTTGTTCCAGCGAAACTACCTACCAAACCAGTCATTCCCTCTTTTTTTGTAAACAGCATTGTGGAGCTATAATTCAGTCTCATCATCAGCTCGGGCGCTATTACAAAATGCCACAGACCAGATGCTTTATCAACAACAGTTATTTCTTACCGTTCTGGAGGCTGGAAGTTCAAGATCGAGATGCAACCTAGTGGGGTTCTGGGCTCTTTTAGTGGGGTGAGGGCTCTCTTCTGGGATGCACACGGCCACCTGCTCGCTGGGTCCTCACGTGGCTGGAGTACAGAGAGGGAGCAAGCTCTTTTGTGACTCTCCAAGATCATGAATCCCATCGGGGGGGCCCACCCTCATGACCTTACCTAACCCTGATGACCTCCCAAAGGCCCCACTTCCTAATATCATCCCATTATAGGGTAGCATTTCAATGCATGAATTTGGGAGGGGGACACACACATTCAGTCCACAACATTCTCGTACCATAAAATTCACCATTTTCAACTGCACCATTCAGTGGCCTTTAGCAGATTCACAATGTGGTGTAACCACCACCTCTGTCCACTTCCGGAAAATTTACATGGCCCCCAAGAAGACCCCATACCCAATCGCCATCACTCCCCATTCCTCCCGCCCCCAGCTCCTGGCAACCACTCACCCACTGTTTGTCCATGGATTTACCTGTTCTGGACATTTTCTATGAATGTAATCACACACTACATGGCTTTTTGTGTCTGGCTTCTCTCACTGAGCATCATGTGGTCAAGGTCCCTCCACCTTGTAGGCTGTGTCAGCACTTCATCCCTTTTCATGGCCGAGTAATATTCCATTGCATGGAGGGACCACACTCTGTTTCTCCATCCACCTGCTGACAGATAGCTGAGCTGTTCCCACCTCCTGGCGACTGTGAATCATGCCGCTCTGCAGCAACGTGTCTTATTTCTCCACGTCAACCCTCTGTGATTCTTGTCCTTGCCGCAGGAGGAGCAGTATGGAAAGTCCACTACGTGACCCCGGTGTTCCATCCAGACGGAGCTGGCGCCTGCTACGGGAAAGCGGTCTGCCCGTGCTCAGGGCACGGAGTATCCCGGCACGATCCACCTTTGCTCTTCGACCTCTCAAGAGACCCTTCCGAGGCCCACGCCCTCACGCCGGACACGGAGCCCTCATTCTATCAGGTGATGCAGAGAGTCGGGAAGGCCGTGGAGGAGCACCGCCGGACGCTCGGCCCCGTTCCACTGCAGCTGGACACGCTGGACAACGTCTGGAGGCCGTGGCTGCAGCCCTGCTGTGGCCCATTCCCCCTCTGCTGGTGTGATCAGGAAGGTGACGGAAGGTGAACGCCTGCCCGGGACATCTGGGTCCCCGAGTCCTGCAGTTATGCCCTGGGGTTGAAAATAAAACTCTGCTGTAAAGTTACGTCATCAGCTTGTGTGGGGCTGAACAGTTTCACCAATTCGAAGAGGAACAGGGAAGACGCACAGGGGTCTCCGGTCTAGGGAGACAGAGGCTCTCTGTCCCCATAAAGAGCTCAAGTCCCCAGACAAGGTGTTTCCATGTCATATGGATTTGCAGACCAACAGCAGGTGGGCACAGAGGTAGCAGCTGTCCCCCGCTACGGTGTGGCCGGGGCCAAATTAAAGAGCGTAGGTGTATCATTTTCAACATCGATGAAGACATTTCAAATTAGAACTGTCGACGCAAATAAATCCAAAATCAATTATAAATCCAAATTGGGGTGAGTCTATTATGAGCCAGGTTTGAGGACTATAGCCCTGAGGCTTTCCTTCCCCAAAAAAGGAAGGGCACCCAAGAAGTGGGGTGTCCTCAGACAGAGTGAGTATATGCCATCTTGGAACAAAGAGCATCTACCACGTGACAGGAATGTCCCTTTTACTCCTGTCAAGAGACACTTAGCCGGTACAGCAGGTCAGGGGTCAGCAGGTCAGGGGTCACAAGGTGAGCACAGCAGGTCAGTAACTAACCCTCAGTTCCCAGGAGGAGATGCTCATCTTTAAAGAAATGCAGATACGGGGGATACTACATGCCTATCTGTAAGGGCATCACTCTTGTCTTGGGGACACGGTAAATATTTAAAGCACACGGACCATGCATGGTCAACAGGCCACATCAGACCCTTTTGGAAAAACAGGGTCAGGCCGAATTAACCCCATACCAAACGGCTTCCTCAAATACTCCCATATATCCTATTGCTTTTCACTTATTAGAACTATTTCTAAGCAATTCTCCTTGGTGAACAAGTGTCCCCAGGGACTGGAGGAAACTCACAATTTGGGAGCCATGCTGGACAGTCAATGTCGTACCCACCCTTTGTTGAGAGGTCCCTGCACGATGGGGTTCCGTCGACGTGGGCTTTGCAAGGACCCGCCCCAGATAGGACGCCGGCAAGGAGAGTGTGGTGGGGAATTTCTTCCAGACTCCGTCCCGTCATCTTCCTCTCCATCCACAAACCACCACACGTGCCTAGTCCCAGCCCGTCTTATTCTGCTTGAGCTGAAAGAACAAACAGCACACATTGGGCAGCTAACCAACAGACACATATATATTTCTCCCAGTTCTGGAAGCCAGAATCTGGAATCCAGGTGTGGGCAGAGCTGGTTTCTCCTGGAGCCTCTCTCCTTGGTGTTTGGACGCTATCTTCTCCATGTGTCCTCACGTGGTCGTCCCTCTGTGCGTGTCTGTGTCCTCATCTCCTCTTCTCATAAGGACTCCAGTCCTGTTGCATCAGGACCCACCCCAATGAGCTCATTTTACCTCCATCACCTCCTTAAATACCCATCTCCAAACTCAGCCTCATCCTGAGGTCCTCGGGGTCAGGACCCCAACATGTGAATGTGGAAGTGGGGAACACACACCATTTAGCCGGTAACACATTCTCTGCTGGCGTGGTGGTGATGCGGGGTCGGTGAGCCGAGGAGTCGAAAGAAAGATTTCTTAGACTCTCAAGATCTGGCGGTAGTGCTCTTTTATTTAGAGAATAGTGTGGAATAGCATGGGGACAGGACCCATGGGCAGGCAGAGCTCCTGCTGCTGCCCCGAGTTGAGGGTTAGGGCTAATTTTATAAGTCATGGGTACGTGACTTATTTTTACTGGAGAAAAGAAAAGATGATGTAAAAAGTCATTAAATGATTTCAGTGCAGATGGGGTCTGGTTATTGTGCGGTCATATAACTTTAGATACGAATCTGGCCATATAGATCGGCATGCAGGTGAGGATGCCCCGGGCTTCTCTCCCTGGGGCAGTCCTAATTCATACCATAAAAAAAAGTCCACTGGGTCGTATAGTTTGGCATGTAGGCCAGGTCACCTTGGGCTTCGCTAGCTGGGGCAGCCTTAATCCACATCAGTGGGATCTGTCTGGCTTTCCAACAGTTCTGTCTGCAAAGACAAGGAACAGCCAGGCCCCACCCCACCTCTCCAAACCTAAGGGTGTCACAAGAAACCCCCCACCTCATTACAGCCTCAAGCTCACTCTCCTCAAATTATCCAATCCCAGGTGAGCAATGGAGAACCTCCAGCCTCCAGAAAAAGACGTTGTTCACAGCCATCAACCAAGCCAAATCCTTCTCTGGCTAGCTCTGCTTGAGCCAATTCCCCTTTCAGGTAAAGAAAGAAAGAACAGCCACCCCCTATTCCTTCCCCAGGGCCCCAGGTCCTTTCCCCCTGATAGCCATGGCTTATGGAACATGGAGCCAGCACTTTCACCCAGCTGTGCCTGCATCCTTGGTCCACGGAGCCATTTAGCATCAGCTGTGGCCCCGTCACCTCCCTCCGTGCACCCCTCCACATCCTTGCCCCCTATGGCCTTGTCCCATGTGGCTTTGAAACCACGGAGCCCCCACGTTCTTGAAGTCGATTCGGACCCAGAGAATCAAGGCTCATCCTCCCTTTCCTAAAGAACTCTCCAAAACAGTACTTCTGGGGGACACCAGCTCCCACTGCCCCATCCTCCTTGGGCACTCCTAAACCCTCACGGCAGCCCTTACTTGGTTTCGATAATTTGCCCAAGCGCACCCAAGGCGCCTGCTCTGCATACCTTGGACAATCTTCCCTCCCTCCAATGTACAATTTCGTCAAAGGATCACATCTGGACTCCGGCCCTGCCCAACCTTCCTTCAGAGCTACTTCTGGGCTCCCAGCTTCTCGTTCCCTCCCCCCAGGCCTCCACTTTCTCCCTTTATGCTGAAGCAAGGAGCCCCAGCCAGCCGCAAAATCATCGGCTGACAACAGCTCCTCTCCGGGAATCAAGAAGCAAGACAAAGAGAGAAGCAGTAAACAACGCCCAAGAATTAATCCAGCTAGAGGGGGCCTCCCAAGAAATGTAAGCCAACTAAATCTGCCAACTAAAACACAAAGGTCTCTTCTGGAAACACAATCTCCAGCCCTATTTCTGGAGATGCCCCAATGCAGCGAACTTAGTGGGGAGCGATTCCCAATTACCATCTGGTAAAAATGCAGACCTGAGTGGGAAAGGTGAAAAAGAACGACTCCAGGGGCAACGAAGGGGGAGGACCAGCAGGCAGACTCTCGAGGTAAAAATCTCACGGCTGAATGTCCAACTAGGCTAGCTTGCTTTGAACACCCCCTCACCTGCCCTTGCCCACAGACTAGAAGTCTGGCATCCTGGACCCTCCTGAAATCCAGCTTGACATCTTGGTTGCCCGATTGCACGAGGCAAGTCCTAAGACCCTTCATGAGATGGAGACAGTGGGCTCCGGGCCGGTAGGGGCGTCCCCAAGGCCGCTGGCGGGGGCGGGGTGGTTGCGTGCCTCACCATGCCCAGGCCCAGCCAGCAGTAATTATCTCCTCGCAATCACGGAAAACCTGTTTGCAAGACCAATTTGCAAGAGATTAAGAGGATTAGGGAGGGAGCTGGGGGGCCCCCCACACCCCGGTGCTGCAGCTTCGTGGGCGGGTACGGGGCGCAGAGCGCTTGGGGCGAGGTCCTGCGCGCCCGGCCGCGCTCCGCCATGGGATCCACCGCGCAGACGGGACGCGCCCTGCCCGCCACCAGGTGCCCCAGGTGCGCGGGACAGGGCCCCCACTTGGGCTTGGGGCTGGGGGCACGACGGGGGAGCGGTTGACAAAGAGGGAGGGCTTCCAGGGTGGGCATGCGGCCCCGGGAAGGCCGGGCTGTGCGCGCGCCTGGGAGTCACCAAAACCCAGCTGGAGGCCCGTTCTCTGCTCTGCACAGACGCCGGACGAAAGAACTGGGGTGGGCGCAATGCCGCCCCACGGGGTGGGGGCATGGGGGAGAGGAGGCCAAGAGTGGGGGGAAGGGAGGAGGAAAAGAGAACAAAGGAAGAGTAGGGCGGGCCGAGGGAGGAGGAATGCCGCTGGTCACGCCCCGCAGAGAGCGGGCGAGCTCCCGCCCCCGCTGCGTAAGGCACGCCCCCTTGGCACGAGTCCCCATTTCCAGCGTCCCCTCACCCACTCTCTAAGACGCGTCCTGTCCAACCCCTTTGGCACCCCCGCCTCCTCGGACGACCGTGTCCCCTCCCCCCCTCCCTAAGACACACTCACCCGCCCCCGTGTCCCCTCCCTTGCTCTCCAAGACACACGCAGTCCGGTCCCCCGTGACCCCCCTCCTCGCGTCTCCTCCCAGCGCGGACAAACCCTCGGTCCTACACTCTCCCCCTTCGCCCCGCCCTCGCGCGCCGAACCCCCAACATTAAGACACACCCCGTCCCGCCCAGCGGCCGCCCCCCCTGCAACCCGGAGCGCGCTCCTGTCGCCCCGCCCCCCCCAATTCTCTAAGACACGTCCCTTCCGCTCCTTGGCCCTACCCCCAAGAGGTCGGCCCTGCCCCGTTCAACTCTCCGGCCACGCCCCGTTGCGGTCCCAGCCAAGGGGCGGCGGGGACGCTCCACGAGTCTCCGGGTTGCTCGCGCACCAGGGCGACCTCCCGGAACGCAGATGGCCCTGAGGACCCCTGCTCGGCCCTCCTTCCAGCCCGGAGCCCGGGAATCGGGATTAAGGTGCCCCAGGCCCGCGTCCCTCGGGTTATGGGGCGGGGACAGCCCGGGATCCGCCCCCGCGCCGCTCCAAAAGCCCGGTTACGCACGGTCGGTTACGCACGGTCGCCCGTGCGCCCAAGGCCCTCGCAGACAAGGTCCCCTGCAAGTGTGTGCAGTGGCTGTTTGGGCAAAACAGCCTTGCTGGATCTCCCTGGCGCGTCTGGGGTGCTTTTAATCCCACATTTATCGTTTTCAAATGTAAGTCGTTCTGGTGCTCCCAGCCTCCCGGGAGCCGGAGCTCCGGGACATCTGGCGGAAGGCGCGGTGAGGCCACGCTGGGCCTCTGGCCGGCTGACCCAGGCCCTGAAGGCCAGCGCCCCACATCGTACCCTGCGGTTTGGTGTGAATTCAGCCAAAGTGGTGGGAAGGAGGGGCCTGGATCAATTCAGTCAAAGGAACCTAATTTTGGCCAAACCGCGACTTTCACAACGAAACCGAAAACAACCTCGCTCACGTTTACCGCGGTGGGTGTTAATTCTGCAAAAGGAATCAGAAGCTAGTTGCAGCCTCTTGTTAAATCCGAATTTCGTGGCGGCGCGTGTGCCTTCCCCGCGAGCTGGTTTGAAAAGCCAACTTCTCGTGCCAAATCACGGACGTTTATTTCTGCCTTTTGTTTTCCTCTGCAGGGACTGTGGGCCCCTCGTCCTCATGGTGGGTTTGCTACTGAGGACTTGCGAGTTAAGAGCAGCCGGTGCCTTGCAGCCGAACATCCTGCTGATAATGGCAGATGATCTGGGCATTGGGGACCTCGGTTGCTATGGGAACAGCACGCTGAGGTACAGTGTGGGGCCGGTGGTGTTGCTGGTGGTGCGAGTCTGTGTGGATTCGGCTGAATGGTGCATTGAAAATCTGCCTGTAGAAATCGGGCAATTCTAAGTGCATCCGGTCTCAACACGGAAAAAAGTATTTTTCGACCGGAAAAGAGAGTCCTAACCCTTTCAAACAATAGGGAACAACTGTGGTGGGTGGGCATATTCATTTTCTGGCGGCGGGTGATAACAAATGACCGTGCACTGGGGGCTTAAAATGGCAGGACTCCATCCTCCCCCGTCCTGGAGCCCAGAGTCTGGGGTCAAGGGTCGCAGGGCAGCGGAGTGAGCAGGACATGTGGGGCTGGAATGCAGGCCTTATCAGGGCCTTAGGGGCCCCAGTGAGGTTGGAACAAAATCCTACAGACTGGGTAGTTTGAACCCCAGGGGTCCACCCTCCCCTGTCCTGGAGCCCAGAGTCTGAGGTCAAGGGTCGCAGGGCCGCGCTCCCTCCGGAGGCTCCGGGGGAGGGTCCCTCCTGCCTCTTCCAGCGTCCGGGGCTCCAGGGTCCCTGGGCTGGTGGCCGCCTCCCTCCCGTCTCTGCCTCCGTCCTCACGGGGCTGCTCCTCTGCGTCTGCGTCTCCTCTTCTGTCTCTGAGGAGGACACCTCCTCCAGGATGCCCTCATCTCGAGGTCCATAAGTAATTATATCTGCAAAGCCCTTATTTCCCAATAAGGTCCCCTTCACGAATCGTGGGGATTAGGATGTGGGCAGGTGTGTTTGGGGGCTGCTGTTCAAGCCGGTATACAGTGAGTAAGGCCCGTTCAGAGTGTGCAGGCCCCCACGCCATCCCTGCCAGGAGGGAGGACGACGATGTTTGCATGCTTTCCTCACCAGGAGGAAAGCTGAGAGAGCTCCTCATTCCATTCTGTGGGCGTTTCCCTTAGATCACCCCAGAATTGAACACACGTCTGTCTCCCGGGAGCTGCCGCCTTGAGGACTAGTCTACACCCAGCAGGGCCTCCCTCCTTTTGGGACGGCCTTTGCAGACCGGCAGAGATCTCCCATGTACCCGGGGATCTTCTTTCCTCCCTACCTAGCAGACCTAGTTATAATTCACAAAACAGACAGTTCACTCATTTAAAGTGTACACTTCAGTGGCTTTTGGTAGTTTCGCAATTCTGCATCTGTCACCACAAAGCATTTTAGAACATTGTCATTCCCCAGAAAGGACCCCTGCACTCTCTTAGCCATAACCCCGATATTGGCTGAACTGTGTCCCCCGGATTCCCATGTTAGTGTCCTAACCCCCAGGACCTCAGGATGGGGCTGTATTTGGAGATGGGTCTTTAAGGAAGTGATGGAGGTTAAATGAGGTCAGTAAGGTGGGTCCTGATCCAAGAGGACTGGACCTCTTATGAGATGAGGACACAGACACTCGCAGAGGGACGACCACGTGAGGACACAGGGAGAAGACATGTCCACACGCCAAGGAGAGAGGCCTCAGGAGGAACCAGCCCTGCCCACACCTGGATCTCAGACATCCAGCCTCCAGGACCATGAGTCCGTTCATGTCTGTTTTTTGAGCTGCCCCATCTGTGGTCCTTTGTTACGGCAGCCCTGAGAAAACTCATACACTCCACAACCCCCCAGCCCTAGGCAGCCACTCATCTGCTTCCTATCTCTGTGTTTACCCCAGGACATTTCATTCAAATGGAATCATACACAATGTGTCCTTTTGTGTCTTGCTGCTTTCTCCTGGCATCCTGTTTTCAAGGTCCCTCCGCTCTTTAACCTGTATCAGAACTCCATCTCTGTAACGTGTATCAGAACTCCATCCCTTTTTTGCAGCCGAGTACCATTCTCTTCTGTGTTTGCCTCTTTTCCTTTATCCATTCACCTGTTGATGGACAATTAGACTCTTTCCGCTTTTTAGCTGTTAGGAACAACACTCCTCTCAACAATCCTGGACACGTTTTTGTGTGGACACATTCTTTTCCGTTTCTCTTGGGTGCATCCCCAGGACAGCAATTGCTGATCATACATGGGCCCGATACCTTGTTTTACATCAAGGAAAAAACTTGGAAGTTTGAACATCCCCTCCTGGCAGTACTGACCCTGCTTTGGAGTCATGTACCGAAAGAAGGTATCATTTAAATCTCTAACAGCCCCTCCCGCCTGTGGCTTTGGGTTGACGTTAAGAAAACTGCCAAGATGTGAGGTTTTCGTGCCTGATACCTCCCATAGGGAGCAGCACCCCTGAGTTTATGTCTGTATTCGTTCTCTTTCCACCCAGAATGCACTGGAAGCAAGGTCCTTGGGGGCATCCTAAAGCCAGCAAAGATGTTCTCTTAATGTAGGTCATTGATTCGTTGACCAAAACGTTGAGCCAAGAGGCCCCGTGTGGTGCATCATGGCACACACAGATATGGGGCCATGCCCCTCAGCATCCGCCTCCTAGGAATGCCGGCATTCTTCCCAACCTACGACACTTGCTCCGTCTTCAAAATTCTGTTTCCACTGCACTTCTGCCCCCCACGGCAAGCCGGCCACGCCGCCTTTAAGAATTCTGCTAAAAGGGAGCTAGTAAGGCTGACAGGTGGACGACTTATATCGTGTTTGGGAGGCATCTGGTTTAGAGAAACTATCTTTGGTTTCAAGGCGAGGGAGCTCCACCCACGAGAAACCATCCCTTGCCTCATCTTTCAGTGATTGGCTGTGCAGTCATTCAGACTCTTCTAGCACACCAGCTGTTCTCCGGTGGGAAATGAGTCTCATCTAATTATTTCGGGCAACCAGCGTATTAGAAAGTGCCTGTCTAAAGATGCCAGGCATATTTTTGTTCTAAATGAGAGGTGAGCCAACAACCATCTTTTTTGGTTTGAGGGCCACACGGTAGTAGCGTGGCTTGTGTGGGCCACATAAGGTGTGCGTTGCACATCCTTCTTTTCTCCCTTTTTATTTTTTCCAACTGTTGAGAAATGTGAAAACCCTTCTGAGCTCCAGAAGACTTAAGAAAATAGACCGAGGGCCACATTGGACCAAAGATTGCTGATCTTTGCTCTAAGTCACCGAACTTCGAAGTGTCTCAAACAGAGGGAGCAGAACTTGAGGAGTCTGTAAGAGTTGGGTCCAAAGTCATTTTCTGTTTGGCTCTGGTCAAACGTTCCTGGGTTTCCCCAGCAGGGGCAGGGTTGCGAGCCTCGTCACTCCATTTGGATTTGTGTTCGTAACGCCAGTTCTTTCCACGTGGAAGTGAATTGATGCTGGCAGGACAGTATCCCAGAAATTCTGCCTGATAAGAACAGAAAGTTGGAGAAACCGTGAGGTGCGTAATGAATGTGTAACCTGCTGATGGTCAGGGTGGAGGAGGTCTCAAGACTGCCTCTGTGGCCCCGACACTGCTTCTGAGAAGCTGTGCCATCAGTCACACATCTGGCACTTCCTTGGGCCTCAGTTTCCCCTCGGGGACATGAGGCCATTGGATGACCCTTCCAGCTCCATCGTGCGCAATATGATGCTCTGATGGCAAAGCCATGCCCAGGGATGTGTCAAAGACAGAGTAGAGAGTCTAAATAAACGTGACACCTGCTCATTTTGTTAACATAATAGGAAGAAAAGATATCTCTTCTCTTAGAAAAATCTCATTTGTGCACTGCCAATGACCTCTGCTTCCTGAGAGACAGCGGGATATTTCTTAGCATGTTTACACATCCTCAGATACTCTGATACTTTCTGGTTTTTAAATAAAAATGACTATGATTCTGCAGGCCACAGTGCTATTAAAAATAAAAAGAATGCATAAAGGAATGAGGGACACTCCAGAGAACTATTTTAGGACCATATTTGGAAATCAACTCGATCAGGGAAAAATGGGAGTGACATAAATTGACCAAGAAGCACAGAATTTAAAATGCCATTTATATATATTAAAGAAGTAGCATGTTTCCTGTTTTAAGATATCTTTTAACAAGTGGAGGGAAAAGGTTCTACAGGAGAAGGTTCCCATATGAGGTTCAAACCTATGGTATTTTTCATCCCATTTCCCCAGTTTAGGTAATCATGAAGACATCTGCAAGACATAAAGACTTGGTAGGTAGGTAGGTAGATAGATAGATAGATAGACAGACAGATGGTGGATGGATGGATGGATAGGTGGGTGGATGGAAAGATGGATGGATGGAAAGATAGATGGAAAGATGGATGGATGGATGGATGGATGGATGGATGGATAGATGGATAGATGGATAGATGGATGGATAGATGGATGGATAGATGGATGGATGGATGGATGGATGGATGGATGGATAGATAGATAGATGGATGGATAGATAGATGGATGGATGGGTGGATAGATGGGTGGATAGACAGAGAGATAGGTGATAAATAGATAGATAGATGGATATAGATAGATACCAAGATTGATAGATAGATGGTAGATGATAGAGAGATACAGATGGATACATAGATAGATGTAGAGATAGATATACAGTTGGATAGATAGATAGATACAGATATAGAAACGGATATATAGATGATAGCTAGAGAGAGAGAGAGATTAGATAGATAGATAGATTAGATAGATAGATAGATGTACAGATGGATGGATAGGTAGACAGACAGACTGACTCTTATGCTAAGGCAGGATTTCTCAGCTTCATCACTCTTTAAATTGTGGGCTGGGTGACTCTCTGTGGTGGGCCATCCTGTGCACTGTAGGATGGTTGACCAGCATCCCTGGTGTCCACCCACCAGATGCCAGGAGCATCGCCTCTCCCTGAGCTGTGACACCTGAAATGGTCTCCAGACATTGCTGAGTGTCCCCTGGAAAGCAAAGCTGTCCCCATGGAGAGCCACTGGTTCAAAGTTGTCAGCCCTGGAGACGCAAAGAAAACTCTCCAAGATTTTTAAGACCTTACCATCCACCACACGCAACAAAACAACTTTTGAAAGCATCATTCGAAACTAGAGTGGGCTGCTCTGTTTCCCATTAACCAGAGACCAAGTGACCGCCTGTCAGGGGTGCTATAGAAGGGATTTCCTGTGGAGTGGGAACCGGAGCCAAATGGCTTTGGAGTTCCTATTTGAAATGAGGAGTCCCACTCTGGTTTTTGATGTCTGACGGCTGACATCCTTCAGACCTCACTCCTCCCTCTTGCCTTGTGCCCCACATCTGGACGAGCTAAGAAAGCCCCATGCTTCCTCCTTCAGTGCCCGTGGGAGATTCAAACCACACCAGCCCCTGCCCATGCGTGGGAACCCTCATCCTGGCCCCACGCCCACCCCACAATAATAACCCCAAGCCAGGCTCCCACCCCCATTCTCTCAAGCCATTGCAGACCTGTATGGGAGTTTCCCATGCTCTCCCAAAATGCTTCATCATGAGAGTCATAAATCTCAAACCCTTCTGAGGGGTGTGTGTTTGTGATATCATCAGGCTTGACCCTCAAAACAAACTTCTGGAGGGTGGGTCCACTTGCCTCTTCAGGAGACCATCATGCCACGAATTCTAAAGCCAGGTGAAGTCCCTACAGTAATGTTGATGCCCTCCACCCCGATGCCCTTCAAGGCAGGGTTCCCCGTCAATGGATGCATGTGCCCCTCCTGACGGTGACATTTGTGTGGCTCACTCAGGACGCCCCATATCGACCGGCTTGCTGAGGAAGGCGTGAGGCTCACCCAGCACCTGGCGGCCGCCCCGCTCTGCACTCCGAGCAGAGCTGCGTTTCTCACAGGGAGACACTCTTTCAGATCAGGTTGGTGCTGTGTAGACGGCCGACAAAAGGGCACGTCCGCGTCCGCTCATCTGTCGTCCTTAATAATTGGGCAGCAACGGTTGAGGTAGAGGAAACTGGTCGAAACATAGTCTGCAGTTGTGTCGTCTTGTAATTGCGTAAAGAATACTCTGTTTTGTGTAGTTGTGCAAAAAAAATGCATGAATATTGGGAATTCAGACGGCTCAAACTCTTCAGTGGGACCTGCTTGCATTTGACATTTTTCTCTATTTGTTTAAATATCTGAGTCAATCTTGAGGTGAAATCATGATTTCAGATGGGCTCTGAGGGCGCGGTGCAGGAAGCTGAATAATGCCCCGCATCCCAAACATGCCACATCCCAATGCCCAGAATCTGTGAGTGTGTCCTTATATGGCAGAGGGGACTTTGCAGGTGTGATTAAGGATCTTGAGATGGGGACATTATCCTGGATGATCCCGGTGGGCCCAATGTCATCACAAGGGTCCTTTTATAAGAGGGAAGCCGGACATTCAGAGTCAGAGGAGATGTGATGGAGAAAGGGGCCACGAGCCAAGGAATGTGAGCATCCTCTAAAAGGAACGGAGCCCTGCCAACACCATGATCTTAGTATTCCAATCCCCAGAAATGCAAGAAGATAAATCTCTGTTGTTTTATGGCACCAAATTCACAGTGATTGGTTACAGCAGCAATTGGAAAACGAGTACAGAGAGCCGTGTCGAAACTTTTGGTGTGAGGAAAGTGGTCATGTTCCTCGCAGGTATGTATGATGAGAGAGACAGGGAGCCGTTAAGACAGTTCAAAATTAATCAGAAAACCCCCAAAGTTACACCAACGGACACCCAGCAGAGCGGCTGGATTGAAAAAGGTAGACAGTACTAAGTGTTGGCAAGAATGTGGAGAAAGTGGAATTCCTCGCACACTGTGGATGGAGCTAGACAGTGGTATAACCACTGTGGAAATTTGTCAGCATCCGCTTAAGCGGAATGCATCCATGCCCCGTGACCCAGCAATTCCTAAGTACATTCTCAACATGTATGCACATGGATGTTCTACCAAAGATAGGGATGCGAATGTTTACAGCAACACTGAGGTGAGACCCCAAATACAAAACAGTTCATCAACAGAAGAATGGATTAATAAACTGGTCTATTCACACATTGGAATTATTCTGTTAGTCTGCTCCAGCTGTAATAACAAAAGACCACAGGTGGTTAGTCTAAACAACAGACATTTATTTCTCCCCATCCTGGAGGCTGGACAACCAAGAGCCAGGTGCAGGCAGGGCTGGATCCTCCTGAGGCCTCTCTCCTTGGTGTGTGGACGTGTCTTCTCCCCGTGTCCTCACGTGGTCGTCCCTCTGTGCGTGTCTGCGTCCTCATCTCTTCCCATCAGGACCCCAGTCCTGTTGCATCAGGACCCGCCCTCATGACCTCATTTCACCTCCATCACCTCCTTAAAGACCCATCTCTAAATACAGCCACATCCTGAGGTCCTGAGGGTTAGGTCTCCATTCACTAGGTGCCGGCAGCAACTACTCTCCCACCTTTCCTGAGTGTGACAACCCAAAATGCCTCCGGTATTGCCAAGTGTCCCTTGGGGGCAGGATCACCTTTGCTTGGGAACCACTGCCACAGACAGAAGATTAATAGATGATAGATAATTAGATAGACAGATAGGAAGAAAGTAGATAGATAAAAAGAAAGCAGATAGATAGATAGACAGATAGATAGATAGATGATAGATAGATGGATGGATGGATGGATGGATAGATAGATGGATGGATGGATAGATGGATGGATAGGATGGATGGATGGATGGATAGATGGATGGATAGATGGATGGATGGATGGATAGATGGATGGATGGATGGATGGATGGATGGATGGATAGATGGATGGATGGATGGATGGATGGATGGATGGATGGATGGATAGATGGATAGATGGATGGATGGATAGATGATAGATGGATGGATAGATACATGGATGGATAGATAGATAGATACATAGATAGATGATAGATACATAAGGATAGATAGATGATAGATAGATGATACCTAGATGATAGACAGATGATAGATGATAGAGATAGATAGATGATAACTAGATGATAGCTAGCTAGATGATAGATAAATAGATGATAGCTGATAGATAAACAGAGAGAATCTCACATGCCGAGGCCCAGGCTTTATCAGCCTCAGCCCTGCTGACACTGGGGCTGGATGACTCTCTGTGGTGGGGGCCGTCCTGGTCGCTGTAGGGCGTTTCCACCCAGTAGATGGCGGTAGTGCCCCTCTCCCAGTTATGAAAACTAATTCCAGGCGTTGCAAAGCGTCCACTGCTCAGGGGGTCAGAGTTGTCCTCAGCTGAGAACCCACGCGGCAGCTGAGGCACAGTGAAAGCTTCCTCTGCGCTCTGCTCCACAGGCATGGACGCCAGCGATGGGTACCGGGCGCTGCAGTGGAACGGAGGCTCGGGCGGGCTCCCTGAGAACGAGACCACGTTTGCGAGAATCCTGCAGCAACAAGGTTATGCAACGGGCCTCATAGGTGAGGGATGCAAGACGCTCCTATCATTCGGTGGTTGGGAGGATGGGTGACCCAACAGAACCTGTTTTCCTACAAGGGAAAAAAGTCATGTGTCAGAACCCAAATTTGGCACCCCATCCATCTTATCCCTCTTGGATTGTTCACAGAGTTGAGATTTTTGTCATTGATGAACAATTTTAATTCAAAATCTCGTTCCGTTGGCCTCTTTCTTTCCCTGGACATATCAATCTTCTCTCCCAATTCATCAGAAACTTCTAGAGACTTTCCTTAAATGGCCACCCACCACCTTGAAACCCTCAGAGTTAATAACCACTGCCTTCCTTTACATAGCACGCCGGGGAGGATCAGAAGCTCCCTCATTATAAAGGAGGCTGTGTGGGGGTCCCCAAGACCACCCCTCAGTTAGATGATTCTCTAGGAGGACTCAGGCTCAGCATAGAGTTGGACCCACAGTTATGGTTTATTACAGTAAAAGCATACAGAGCAAAGATCAGCAAAGAGAACAGATGCATGGGATGAAATCTTGGAGACACCAGGCGGAAGCTTCCAGACTCTTCTGGAAGTCACACAGGATGCACTTAATTCCTCCAACGATGACTTGTGACAACACGTGCAAAATGTTGTCACCAGGAAGCTCCTTAGAGACCCAGCGCCCAGGGTTTATATTGGCACCCGCTGCCTGGCGCCCACCAAAATTCCAGCCTCCCCCAAGGAAAGCTGGTGTTCAGCAAAAACCAGGCTGTTTGTGCAAACGGTTTAGGTGCAGGGAGCCTTTCTTTATCATTTATGGAATGAGGTCAACCTTCTGAAAAATCCAGATCTCAGACCTTAGCAAGGGGCCAACCTTGCAAGACCTTCTGTGAGGTTCCCTCTTTTCTGCACAGAGAGGACGGGAGGAAGAGTTGGTGTCCACCTGTCACGGACCAGGCTTTCATCCCTTGCTCCACCCATGGGTTTAGAAGTATCATCCCCGTCTTACAAACCATGAAATGGAGGCTCAGTGATGGGGTGGTCTGCCCCAACCCCACAGTCAAGGGAGGGCTGCATTAGATCTGTGGGCAGGGCGCCCCAATCAATTCTTTGCTGCGTTCTTCCCATACTGACGGTCGCTGTTCGGTTCAGAGGGGACCGCGACATTCTCACTTGCTCAAGGCTGTGATTGGCTTGGAGGTGATCAACGTTGTTGCACTTTCTAGAAATCCCTCCTATTTTCGAAATAGAGATTATGTAAATTTATTTCTCACAGTTCCGGATGCCGGAAGTCCAATATCAAGTTGCCAGCAGATTCTGTGTCTGGTGAGGACCCTATTCCTGGTTCATAGATGGCCATCTTCTCTCCGCGTCCTCACGTGGTGGAAGGGATGGGGGAGCTCTCTGGGGGCACTGATCCCGTCCATGGGGGCTCCACCCTCATCATCTAATCACCTTCCAAAGGCCCCACCTCCCAACATCATCACCTTGGGGGTTGGGATTCCACATATGAATTTTAGGGAGACGCCAGCATTCAGTCTATAGCATACCCTATCTCCAAGGGATTTTTCAAGGTCATTGCACACATTGACACTCTCACCTTCATTTCTCTTTCCAATCCTAAGGAAAGCAAGCCTTCTGAGCCACCTGAATTGACCGGAATGTTCCATGAGCAACTCCCACCATTGGGTCAACGTGCCTGATCCCGTAGCCTTCTGTGTATCTCCTCCTCACCAGGGGCATTTATTTCTGTGTTTGCTAGAATTGCAGACCTGGGCATCAATTCCTGGTCCACACACTCGGTCTATACTTGGGGAAGCCTGTTCTTCACGTTCCAAAGGATAGAAAGCTTTTTTTTTTTTTTTTTTTTTTTTAGAGTTAATGATAGGTTACAATCTTGTGAAATTTCAGTTGTACATTAATGTTTGTCAGTCATGTTGTAGGTGCACCACTTCACCCTTTGTGCCCACCCCCCACCCGACCTTTCCCCTGGTATCCACTAAACTGTTCTTGGTCCATAGTTTTAAATTCCTCATATGAGTGGAGTCACACACAGATTATCTTTCTCTCACTGGCTTATTTCACTTAACATAATTCTCTCAAGGTCCATCCATGTTATTGCAAATGGGATGATTTTGTTCTGTTTTGCAGCTGAGTAGTATTCCATTGTATATATGTACCACATCTTCTTTATTCATTCATCTGTTGATGGGCACTTAGGTTGCTTCCATGTCTTGGCTATTGTAAACAGTGCTGCAATAAACATTGGGGTGCACAGGACTTTTGGGATTGCTGACTTCAAGCTCTTTGGATAAATACCCAGTAGTGGGATGGCTGGATCGTATGGTAGTTCTATTTTTAACTTTTTGAGGAATCTCCGTACTGTTTTCCATAGTGGCTGCACCAGTTTGCATTCCCACCAGCAGTGTATGAGGGTTCCTTTTTCTCCACAACCTCTCCAACATTTGTTGCTATTAGTTGTAGATATTTTTGTCATTCTAACGGGTGTAAGGTGATATCTTAGTGTAGTTTTGATTTGCATTTCCCAGATGATCAGCGATGATGAGCATCTTTTCATGTGCCTATTGGCCATCCGTATATCTTCTTTGGAGGAATGTCTGTTCATGTCTCCAGCCCATTTTTTGATTGGGTTGTTTGATGTTTTGTTGTTGAGTTGCGAGAGTTCTTTATATATTATGGATATTAAGCCTTTGTCAGATATATGACTTGCAAATATTTTTTCCCAGTTAGTGGGTTGTTTTTTTCTTTCAATCCTGTTTTCATTTGCCTTGAAGAAGCTCTTTAGTCTGATGAAGTCCCGTTTGTTTATTCTTTCTATTGTTTCCCTTCTCTGAGAAGGCATGGTGTCCGAAAAGATCCTTTTAATATTGATGTCAAAGAGTGTACTGCCTACGTTTTCTTCCAGAAGCCTTATGGTTTCAGGTCTCACCTTTAGGTCTTTCATCCATTTTGAGTTTATTTTGGCGAATGGTGACCAAAGGATAGAAAGCTTTTGAGGTGGCACAGCGTCCTGTAGAGTTTTCTTCTCCACGGTCCTCCCCAGATTCCAGCACTTCTGTGTCTTTGTGAAAAGGGAGATAGAAGTGAGTCTGGGCTCTGGGACTAGAACAGATTCCTCCAGGTTCTGAAGACAGCGTGGGAGTGGTGGGAGGGGAGAGCGGGCAGGAACCTGGTTGAACTTCTCCACTTGGAAGTTACGGGAGACAGGACATTGGAGACTTTTCCATCCTGTTTTGTAGCTACATTTAATTTGGTTGAGGGTCTAGGACATAGGAGATAGAAAGTGCCCATGGACAACCCAATTCTTGGACATTCTCCTAGAATTGGACAAGTCGGCGTCCTCATGTTCCATCTCCACAATATCCTTGTAAGAGTTATGGCTTCTGAAAAAAATCTCTAAGTGTTTCATGATTCCCAGTTAGCGGAGGGAGCCAGTTACTTCGACTCTGTCCTAAGATGATTTAAGAGCCAATGTCCATTATCAGCTGGCTTCCTTTTAAGTAAAAAATATTGGTAAATGATATTTTGTAAGTTATTTTTAATAGCAGAATGGTCTAGGGTTGCAAACTTGTAATCCCAAACGCTCCATAAAATCTTAAACCATTAATCGCTTGATGATGGTCATTGCATTGATGCATTCCTTAGTCTTTATGAAGTATAGTGTATCCATTTAAATACCCATATCAAATAAACTCATTTTATCCCTTTCTATTTCAAATTTCTAATCTATTCCTTTCTTATTTCAAATTTTGGTGTTTGCATACCTGCCTCTTCATCGCAACGTCCAGATTCTTCTGAGAAGGTGATTCCTATCAGACGAGTACCTTCCATATATGTTTTTTGCTTACCTTTTTGCTTTTTATTCTTAGGAAAATGGCACCAGGGTGTAAACTGTGAATCGCGCGTAGACCACTGCCACCACCCGCTAAACCATGGATTTGACTATTTTTATGGCATGCCCTTCACACTCGTGAATGACTGCCACCCAGACAGGCCCCCGGAAGTGGACGCCGCCACGCGAGCGAAACTCTGGCGTTACACCCAGATGCTGGCCCTGGGGATGCTCACCGTTGCTGCCAGCAAGGCCTGTGGGTTAATCTCCGTGTCCTGGAAAGCGGTTACGGGTGCGGCCGGCCTCGTCTTCCTGTTTTTCGCGTCCTGGTACGCCAGCTTTGGGTTTGTGCGCCGCTGGAATTGCATCCTGATGAGAAACCATGACGTCACAGAGCAGCCCATGGTTTTGGAAAGGACAGCGAGTCTCATGCTCAAGGAAGCGGTTTCCTACATTGAAAGGTAATCAAACCACCACGTTTCAAAGTGGGGATGAGTTCTCCAAGCATCTGAGTCTCTTGAGCATCTTTAGGATTTCATAGATGGGCTTGAAGAATTCAAGCCTTTTCCTATGGGTTGGTTCCCAAAACTTGAGTCTCTCCTTTGAAGGAATGTGATGGACCAAAAAGCATTGAAACAGATGCCATGATGTTGCAAGGGCGGTTTTCTCCTTTCAGAAATAAGCACGGGCCATTCCTGCTCTTCGTTTCCTTGTTGCACGTACACATCCCCCTTGTGACCACGAAAGAGTTTCTTGGCGAAAGCCAGCATGGCTTATATGGCGACAACGTGGAAGAGATGGACTGGCTTGTAGGTAAGTGAAGGCACGACCCAGCCTTACTCACTCTTGGCCTCACCCATAAAGTGTGGTGAAACACTGGCCATCTTACCATGAACCAGGTTACAATAAAGAATAAGAGAAAAGATGAGGAATAGGAAGAAAACTCTCCCATATTGTGCACGAGCTCCTTTGACATTTCCCATTTCTTGGTCTACTTTGGTGCAAATTCCTCCTTCTCCAGTGTCCGTTACTTAAAGCCATCTCGAGACGTGACAGAAAGCGAAGCAAGAAGGTTCAGGAAAGCGGACCCAAATCTCTTTCCTCCTATGGCTTCAAGAAAGCTTCGGGAGGACCAGCAAGATTGTAGACTCTTAAAAAGAACGAATGTAGACATTGAGACCTTTGTAGCCTACGATCGTGTGTCCCAACCAAGCTTAGTGACACGCTCAGCCAGGTAAAGAGCCAAACCACCCCCAAAATAGAAGGGTGATTACATAACGTGGTGACAAGCTGTCTTTCAGTGGGACAAATCCCCATGTGGTTTACGATCTTTATTTTCAGTGCTTTCGATGCCCATGTGGTGTCCATGGATAAGCGGTTGCTTGGTTTGCGGATGGTTCTGCATGCTGAGTCTTGGCCCTCTATGGGAATACCCACAGACGCTCACAACCCTGGTTTCCTCCTGTATCAACAGGAGTCTCCCCGACACTGTTTCTCACCACGTTCCCACCCCCACACGCTGATGACAGACACGTGGACACATGCACCTGTAGCGTATCTAAAACATTCCCTTGGGGACATCTTGGCTTCATGTGTTTGTTGTGTTTTCTGCATTGGTGGTACCTTTGTAAACAAGATTCTGAATTCCTTGGTATCAGAACCATTGGCTATGCCTTCACACTTTGCGGCTTTGGTCATCACCACGGTCTCCAGGGCACTGTGGTCCCTTCTGATGACTATCTAGGAAGCGATGACATTCACAGAGAGGGGGAGTCGTGCTGACTTCGGCTGACGCCATTTCACTTCCTTCATCCCAAAACGTTCCATTTCTCGTGAAGGTGAAATTCTTAACGCCGTCGAAGAGAACGGCTTGAAAAACACGACATTCACCTACTTTACCTCCGATCACGGGGGACATTTGGAGGCAAGAGACGAACACAGCCAGCTCGGAGGATGGAACGGAATATACAGAGGTAAGACCGGTGGATGTGGGAGGTTAAGAAGCTGCTATCAACCAAATGACTCCGCCCCCAGGGAAGGCTGGAGGAGAGCTGGTAGTGATAACGAGGGTGCTCTTTCAAAGAGGATTTCTTGAGCATCTACTTTAGACCACGTTCTACTTCAATGCCAAGATAGAGAGACAAAGACACAGGGCGTTCCCTTCCAGGGTTCATATTTTAGTAAGAGAGACATATATAAATAAATAATGGAGCTAAAATTAAAATAAATACTGTTCTAAATAAAACCTAGCATAGTGATTATATTCCCAATTGTGTATGTCCCTGTATTGCTTTCTATCGGTCAGGTTTGGGTACCATACATTTATATTGCTGTTTTTAAAAAGTTTGATATGGTCAATGCGCCTTATTCATGGATTCCATCTCTTGGGGATTCTCCTGCCTGCTAAAATTTCTTTGTAACCCCAAAATCAACACCTGAGGCACTTTTCCAGTCATTTGAAGAGCGGCCAAAAAATTGAGTCGTGTGATGCCCACATTCCCAGCCGGGGTTGGACAGGGCGACTCTCTGACTTCTTGTTTCAGCTCCCAGACCGTCAACATGCGTCCTTTCCGTGGTCTACTTAGTGTCACGTTTTTGCATTTTTGTGCTTTTTCTTGGCGATTTCACTGTTTAAAAGGCTCCCAATGGAGCGCTAAATTGCCGCCTAGCACAGAAAGGCTGCGATGTGCCTTACGGAGAAAATACGTGTGTGAGAGGAGCTTCCTCCAGCCAGGAGATATAGTGCATTGACTCTGAGTTCAATGTTGATCAATCAACTATATAGATTCAATCAGGTGCCTTGAAACAGAAATACACATAAACAAGGTTAGGTATTGATCGACTGATGAAAATATGGAGATCAGAGCTTCACAGGAACCTAGCTCTGTATTGCCCTGGGAACAATGGTTCACTATTCGCCGATTCAGTGTTTTTGGTGACTTTACAAAACATAAGAATGATAATGATGAGAATCGACTGTATATGAGCCTGTTACAATTTTGGAAGTTCCCATACGTGTGAGCGTGTTAGACAGAACTCAAAAAATGGCCCCACCAAAATGCTCCTCGTTGACGCCTGGCATCGGTGACTATGGTGGGCCCTCACTCTCATGATTGCATTGTGTCATATGGCACCCTTGACCTTTAGGTAGGGAGATGATCTGGGTGGGCCTGGCCTAATCACATGAAACTAGATTTTTCCAACGCCCTGAACAAACACAGAAGTGGATTTTTCCTCCGATCCTCTGTTGAGGAGTCCAGACAGCCGACACCTTGATTTCAGACTTGTGAGACCCAGAGCAGAGGACCCAGCCCTGCCGTGCCACCCTTTCGACCTACAGAACTGAGACCTGGAAACAGGAGTTGTTTTAAGTTGCTGAGTTTTAATAACTTGTCACACAGCAGTAGAAAACTGATGCAATAGCCTTAAAGCTTTAACTCCAATAAAAAAAAAAAGCATTTATTTAGCAGGATTCTGAACATTTCTCTCCCTCCTTAAAATTCTCCCACCGTCACATGTAATTGTTTTAATCCCCGTAGCTTGAGTTCCGAGGGAGTGTGAGCACACTGGCTGACGCTTAATAATTATTTGCATTTCACCAAGAGCCAGCCTGGGCCTCCCGCCCATTGCCAGAGGTCCCTGGGAGGGTGGCCTTGGAGATGAGAAGGGGTAGGAGAGAGAGGGCAAAGAAATGCATGGAAGGTGTGCTGAGGAGAGGCGACAGGGAGAAGGGAAGTTCACAGGCCCAGTCCTCAGTCCATCCAGAAATTAAAAGGACGGAGGAAGATGCGGGCAACCAACCGTCCATTTGTACGAAATCCCCGTACCACTCATTCCCCCACATCCCTTTGGTTAGGGCCGCCATGGAGACCCAGCGAATTTCAAGGAGAGGGGATGTGGCCTCCACCCGCTGCATGCAGATGTGTGTCCAGACTGGACGATCTCCTGGACAATCATAACGATGTCGTCTCCTTACAGGTGGCAAAGGCATGGGCGGCTGGGAAGGCGGGATCCGTGTCCCCGGGATATTCCGGTGGCCCGGGGTGCTGCCGGCCGGCCGAGTGATCCACGAGCCCACCAGCCTGATGGATGTTTTCCCCACCGTGGTCCAGCTGGCGGGCGGCCAGGTGCCCCAGGACAGGTACACGTGCCTTGAAACCACCCACCCTCTATTTCCTGAGGGCTCGCCCTTCACTCTGCCACATTTAGGGGAAAAACCTACAACGACATGACAACATTTACAAACTTCTCCCGGCCTCAAATGCAGGGGACAGCCTATCATAAAATACCCATACCCAGCCAAACGTAAGATTAAATAAAACCTTGACTCGTTTTGCAGTTTCGGTAAAAATTTTAGACCTCAGCTTAACGATGGGAGATTAGAAAGTAGAACGCGATCTGTTGAAAAACATCTCCCTATAATTTCCTGAAATGCAATCTTGCCCGTAGGTTGATGAAGCTGTGACAATAGGACTTAAAAATGATTTCTCCCTCCATGTTATCACACGGCCAAACAGTCAGCCTAACACAGGAGAAAAAAACAGAAGTCAGTATTTTTTTGATAATGATTTGATGTTACTCCTCCGTCCTTGTAAGGCATCATAATATGAAGTATTCTATCTCCAACTTCTCACCCCGACAAAAGCATCTGTATCATCAGAGTGGCCCATGCAATTGTGCAGGCTGGCAAATGGAAATCCTTACGTCAGGCCGGCAGGCTGGAAACTCAGACAGAATTCCATCTTCTCTGGGAAACCTCAGTCTTTGCTCTTGCTGACCTTCAACTGATCAGACGAGAACCACCCTCCTTAGCAAGGGGGATGTGCTTTGCTTAAGGTCTCCTGATTGGAGATGCTAACCACTGCTACAAAGTACCTTGATGGCGACACCCAGACATGTGTTTCACCAAGCAGCTGGGCATCATCGCCCAGCCACGTAGACACACAAAATGGGACCATCACAGTCACGCTATAATTAAAAGTCAACAGCTAAAAGTGCTTTACTGTTGTAAGGAAAAGTACTCCATTTCGACATTGAATTCAGATTGAGGACTTCTGAAAATTATACGTTCTTTATGGGGAAGGACCACCAGGTTGTGTCCATCACTGGCTTCCCTTGTCCAGCTCCTTCATACATGTGACCACACATGTTGGAATCTATAATGATTTAAAGATTTTTGCTGCCCTGTTGCTCAACCTAGGGGCGTGGGCAGTCCAGCTGGAATTTAAGAAGACCTTGTGTTAACATCTGGGGTCAGAATGGTGTGTGTTGGTGCGTGTGTGTGCATGCATGTGTGTGTTCTGCCTCTGTAGTGCTGGGTAACAAACGACCCCGATACTTGGTGACTTTGTGTCTTAAAATAACCCTTTGTATCTTGCCCAGCAACTTGCAGTCCGGCAGTGCTCAGGGAGACAGCTCATCTCTGCTCCATTCCCTCTAAGCTGGGACCCCTGCAGCCTTAGAGTTTTATTCCCAGGTGCGAAATGCAGCTGGAGCGGCCTACGTGTGATTCCGTCCTGTGCTGTCTTCTCTGAATCAGGGTGATCGATGGCCGTAGCCTGGTGCCCTTGCTGCAGGGAGCTGCTGAGCACTCGGAGCATGAGTTTCTGTTTCATTACTGCGGGAAGCATCTGCACGCAGCTCGCTGGCACGACAAGGACAGTGAGTACATGCCCTATCCCTGACACAGTGGGGGCTCATACTAGTCAGTGTGCTCCAGAGAAACAGAACCAAGAGGATGTGTGGATGGACAGATGGATGATAGACAGACAGATAGATGGATGGATGGATAGATAAATGATGGATGGATGGATAATGGATGGATGGGTGGATGGATGGGTGGATGGATGGATGGATGGGTGGATGGATGGATGGATGATGGATGGATGGATAATGGATGGATGGGTGGATGGATGGATGGATGGGTGGATGGATGGATGGATGGATGGGTGGATGGATGGATGGATGATGGAGAGAAAGATGCTGAAAAGATGATAGATGATAGATAGGTGATAAGTGATAGATAGATAGGTGATGGATGGATAGATAAATGATAGATGGATGAATAGATCAAGGGCTGATAGATAGACAGATAGAGATAGGTGAATAGATAGATGACGGATGGATGGATGACTGGCTAATGGATGGATGGAAGATAGATGATGAAAAAGATAGATAGATAGATAGACAGGTAGATAGATGATAGCTAGTTAACTAGCTAGAAAGATGATGATAGAGAAAGAGAGAGATTGATTGATTGACTGATTGATTGATTTTAAGATATTGGCTTACCTGGCTCTGGGGGCTGGCAAACCGGAAACCCGCAGGGCAGGCTGGCAGCCTGGAGCTGTTGGCCATCTTGAGTCCAAAGGCTGGAAACTCAGGCAGAATTTCTATTCTGGCCTTCTGGAAGCAGAATTCCTTCCTCTTTGGGGGACCTCGGTCTTTTTTCCCTTGAGTCCTTCAGCTGACTGCATGCGGCCCACCAACATTATGGCAGGCAGTCTGCTTTCCTCCAAGTCGACTGTTTTCCAAGTTAATCTTACCTAAAAAGAAATACCTGCAAGGTGACATCTGGGCGGGTGTTCCACCACATCTCCAGGCACCTTAGCCTGGCCGGGCTGACACATCAAATTTACCATCACAGGGAAAATCCCTTTCTTACAAGCTGAGAAGAACCACTCGAGGTCTCAAGGAGGACGGCAGCTGGTGCCTGGCTGCAGTTATGGAGGAAGGGCCATGCCGGCTCCACTCCCTGCCGTCCTCTGATTGGCTCTGTTATCTGCAGTGTATCCAAATGAGCTTCTTGAGGACCTAGCAAGACTTTTGCCAATCCTACTTGTTCTTGTTTATACAAGTAATATGGGGACAGTGAACAATTAACACATAGGAAAAGGGTGAGAAGGAACTAAGTGGCATCTATGATCTGAATCCCCACGGGGAGCCACACACACACATACGCACGCACACCCACACGGATATGACAACATCCATGTTGTACAACTTGCATTCTCCTATCTTCTCTTTTTTTATTTGACGTGGGATGTCGATGAGGCTTGCCCGGTGCTGGTACCTGGGTCAGGTGCTCACTCTCCATCAGGTTTCTCCTGCTCTGACCTCGTTCCCATTTGCATCCAGGTGGAAGACTCTGGAAGGTCCATTACATGACGCCACGGTTCCACCCGGAGGGAGCGGGCGCCTGCTACGGCCAAGGCGTGTGCCCGTGCTCTGGGGAGGGCGTGACCCAGCACAACCCCCCTTTGCTCTTTGAGCTCTCCAGGGACCCTTCCGAGGCACGGCCCCTGACTCCCGGCTCTGAGCCCCTGTACCACGCAGTGGTAGCGAGGGTGGGCCAGGCGGTGGAGGAGCACAGGGAGACCCTGAGTCCTGTGCCACCACAGTTTTCACTGAGCAACATCCTGTGGAAGCCGTGGCTGCAGCCTTGCTGTGGCATCTTCCCCTTCTGCTCCTGCACCCAGGACGAGGACCACAGGGAGACATGACCTCGCACTTGTCAGGAAGGCTGCCCTCAGAAAGACGGGAGATAAGGTGCATTGATGAGGATGTGGAGAAGAGGGAACCCTCGTGCACGATTGGTGGGAATGCAGGTTGCTGCCGCCTCTGCGGAAAACAGTATTGAGGTTCCTCCAAAAATAAAAATAGAACTACAATGTAGTCCATCAATTGCACTTCTGCATGTATATCTGGAGGAAATGAAATCAGGATCTCAACGAGATATCTGCACCCCCATGTTCATTGCAGCATTATTCACAATAGCCAAGACATGGAAGCAACCTAAGTGTCCTTCAATGAGTGAATGGATAAGGAGAATGTGGTATAGCCATACAATGGAATATTATGCAGCCATAAAAAAGGGAGGAATCCTGCCATTTGCAACAAGCTGCACGGACCTTGAGAGCATTATGCTAAGTGAAATAACTCAGAGAATGACACATACCGTATGATCTCACTTATATGTGGAAGGTAAAGAAAAAAAAAAATAAGCTCATAGAAGGAGAGAGTAGAATGGTTATTGCCAAGGGCTGGGGGAGTTGGGGGGATGTTGGTCGAATGGTACCCACTTCCAGATGTTGTTCAAATGGTACCCCCTTCCAGTTAGAAGATGAATAAGTTCTGGGGGCCTGATGTCCAGCACGGTGACTACAATTAATAATACTATATTGTGTCCTTGAAAGTTACTAAGAGAGTAGCTCTTCAGTGTTGTCACCACACACATAAAAATGATACTGAGTTGATGAACCTGTTAATTAGCTTGATTGTGGTGATCATTTCACAATGGATACATTTATCAAATCGTCACGTTGTACACCTTAAATAGATATAATTTTATTTGCCAATGATACTTCGATAAAGCTGGAATTTTTTTTTAAAGACAAGGACTGCTCCCACCAAGGGGTAGGACCATGAGAGGGGACCCAGGAGACAATGATGGGACTGATAAAGAATCTACCACGTTGGTTTCCCTTTCTTGAGGAGCATGCCCCAACTTTCACATTTTGGGGGATGTTGATCGGTTCCCCTGTGTCCATCGGGACCCCAGCTGGAAGCAGACCTTGAAAAGGAGACTACAGTGCATCTAAGGCAGGGAGACTTCACTACCAGGAACCAGAGGAGGGTTGTGTTCCAGGGACCCAGGTGGGAGGCAGGATGCCACCACCATCCCTAGGCTCGGAGCCTTCCGGATTCCGGAGGGGGAGTTGGCAGGGGCTGCCCGCAGGGGTGGGGGCCTCGGATAGAAGACCCGACGCAGCCCTGCCTACCAGGAGGCTGGTCCCTCCATCCCCCTGCTCCCTGTACCCATCTCCTCAAGGGGCCTGTGCTGTCTGCACCCAACCTCCGTCTGGCGGGAATCTGAGCCGAGGGGACGCAGGGTCTAGATGCAGCTTCCCGCGGCCAGGTGGGAAGGCGTTGACCTGGCGGGACAAACCGAGAAGACCCAGTACAACTTTTGTGGCTGTTAGTACAGTTGAGTGAATTCCAACTTTCAGTTCCCCCACTCCATGCACAGAAGATGGGAACCCTGCCCGGTCTTTTTGCACCATCCTCTCCCCTTCTGGGACTTAGATCAGACAACGCTCTGCTGCCATTCGTAGGGTTTTCATGGCCAGGTTTTTTGGAAGTGGGTCTGGTGTTGCACTTGATTCTCAAGGGTGTTGCAGAAACCCATTTGTATTAGTTGCTCAGGCTGCCCTAACAAAGGACCCCAAACTGGGCAGCTTACACAACAGACAATGATGGTCTCCCAGTTCTGGAGGCTGGACGTGCAAGATCCAGGTGCGGGCAGGGCTGGTTCCTCCTGAGGCCTCTGTCCTTGGTGTGTAGACGCCATCTTGTCCCTGTGTCCTCACATGGTCGTCCGTCTGTGCGTGTCTGTGTCCTCATCTCCTCTTCTCCTAAGGACCCCAGTCCTGTTGGATCAGGACCCACCCTCATGACCTCAGTTTACCTGCATCACCTCTTCAAAGACCCATGTCCAAATACACTCCCATTCTGACATCCTGGGGGTTAGGGCCTTGACGTAGGAATTTTGGGGGCGGGGGACACAAACATCTATTCATAACATCGTGAAACCTTCCACTAGAATCATTCGAACTGATCATGGTTCAAGAATGTCCTGACATTCAATGAAAACAGCCGTAAACATCGATTTCTTCAAGCTCCATTATTAGCCAGATTCAAGTCTAGGCATGTGTCGCTTAACGACGACGGGGATGTTCTGAGAAATGCGTCTTTAGGCGATTTCGTCTCTCTGTGAACGTCACAGAGCGTCCTAACACAAGCCTAGGTGGTATAGCCTACTACACACCTAGGCTAGATGGTAGTAATCTTATGGGAACCCCATCAGGTATGCAGTCCATCACTGACAGATACGTCATAATGGGGCACGCGGACAACTGAGTATATTATTCAGCCCTTTACAACTGGCACAGAGGGTCTCAGCGTGCTTTGCCCGAGCCGTGGAGTGTTTTCCTTGCTCGTTGTAGTCTTAGGAGGGAGCAGAAAGGGAGGTAAACCATCTAAACGTGAGCCACTGCTCCATGCTCATTAACGTAATTAATGTAATGTAATTAAGTCCACAAGCACCAGGCTAGTCCAGGCTCTGCTCCGCAAACGGGCTTCTGCTGTGGAATTTCTTGGAAAACCAGCGTATTCCCAAGCTAACAACGGAGCGGAAAGACTGCATAAAACAGATTTCCCCCCGGGGTGGGGTTCAATTGTCTGTGTTTGCCCTCCATCCACAATCCTTCTCCGCCCACCTCCACCCCTCCTTTGAAGGACCCAGCCGGACGTTGCTCTTCATAACCCCATGGATCCCACAGAGAAGACCATCCACCCTGGAGTACCCAGCTTTCGGAAAACCTCAACCAGAGACACAGACTCAAGTGCTCACAGGGTTTTATAGACGAGGGAAGGACACCGAGCCTGAGAAGATAAAAATCTGGAGTCTTGAGATGGGGAGATGATCCTGGATGATGCAGGTGAGCCCAATGCCATCACCCGGGTCCTTGTAAGAGGGAGACAGGAGGGTCAGGGTCAGAGAAGATGATGTGATGATGGAAGCAGAGGTCGGAGGGATGCATTTTGCAGATGGAGGGCGGGGGCGTCAGACAGAACCTTCCAGAAGCTGGAAAAGGCAAGGAAGCAGCTTCTCCTCTCAAGCCTCCAAGAGGAGCCAGCTCTGCCCACACCTTGACGTCAGCCCAGAGAGACCCACGGCTGACTTGTGACATCCAGAACCGTGAGACGGTAAGTCTGTGCTGTTTTAAGCTGCTGAGTACGTGATGATTTGTTATGTCAGCTCTAGTAGGAAGCTAACACACTTCCTAGAGGTGTCGGTCCCCCCCACTCCCCAATTCACAAAGGGAAGGGACATTGCATTCCCTCTTCAGCATCTCTCCGCTCCTGCCCATTCTAGACGGACATGGTTCAAGTTCACCTCATCCCCATCCTGAGGCCCCACAGCGCTCCACACCTCTATGAGGGGAAATACCACCTCCTCACTCTCCTTTTTAAAATGCACACTCTCCTGCTCATTGGGAGCAACCGTGGACAAGGATGAAATATATTCCTCTCTGTTGTCAGAAAGCCTTGCATCCCCCACCCAAAAAAAGTATGCAAAGAAAAAACTGCAGAACAAGTAAACAGATTCGCATGCCCATCTTCCCCCGTTCCCTTGTTTAAAAACCCCAGCTTTAACCACACCTGTAGGACCCACGACCGAAACCACGTGCTTCAAATTTAGAGGTTCTGGCTGGCTTATCAACGTCTGGAATCTCTGCAGAAAACCCCCTTTTGGGCTCTTTATTTGGCGTCCTTTAACACTTTCTTGTATGCTCCTCGTGAGTTCAGTTCATTTGGAGTCAAACTATTTTTTTCTCATGGAACACTGTCAGTATTTAAGTCTTGCATGATTTTATTTTATGCATTTTGCTAGTAACGTGTTGCAAAACGAACTCTAAGAACGGTTGGGTGAGTGGAGGGGGATAAGAAAAGACCCCAGAGAAGGGCACTGTCCACAGACCCAAAGTGGAAGGGAGCAGCCTGGAGCCCAAGGATGTGCTGAGCGGGGGACCAGCCAGGGGTTGGGACACAGAGTCAATTTGCAACTGGATCCAACAAGCTCTATGTTTATCTCAGGGGCCGCCTGCAAATCTGGTCTTTGTTAGCCGAGATAAGGGCAGGGGGGTTTATAAGGAGCTGGCTGAAGTCCACAGCTCCCCTGGTGACCTCAGGATCTGTTTCTTTCTTTATAGTTTGCATGTTTGGGACTGGCCTAACCGGTTAGATCGGCCGGTTTAGCTAAGTGAACACAGAGGCATGACCGGCCCCGCCCCTGCAGGGTCTACGTCACCTTAGTGCTCAGTCGGCAGACAGAGTAGATTCTACACCTTTACGAAAGCTCTGCCTGAGGGGGCTGTGCTCCGTGGGGTCTGGGCAATCCACTCAGATATCCAAACGGGGGAGATTCTGACGAACAGAGTCAGCTTGGGCTGGACCCATATATCCGCCTATTAAACTCCAGTGTGGCATTCAACCGATGGCGTTGGCGCATTTGGATGGCGACAGGCAAAAAGACGACTTTAGACCCTTATCTCACACCATGCACAAACAGAAACTCAAAATCCACGGGAGATCTAAACATCAGAGAGAAATCTACAAAACCTCCAGGAGAAACTCTTTCTCATCTTGGGTTAGGAAGAGGTTGTCTTATCTTCTGATCTATTACCAAAAAGACTTGATAAATGAGAGTTTATGAAATTGCAAAGCTTTGGTACGTCAAAGTACCGTGAAGAAAGGGAGAAGATAAGACAAGCCGCAGACTGGGGGAAAATATTTGCCAATGAATACAGCTCAATAAGAAGAAGACAGTAAATCCAATTAATAAGTGGGCAAAAGATGTGAATAGAAGTTATAAATGGCTGATAAGCTGGTTAAAAGATGCTCCACATCATGAGTCATGAGGGAGATGCAAACGAAACTCACAGTGAGATGCCACTTCACACCCTGCCACACTAGGAAATGGCTAGAATCAAAAAGACAGACAATGACTAGTGTTGTTCAGAATGGGGAGAAATCAGAGCCCTCCTACATTGCCGACAGGGGGCAAAAAAGAGGGTGCGGCCACTCCCGAAAATAGTTGAGCCATTACTCAAAACGTTAAGCATCAAGTTACCGTATGACTCAGCTGTTCCACTCCTAGGTACCCATCGAAGAGAGACGCAAACATACGTCCACAGAAACACTTGCAAACATATTGTTCACAGCAGCACTATTCACAGGAGCCAACACGTAGAAATAACCCACATGTCCACTGACGGATGAAAGGGTAAACGCAATGTGGTCCATCCAATGCCGTGGGATATTCTTCAGCCATAAGACAGAATGAAGCTCTGTTACGTGCTACAACCTGGATGAACCAAAAGAAGGGGGGAAAAAAAGCCATTTTGAGTGAAAGAAACCAGACATGAGAGCCCACAAATCATTCCATTTATATGAAATGTCCACAGAAGGTGAAACTAGAGAGAAAGAAAATAGATTAGTGGCTGTCTGGGGCAAGGATGGGGAATTAACTGTAAATGGACATGAAAGATGCCATTGGGGTGATGGAAATGCTCTAAAATTAGAACATGGTGACGTTTGCACCATTTGGTAAATTGACTGAAAAATCGTTGAATTATATAAACAGCTGAACTTTTTGACATAGAATGTTGTTTTTAAAATTCCAACTGTCTTTTTTTTTTTTTTTTTTCCTTTCTGCAGGCTCTTAACCAGGCAAGGGCTGATGTTAAATTTACCAGCTTGCTTTTTCGAGCTTTTCCAGCAAAGACATTCTCAGGTTTGTCTTAAGTGTGGTTAAGGAAAAGCAGGCCGGTGTATAAAGTTCAACCTGTAACCGGTTATGTACAACATAAAAAAGGTGGCCTGCATTCTGATGCCTCTAAGATGAACAGAGCTTCATAACCAAGCTCTTCTTAACATAACAGAAGAGAAAACATTCCTGAAAGGGTCTGGGATAAGCCAGAACTCCCTGTACTCAGCTGTCTTCCCTCCTGGTTAGACGGTACCATGACTCGGTTACACATTAAAAGGCGCCAAACGAAATACCTGCCGTTTGGCTTTGTGAACCAACAGCCACAGAAAATCTCCCAAACCAAGGTAGGTTGGTCTCCGTTATCTTCCATCGCGATGCTTTTGGAACCTGGGATAAACATCCGGGTACAATTGAATTGCTTGTCTCAGCCTTGATTTCTATCATTAAGATTGTCATAACCATGGGGAGGTGTCTTTCTTTATGCCACGTGCATAAACATTTACCCATGTGCCGGTTGGTTGACATGTTTGATTTGCGGTTAACTAACCATAGAGGCGTTGTTTGGGGTGCTGAGTTCAGTTCCTCATGGCTGACCCCCGTGGGCACATGACCCCTTGCCATGCATGCCTGCCCCCCCAAAATGGAGATAAGATGAAGGCAGAGGATCCTGGGCCCCCTTCCTCCCACCTGGTCCTCCTGACCTCTGCCTTCCTCCCAGGGCTGCTGGAAGCAAGAGGCAGAATTAGTCTGACTACCTCACCCCTATAACTTACCCTTGCCTCCCACATCTCTAGCTCCCAGCTCCCAAGAAAGGGAAGGCCACACTCAGAAACCCAGCTTGCAATGAGGGGAGGCGACAGCTGGCTTGGCATTGCTACACGTGTCGATGAGGCAGGATAGAGTTGTCTGCGGCGGTTAAAAACAGGGGTCTGGAAAGTGGCAGCCTTGTGTGCAAATTCTTACCTCTATTTCTTCGTTATCATGTCTTTGGGCAAATTTCTTTAACTCAACTTCAGTGTCTGCAACTATAGCATGAGACATACGCAACTCCCCATTTAATCTCTTTTTAAAAAAAAAAACTTTTTTATGCTGGGATAATTGGAGATTCACCTGCAGTTGTAAGAAATAATATAGAGAGATGCCACGTAGGCTTTGTCTGTTTCCCCCAATGGTCCAGCTTGCAAAGCTGTATACAGCATCGCAACCAGAATATTGGCGGTGATGCAATCCATTGCTCTCGTTCAGATTTCCTCAAGGTAGCTTGTTCTTCTCTGTACGCCTGTCTTTTTAGTTCTTTGCAATTTGTTTGCACGTGTAGATTCCTGTGAAAGCACTAAGATGAAGATATACAAGAGTTCCACCACACGGCTCCCGGGCCAACCTTTTATAGTCACTACTGTCTCTCCCATTCCTCTCAACCCCTGGCAACCTCTGGTTGGTTCCCCATCTTTCTAATTTTGTCATTTGGAAGGGCAAATACCATCGTTATGGGTCCACGATAATCACAGAGTGGCAGATCCGGATGGTTCAACTCCACCTACGTTGGGCATAATCCTAATGTGTACCTCTGAGGTTGAAAGGGTTCGATGGGCGTGTCTTAGTCTGTTGGACATTTATTTCTCCCAGTTCTGGAGGCTGCAAGCCCAAGATGATGGTGTTGACAGATTTGGTGACCGGCGAGAACCACTTCCTGGTTCGTAAATGGCGTCTTCTCGCTGTGTCCTCATATGATGGAAAAGGCAAGGGAGCTCTCTGGGGTCTCTTTTATAAGAGCACTGATCCCATCCATGGGAGCTCCACTGTCATGATCTAACCAGCTTCCAAAGGTCCCACCTCCTAACACCACCCCATCGGGGGTTAGGGCGTCAACATAGGAATTTTGGAGGGATGCAGGACATTTCAGTGACACTGTGTGCTCAGGTGGGGCTGCAATGAAGCTTTTGTGGATAATCATTAAAATGACTAACCACTTAGACTCACATGGATATGCCTGATCAAGCTCTAGGCATGTGTAGATGCTGAACAGGTCATTACCCCTTGCCCTGTGTCATTCTTTTGCAAGGCTCCTGTGACCTTTGGACAGAGGAGCACAGGGGAACATATCGTTGTCCTTTAATCTCCGTGCCGATGGGGAGAATTCCGTTCTGCCTGATAATAATACAAAATGCATTTTAAAAGCCATCCTTCTCCACCAACATACAAGGCAAGACCAGATTTAACCCAGTATGTCTCAAACAAGATTGAAGAATATTCCCAAAGTGATGAATGAAGTCATGAACCCATCATCTGAGTAACGAGCCTTGCATTTCACGGTGTTTAGCCAAGAAATTCATGCCTCCTCCTGTGAAATGAGAAGTTGGTCTTCTGGGAGTTTTTTCCAGGAAATGAAATTTGTCTACTCTAACGAATTCTCCTCCCTTCAAAGATTTATTTGGAAAAAGCTCGAAGATTCTCTGAAGAATAGTTTAAGGATGCTGAATGCCTTTGCTCCTGATCTCCTTGGGTCCTTAGATGTGGTACCGTCTCAAGAGGATTTGGAGAGGTGAAATGACTTGCTGCCCTAGGTGACAGGTCTGAGAACTCAGTCTGAGGGGTCTCTAAGTTAACCTGCACCCCACGGGAACAGTGCAGAGCCGTGAGAGGTGAGATCCACTCAGATCCATCAGAGGGAGAAATTTCAGCTCAAGAAAGACATTTGGGTCCTCCCTGCTCCTGAAGACGTCACCATCAGCTAAAGTTGCCCGTTGCTTGCCTTGTTCCACGAAAGTCTCGCTCCCAGGAGAAGTGCACCTCTGACAATCTTGGCATTGTTTTCCTAAGCTTTTGGTGCTCACATTTCTTCTGGTGAACCTCAAGCTTTGGAAAGGTTGGCTAGACAACTTTTCGTATACCTCTAAAAACTGAAATCGTGGAAGGCACCATGTAGGAAAGAGATGGTGGTGGGTGGAGATGGTGTGATGTCAAACCTAAAATTAAGCCTCCATATTACATGCTGCTTTGAAATCTGGTAGAATCGAGAGTCCTTGAATGGGCTCACTGCAAGTTCCCCTCCTCACTCTGCTCTCGTGGATAAGGTCCACCTAGTGAAACAACCTTCTCTATCCCGGGACCGGGCACAGTTCCTGCTCATCCCTGAGGAACTGGCTTCAGTTCCACGCCAGCCCGTGGAGTTACTCGAACAAGCCAATCACATCCTCTAGCGAGATCCAGGGCTCACCCCATCCTCTTGTGGCTACAAAGCCGGCCTTCCATTTCCCATTCTTGTTCGCAGGTGCAACCCCCAGGTGGCCCTGCATGGCGTGCAATGTCCTCCTTCACCACGCTGGGAGCACATGTGACTCAGAGACTGTTGTCCATCACATCTGTCTAGTGTCAAGTGTCACGTGTTCAGCCATTCCCGTCATCCTAGGGGAGGACTCCTCCCCTCACCAATGGAGCCAAGAGGAGACAATTTAAACAGATGGCTTTGTAGAGATGTTAGGGCTTTCTACTGTCTCTGAGAAATGGATCATACAAGTTGCCCGCTGGCATCCAAATCTGTGTGCACAATACACACCCCTTCACTGGAATCCATTAGTAATAAACACAGTGATGATAATGGTGGGTGTAAATGGCTCACTTTGTCAATGGGGGAAATCGAGCTACAGAAATTTGCCCTTCTCTCCAGCTTCTTTAGGATTCCTTGTGCCCAGAGGTCACGGAACATGATTTATATAAAGGCACTTGCCAAAACGAGAACCAGGAAACGTGCAGGGACTCAACGCACAAGAATTGAGATGGCTCCTCAGATCACCTAAGATCTTGCACCTCCTTATGATCATAAACTTGCTTCTTTCTCCCCAAACCCACCACCCTGTCCTCCCTTCCCCAAGACGCACTTTGGAAAAAGGAACCCTTCTTCCTTTCAGAAAGAGGGGCTCCTTCCTGAATCTACATCAGAAAGCCTAACATAAGCTTTATTTGTACTAATTGTAAACATTTATCCATGTCTTGCCCCGTGCGGGGCGCACCACTGACACTTTAAATGTATTCTTTTATTTGAATCCCCATGGCAACCCTGGCAGAACTGGGTTGGTTGTTATACCCATTTTACAGATAAGAAAACTAATGCTGAGAGAGGTAAATTGCCTTCCCCACCTCACCCAGCAAGTGGGAATATGGCCTTTCCACCAGTCAGTCTGGCCACTGGAGAATCCTGGTAGTAACAGGAGACATTTGAAGATTTTAGGAAAATCATCAAGATTCCATATAATAAAGTCAAGCAACAAAGTACTGAGAATGAAGCCAAGAGCCTGTGCCTACCTAAATAATCACAATAGATGCTTTTCTCCTGCTCCCTCCGCCATTTTATTGAGATATGATTGACCCACTGTTTAAGACGTGAAGCATAATGACTTGACTTACATAGATTGCAAAAAGATTACCACAGCAAGTTTAGTTAACATCCACCGTCTCGTATAGATACCAAAAAAAAAAAACCAGAAAAGAACTGTTATTTCCTTGTGATGAGAACCCTTAGGATCTACTCTCTTTGCAGCTTGCAAACAGACCACACGACAGTGTTGACTATAGTCATCACGTTGTACAGTACATGCCCAGGACTCATTTATCTCATAACTGGAAGTTGGTACATTTGACCGCTTTCCTCCAATGCCCCCACCCTCCACCCCCTACCCCTGGTAACCACAAATCTAGTCTCTTTTTCTATGAATTTTTTTTTAGATTCCACATATATATGAGATCATACAGTATCTGTCTTTCTCTGTCAGACTTATTTCACATAGCATAATGCCCTCAAGGTCCATCCGTGTTGTTGCAAATGGCAGGATTTCTTTCCTTTTTATGGCTTAGTAATATTCCATTGTATAAATATACACTACAACTTCTTTATCCATTCATCCATCGATGGACAGAGATGTGAGTAAGATCCTGGCGCATAGTAACTATCAGCCTTGATATGACATAATATCCAGACTGAGGATACCGTTGTTCTGTGTTACAGGATTTTTCTGGCCCAGGCCCATCAGGAAAAAGGCAAGACAACATGAGTGGCCTGAATAATCACAGGTAAGAGAAGCCAATTCACTGCCATTATTTCTCTTTTTCAATAAAATAGAAATTTCTGGCAAGGGACTGCAACAGAAATCCCTTTTAACTTTCTAGATTTTGGTGCTCATTTGGGAGAGCATCATTGGGAAAAGCACCATCCAACATGACACTGGGTCTTGTTGGGGAGGGCGAGTGTTGGGGAGAGGGTACTTATACAGCATCTACCAGTTCACCAGTATCTACCCAAATTAAAATGCCCCTCCATCTGCCCAGCTGCTCCACCCCCAGGACTCGATCTTTCAGATCCACTTGAACATGTATCAGCTACCAGTTGCTGTGAAACAAATTACCCCAAAACTTAACCTCTTCAAACAGCACATGTTGATTGTCTCATGCTTTCTCAGGCTTGGCTCAGCTGGGTCCCTGAGATCAGGGTCTCTCACAGGGTTCAGTCAAGGTGTGGGTGGGGCAGTGGTCATCTCAAGGTTCACCTGGGGCAATATCTATTTCCTCACTCACTCACTGATGGTTCAGTCCCTCACAGGCTGGTGGGTTGAGGGCCTCAGATCCTCGCTGATGGGTGGCCAGAGGCTTCCCTCAATTCCTTGCCAGGTTGGCCTCTCCATCAGGGCTGGCGTATGAGGAGAGAAAGAGAAAACAAAGACAGAGAGAGAGAGAGAGTGCCAGCAAGCAAGATGGAAGTCAATCTCTTATAACCCAGTCACAGAAGCGACACCCCCTCACTTTTGCCATACTCCCTTCACTAAGAGTGAATCCCTAGGTCTGGTCCACACTCAAGAGGTGAGGAGGACATAAGGGTGTGAATTCCACCAGGTGGCCACGAAGATGCGAACCAGGGGTACGATGCTGTGAAAGCTTGACTGGGGATGGAGGATTTGCGCCAAGGTTACTCCCTCACGTGCCTGACACGTTCGTGCTGGTTGTTGACAGGAAGCTTCAGTTCCTCCCCACATTTACTTCTCTACAGAGTTGCTTGACTGTCCTCACAACATGGCGGCCACTTCCCCCAGAGCAAGTTTTCCAAGAGACCGCAGGCAGAAGCCGCAATGTTTTCTGTGTTCTAGCCTCAGAAGTCCCACAGCATCGTTTCTGCAATATCTTGTTAGTCACACATATCAGCCTGTTCATGTTGGCAAGGGTCTACACGGGGGTGTCAACGCCAGGCAGGAATCATTGGGGGCCGTCTTGGAAGTTGACTGCCTCACGAAACTACGTCCCGGGAGTTTCACGGAGAGCAAGACAACAAGCTTGTACCTAACACTTGAAATGGATGCTATCCTTGTCCCTCTGTGAAATGCAATTATTAATTAGTGAAGGCATGAAGAATCACTGGAAATGAAAGATTTTAAGGCAGACATCCAGAAACATCTTTAAGCAACTCTACATTTTAAATGAACCTTCCTGTCAAATACAAAGGTTGGTTTTATGTTGTGTCTTTCTTTTCAGGAACTGTTGGCCTCTCGTGCTGGTTTTGTGGCTCCTTGTCCCGACTAGCACGCCAATTCCCACTAAACCAAACATGGTTCTGATAATGGCGGATGACCTAGGGATCGGAGATCTCGGCTGCTATGGAAACCATACCTTAAGGTAAGGGACTCTTTGGTAAACTTAAATATTAGGTTTCCTAAAATAGTAGGTTGGGCTACTAAATTTTCCGTAATAAAAAAGAAATCAGAATCCGTACATCATTCAAAGTTTTACTTTATCTTTAATTCCGATAAGCTCAGATCTTTATAGGGAAGGCCATAAACCACAAAAGAAATACAGCTGCATTTGCCTTTTCTCATTCTTCTCTAAAAAGAAGATTCTGGTGAATGTCACAGGGTCCAGAGAGACCTTTGGCATTGACAAAATCCAATTTATATTGACAAAAACATAACCCATAATAATACATAATAAAACATAATAAACATAATAAAAACATAAAACATAATAATGAGTCATTACCTCATGGGAGCCTATATTTTGCAATGTCTTGGCAGATTTTTCAAAGTCATGGCTCACTAGAACCTAGTAGATGGATGAGAGAGCATCTAAGGTCTTCAGAACGACATTCTTTAAATGAAATGTATCCAAATAACAGTTTATTCAGGATTACTCTGAACTTTTTCAGTTAGATGAAGAACATCCATTTTGCTAATGGAAAACACTAGACTACCTCTAGGGTATTTTGGGCGTGGGATCTTTCTCTGACAACCGGTGGACTTTTCTTTAATGCATTTGAGCTACACATCGGTGCTTCGTAGTTTAGAATTCTGGTGAGGAGATAAGGCCGGGGAGAGGGTTTCAAACTCCTAGCTCTTCTGTGGGTCTTAGCCCCTCACAGTTACTGATTGCAATGAAGGAGAGGGTTTGATGTGGTCATTGAAAGCATCAAGTGTCCTGTCTCAGTGATGTCAACCAGAACAGTGACTCACTCAATTGATCTTTGCTGCATAAAGACGCCCCTTGGTTCCTTTGTCAATTGCATGCCCCTCCATGTAGGTGATCAGAACAGGATTGCCAACGAGATCTCCTCTCCCGACGCCCCTCTCCTTGGCCGTGGGAGTCACCTCCAGGTCTTGTTCTGACTGTATTCCTCACTCTTTATGGCCTCTTTATCTTAGGACCCCCAATATTGACCGGCTTGCAAGGGAAGGCGTCCGTCTGACCCAGCACATTGCTGCAGCTTCCATCTGCACTCCCAGCAGGGCAGCCTTTTTGACGGGACGGTACCCCATTCGATCAGGTGTGCAAGTACCTGATATTTACATTACAGCATCATGATAAAACGTACTCTCCACATCCTTTACTAGTAGGTGTGGCTGTTCATGCTTCTTTACAATCAGCACAAGTTAAGAAGAATCAAGTCCAGGCAGCCCATGGAGCCTAGGGTGGTGTGTTCCTGTGAGTAGGGCCCATGTCAGCCAGCAGAGTGTGGTTTTCTCTGAGCAGGGATTCAGAATTCACACCAGAAGTGGTGGTGATGGATGGTGAGATTCTGGAGGACCCAAGGGGGAAGGGAACAAGATGTTATGGGTTGAATTATGTCCCCCAAAAGACATATAGGAGTTCTAACTCCTGGCACTTGGAAATGGGACATCATTTGGAAATAGGGTCTTTGCAGATGTGATGAAGGGAAGGATGGAGAGGAGGGCTTCCTGGAGGAGGCGGCCCTGAATCCTATGACAGCGTCCTCATCAGAGACAGAAGAGGAGACGCAGACGCAGTGGAGCAGCCCCGTGAGGACGGAGGCAGACACAGGAGGGAGGCGGCCACCAGCCCAGGGACGCCTGGAGCCTCCAGAAGCTGGAAGAGGCAGGAGGGACCCTCCCCTGGAGCCTCCGGAGGGAGCACGGCCCTGTGACACCTTGATCTCAGACTTCTGGCCTCTAGGACTGGAGAGGATGAATTCCCGTGGTTTGAGCCCTCCAGTGTGTGGTCACTTATTATTACAGCCACAGGAGACTCATACACAAGACACAGAGGGCAACAGGATTCAGAGCTTGAACAGTCCCCCAGTAGAGTTAGACACAAACTGTTTTCAAGCAAGTATCACTCCTTCCGGTTTACCATGGAGGGCTGGGCAGGTCCTCTGGCTTGCTCAAGGCTACACAGCTCCTAGCAGAGTTGGAGTTGTAACTCTGCTTCTAGAATGTTCTTCCACCTGTCAATAGGAGGGCTACATGCTGACCACGTGTGAACATGCTTCTTCACCCCATGACCACAGCTCAATATGGGGTGAAGGTTGTCCTGCCCCTCACCTCCCACTTGCTCCTATATTAGGATTCTCCCAGTTGTAAGCAACTGGACACTCACAGCAAAGTGTCTGTATCAACATCCTCTGGCTGCCCTAGAAATGCCCTCAGGCTTGGTGGCTCTTAGCAACGCAAATATATCATCATCCAGTTCTGGAGGTCCGAAGCCCACACTGGGGGCCCACTGGGCTAAAATCAAGGGGTCAGCAGGGCTGGTTCCCTCTGGACACTCTAGGGAAGAATCCATTTCCTTGCCTCTTCCAGGTTCTAGAGGCTGCCCACTTTCCTTGGCTCATGGCCCCTTCTTCCATCTTTGAGCCAGCAGTTGCTGGTTGAGTCTTTCTTATGTTGCATCACTCTAACGCTCTTATTCTGTCTTCAAATCTCCCTCTGCCTCCCTCTTATGAAGACCCTTGTGATGACATTGAACCCACCTATGTAGTCCAGGATCATCCTCTCGTCTCAAGATCATTCATCACATCTGCAAGATCCCTCTGCCATAGAAAGTAACATTCACAGGTTCCAGGATGTAGGATGTGAACATTTTGGGGGTCATTATTCTGTCTACCACAGGGGCAGTAGGACGTGGACATCTTTGGGGCCATTATTCTGTCTACCCCTTGAAGATTAGGATGTGGACATCTCTGGGGGACGTTATTCTGTCCACCACACAAGGGTTAGGTTGTGGACATCTTTGTAGTCCATTATTCTGTGTCTTCCACAGTGTTTTAAGCAAAACAAATGAAAACAGGTCAAGGAAGGTACTCATTAATTTCTGTAACTATGAAAGTTGAGAGTTGACCTAGTGTCAGGCATGGCTGGCTATTCTGGATTCAAGGGTGTCCCTGCAACGTGTCTTTTTCCATCTCTGAGTTGGCTTCCTTCCTAGGGCATGCCCGTCCCCATGGTGACCAAATGACCCCCAGACAATAAAGAATTACTCATTTGCCTGCTTCCAGGCCATTGGAAAAAGAGAAACATACTCACTCAGATGTTTTCCCTCAAAGTCCCAGCACTGAGTCTTTTCAGATAAACCTGGATTGCATGTCCCTCCCTGAGCCAGGCTCAGTGGCCTCCCGTCAGTTCCTCCCAAACTACATGGGAGCCATGGACTTCCAAAGACCCCAGGTGCTGTTGACAAAGGAAGAGAGAAAGCCCATTGTGCAGGCCGAGACGAGGGACACCCCTCAGTTTTCCACGGGGGTCTTCGTCCATGAAGCCTATTGACGAGAACAAAAATGCAGCCTCTTGTTGAGAGTTGAGCAAGGTCCTCCAGTCATGAGGCGTAGGATGTAGAGTCATCTACCTTTGTGCCAGAGGATGCAGATTTATAAGGCGATGAACCACAGCTTAGCTCCCTTCTTCACGGTTGTTTCTCTTGGTCCCCAAATCCAGGGATGGCTTCCGAGACTGAGGTTCGAGTTTTACGCTGGACGGCTGCATCTGGGGGCCTCCCTCCAAATGAAACCACCTTTGCCAAGATCCTGCAACAGCAAGGCTATACCACGGGGCTGGTGGGTAAGTACTGCACCTAGGGGTGTGTTGTTGCTTTCCATTGCATTCTAGATATATACTAGGAAAAGGAGCTACTGTCAAATTGCATATGGTGAGGACAAATGATGTCATGGAGGAGAAACCATTTAGAAACTTCTGGAAGTCATGAGAAGAGCTAGCACATGCATTCTTAACAAAGAGAAATGAATCCCAATGGATCTGTCCAGTCGCTGATTCCCCCTGAATCACAACATTGTATATTTACATATTGACACCCACCGTCGAGACAGCATCATTAAACCTTGACTATAAATCCACGGGCAAAACACTTTTAGATCTATATTAACATTTCATCAAATCGCTGATGGACCTGAAGTCTTAGGCACTTGGAATGAGATTGGCCAAATATAAATAATATGAAACTCAGTGAAAAACAGAACTTGAATATCAACATCTAAAAAGATTAATGTGTGATCAAGAAAATATGTTAAGATGATATTTATAACTCCAATGAAAATACGCTGATCTAACTTTGGAGTTAGAACTTTTGACTATTCATTTAGCATCAGCAGGTCACCCAGTGGGTTTCCTGGACTACATTGGAACTATAACCAATAACAACAAAAAAAGAAGACATAGCCCCTGACTTTAAGAAGTTCCAGGGTCCAAGGAAATGACTCAGGTGTGCGAAATTCCTGGAGTTGCAATATTGCACCTTAAAAGGCTGCAGAACTTGAGGGAGGCAAGGAAGTTTTCTCGGTGGGGGGAGGTTGTGTCTAAGGTCATAAAGGATTAGTGGACAAGGGATTGCAATGAAGTGCGATAGCTCTCACTGGTGGAGGAACGGCATGAGCAGACGAGCAACTGGCAAGATCCACCACGGTTTGGGCAAAGTGGATTTTTCTGGGAAAAGTAGATGTGAGGTTGGAAGGAGAGAGGGTGGGAGTTAAGGAGGAGTTTGGCTTCTAAGATCTGGAGTTCTGGTTTAAACTGGGAAGCCACTGCATCCTTCTGAACAGCCCAGTGATAGAAGAGGACAAAGAAAGGACGGTTGGCATGAAGCTTCCAAGGCAACCCGTGGCTCCAAGCAACTTTGAGATGCTCTGTGAGAGCGGAGAGGTTGTCCATGTGATACTCATTTGAGGGGATGAGCTGTCTGAGGCAGCAGCTTGGGGAATAGAAAGACATCAGCGCAAGAACTTCAAAGTCGTAAACATGTCTCTGACGAACATATAAATGAGTCCCTTCTTCCTTATCATTGAGGGGACCAGCGCGATGGAAAAGCTGTCAAAAAGCAAGGTCGAAGAGGATAGAATCGCATAATATAGAAAAGCTATTTGGTATCAATTCAACTATATATGATCAATGAAAGGAAAAAATGTTCAAATGAGAGGGGCAAGCTTTCTACAACGCTCATTAATGTCTTCCAGGTCATCGACTGCAGTCCTGTGATTATCTTTGCTACCAGACATAAGTTGTTCTGTAGTTTCTTTCTTTTACAAGCTCACATCTAACTCCTGGATGTGTATTAATAGGAGATATGAAGTCCCATGAATGCATCTCCTGAGGACACTGGTTCTCAAAGTGTGGTCCAGGGACCAGCAGTGGTGACACCACCTGGGAGCTGGTTAGAAAGGCACATGCTCAGGACTATCTTGTCCCTGCTGAGTCTGAGACTCTGAGGCGAATCCTGGAATCTGTTTCCGCCAGCCCTCCAGGGGATTCTGAGTTGGAGGACCGTTGCCCTAAAGAATCATTGATCCCTGGAAGGACCTGTTACCCGATGATCCCGTTGACTCTCAGAACGCACAGTCATTCTTTCACCTTTTTCCTGAGTGTGGCATAATTTTTTTAAACAAAGTTAAAATCTAACAGAGCCTGTGAGGAGACCAAAGGGTTTCATGTATGCTCATGTAAGTGGGAGGAAGAGGAAGAATTCCGATGTCAGGAGGACTCCAGCAGTGTGACCAGCATACTGTTTTGAATGGATTCTGCTGGAGCTAGCAAATCGGTTAGAGCCTTCAGGAAGAAGAAAACGCCAGGATTTTCATCCTGTGCAAAGCCTGATGTGACATCCAAAAGCCAGACAATGGATCTCCCAATTCTGAGCTGGTGGTCTTGAGATTCTCAGGGACCTCCTCCAAAAAGACAGGTGACAGTCATTGTCCGTCTCAGAGAGGTGTTTAGAGAGAGTGCGGAAAATGCATGTGAAACCACTTGCAAAAAAAAAATGATAGAAAGCTATCATTTTCCACCTGTGGCAAGGTGACCGGTACTCTGAGTGGGTCCACAACGTCCTTATAATGTAAATCAGACACCGAATGGGTTGCACTTTCAGGAACTTTGAGCATCAACATTAACGTCATCGGCCAAAATGAATGTATTTCACAGAGAGTCAAATGAGTAAAATGAGATGCTTATTGGTTTTTGGTTTTTCCTTTGTTTATTTTTGGTAGCTGTATAATATTTAATAGCACAACTTCATTCCACATTTTACTATCAAACGTATCCTTTTACGTGGAAGAAGAGAATATTGCAAAAATAGAAACTGAGGAAACAAATGGGGAAATAATTCCATGTGATCTCTGCACTGCAATTGAGAATTTCATAAATTGAAAAGATTTGGGTCAATATCTAGATCAAGGATAGACTTGTATGATATTTTACTTTTATAACAATTACTTTGCGTTTTCTTTTTTAAAAGTATGGCTACAAAAGCATTTAACTAAATGATATTTGGTTTGATGTCTGTTTAAAAGAAAAACAAGCTTTGCTCTTCAGAAATCCACCCTAGTGTTAAACTGATATTTTTGGCAGGGGGGAGGGTAAACTTTTTATTGAGGTAAAATGCACATAACAAAATTTACCATCTTGACCATTTTTAAGTGCACAGTTCAGCGACAGTACGTACGTTCACATTGTTGTCCAGTCTTCCCCACCATCCATCTCTAGAGCTGTTCCCATCTTGCAAAACAAACTGTCCCCATTAGACACTGACTCCCCATGCCCCCTCCCCCGGCCCCTGGCACCCGCCATTCTTGCTTGGCATTCTTTAAAAGAACCCTACAGAAAAGCTTTTCCCCACAACAACCTAGCGTGCACATCTTCCTGCTCAGGTAGCAGATAACCACCCTTGGACCACCACACAAGCCACTTAGCAGAACCAGAGAACCACGTGGGGAAACTGCCTTCTGCAAGGACGTATGGTGGTTTCTGATGGAGCAAAGCCTCTGCCCGATTCGCCCTTTTGAGCAATACCACTCACTTCTGTGTTCTGTCTCCTGAAACGGTTCCTTCCCGAACCAGGGAAGTGGCACGTGGGCGTGAGCTGTGAAACCCGCAATGACCACTGCCATCACCCCCTCAACCACGGGTTCCACTATTTTTACGGCACCCCTTTGACGCTGATGCTGGACTGCGGAAATAAGCACAACCAGAAGGCCCAAGCCCTACGGGCCACCTACTGGTTCTGCACCAGGACGCTAGCCTGTGCGATGCTCCTCCTGGCCCTGGGAAGGCTCACGGGCTCCCTCCCCATCTCCTGGAAGACGGTGGGCTGCTTCGGCGTCTGTGTGCTCGTCTTCTTTGTCTCCTGGTACTCCAGCCACGGCTTCACCAGGCACTGGGACTGCATCCTCATGAGGAACCACAAAGTGCGTGAGCAGTCGATGGTGCTGAAGAGGACACCTTCTCTCCTACTGAGGGAGGCGACTTCCTTTATCGAAAGGTAAATCGCCTCTCTCATCTATTCAGTGCAGATGGGGACAAGACCTCCCAATGATTTTTTTCCTAAATTGTAAGATGTTATAGTTAAAAATGAGCGTTCTATTCAAGTGCGTATACCGCCAGGAGTGGTGTAGGTAGATAATTTCATTTAAAATGGCACGTGATGAGTCCGCCAAAAAGATGCTGCCTGTATCTTTTCTAAACGATTTTTTCTCTTGGAAAAGTATTTCTTGACCAAGTAATATACTTCTGTGATTCTTAATCAGAAGAACTCCAGTGCAATAGCTCCCTCCTCACCCAGCCACTAGCCACACCTTCCCCTCCCTCCACGGTGACACATTGATGACCTTTATGTAAACACCTCAAGGCATATTTTATGCATTCTTACCCAAGTGTGCGTAACCATTCTCTCTCGCCTCCATCATTCTTTTCAAAGTGTTGATGTCTTTGTTGGCTCCTTGGCTTTGCTGGCCAAAATCTGTATTGTTTCTGCTCACAGAATTTGCCTCGAAAGGTGCCCGCTGAATCGAGTTGACGTCTGTCTTGAATTTGAAGTTCAAGAAAACACATTTAAGTTGTTGCAACTTTCATTGTAGAAGTAATCGACGTACACTCACTGGTTTTGTTTTGCTTTTTTAATGATCGCTCACTTTGCGCTTAGATAACATGAGAAAATGCTAGCGTGGAATTCAGTACAGGGCATTTCCTTTCACACGGTGCCATTTTGCCCATCCTGCTGGGCTTCCACGATTTCATCCCCCCTGTTGTCCTCCGTGTGGGAATGGAAAGGAATTCTCCATTCTCACTATTTCCGTTGAGTTCTGCTGGCTCTATGCATGTCAGATCCCAGAAGTTGCTTATAACTTCAGCCGAGACGCTATCGGGAAGGATGAGGAGAGAGCTCGAGAAATGGGTTGCTAGAGTGCTGAACTATTTGAGTAACTTCTTAGAGAATATATGGCTTTTATGTCTTCCTTTAAAACTCTTCCTTCCATGTGTTAAACTTGGTCTCTTGCCTTCCAAAGGCTCTGTCCTTGTGGGCACAAGTAACCCAACGATAGGTCCATAATTACAGTTGACTTGCTACTGTGGGATCCTATGAATCTTCCAAAATATCAGTGACCTATTAAAAAAAGCTAGATGGATATATAAAATATCTGTCTATCTATCTATCGATCTATCCATCAATCTATCCATCTATCGATCTATCTATCAATCTATCCATTGATATATCCATCCATCTATCTATCTATCTATCCATCAATCTATCTATATTTTTAACAGGTCACATTTTTAAATAGATCATGTCGTATGATAAATCTATAAAATATCTATCTAAATGTCAATCTATATTTTTAATAGGTCACATTTTTTAAATAGATCATGTCATATGATACATCTATAAAATATCTGTGTATCTTCAAATAGAAGATAATCTTTTTATCTATCATCTATCTATATCTGTCATCTATCTACCTACCTACCTACCTATCTATCATCTATCTATTATCTGTCTATCATCTATCTATCATATATCTCTCTATTCTCTCTTTATTTACCTATCTATCCATCCATCATTTATCGATCATCTATCTATCCATCATCTATCTATCATCTATTATCGATCATCTATCTATCTATCTTCTGTCCATCTATCGTCTATTATCTAGCTATCTTTCTATCATCTTCCAACTCAGGTTCTTTTAGAGAAACTGTTTACAATTTCTGAAACCGTTGTGCTCTCTTTTCTTCTAGAATGCTTCATAGTCTTATATCTGGATTTTTTTTCCCCCCAGAAATAAGCAGGGCCCCTTCCTGTTCTTCCTGTCCCTTTTGCAAGTGCACGTACCTCTTACAACAACCAGAAACTTCCTTGGGAGAAGCCAGCATGGCTTATACGGAGACAACGTGGAGGAGATGGATTGGGTAGTGGGTGAGTTCTCCGACAGCACCCAGCTCAACAGAGAGCCAGCGGTGCTCACTTGAGCTGTCATGACACGTGGCTCCAGGAGAAGTCAGGCCCATGGCTGCAAGGCCGCCCGGCCACTGGCAGCACAGACCTGCTCTTGCTGGTCCCAGAGCAGCGCTGCCCAACAAGCCCACATGCTGGGTCACTGGGACCTTTGAAATCCGCTGACTCCCAGGACCCACGGCAGAAATGCCACCTGGGCGTTAGGTGTTTAAGAGCAGCTGGGGTGATTCTAATAACAGCCCAAGTTGTGAGCCTGCTGAAATAATAGGACTTAAACCTTCTAAGTACCTTTTAAAAGAGGGGTGCTTTTCTTATTGTAGAATAAATACTATTTATTGGAAAATATTTGGAAACTATAGATTACCTAGAGACAAAGAAGGAAAAATGCATCAGTATCTTGATTTTGAATAGAATATTATATTTATATAATATGTTTTATATTATTCTATAATATTAATTACCTAATGTATATTATTGAATGTATTATATATAATATATATTATTGTATAATATTATCCAATGTATTATATATATATATTTAGGATACAACATACACATTACATATAATATGTCCATATACACATATATTTAGGATCCATAAGCCATTTCATATATACATGTATATATCTCCTTGTGTTAATAAGTCACTCAACTACAGGTGTCTGTGCATACAGACACCAAAGAAAGATGGTTCTGCAGTTAGGCTTAAATCACTATCATGGGATCCTAATGTTTTCCAAAAAAAACAAATGACCTGTTAAGAAATATATATTCTGGGCCAGCCCCAGTGGCCTAGTGGTTAAGTTCAGTGCACTCTGCTTTGGCAGCCTGGGTTCAGTTCCCGGGCACGGACCTACGCCACTCGTCTGTCAGTGGCCATGCTGTGGTGGCAGCTCACAGGCAAAAAAAGGAAGATTGGCAGTGGATGTTAGCTCAGGGCAAATCTTCCTCAGCAAAAAAAAGAAATATATACTCTCTATGTTGACATAATATATAATATATATAATGGTCTATGGATCCCAAATATATATATATGTGTTTGATAATCAATATTACATGTTAATGATTAACATATAATATAAACTACATAATTAATTAAAATTTTAAAATTATACATAAAATTATATATAATATAATATATTTTTTATTAATAGATATTTTATATATAATTTATTTATATTTATATATATTGTATTTATATATTTTGTTTATATATTATATATTTATAATATATTATAACTAAATTTATATATTTATATATTTTTATATATAAATAAGTTACATATAAAATAATTAAAATTTTAATTATATAGTTTATATTTTAATATATAATTAAATGGTATATTAATATATAGTATAATGTAAACATTTAATATTATTTTATGTTATACATTATATAATTATATATACATACAAATATATAATGTATAATTATATAATATAATATGCTTACAGTCCTGCACCACAGAATGATGTTTTGGTCGACAATGGACCCCAGCTATGATGGTGGTCCCACAAGATTAGTACCACAGAGCCTAGCTGTGTAGTAGGCTATACCATCTAGGTTTGTGTAAGTCTGTGATGTTCGCACAATAACGAAACTGCCTAATGACACATTTCTCAGAACATGTCCCCGTCATTAAGTGAGGCATGACCGAATTGTATTAGATTATATTTATCACATTATATTACATATAGTGCTTTTACCCCAAAGAGCACACTGGGAGAGCCCGTGGCTCAGGGGAGCCAAAAATAGCAGTGTTAACAAGGCAGTTGACAGGGTGGCCAAGTGGAGAGGAGAGAGTTTGGGGAGGATGTCCACAGATGTGATGTCAAAGGTGATCGGCTGCAGACAAAGCGGACTAAGATATGGAGGGTGCTCTCTGGGGGACCTGCGTCGATGGTACAGTGAGAACAATCTGCTGGCCACCCTGGACCTTCTTTCTGCACCATCTCTAAGCGAGGCAGAGAGCAGCTTCATTTCTGCCTGCATCTCAGCCTCTTGCCTCTGGGCAATTAAATATCCCAGGTTTCTTTTGCCCAGACTGCCGTCATCTCATCCCCGTTTCTGGGGACCCTCTTCCCTCTCCATGAGCCTTTCTGCTAAGTCCCAGAGTGCAATGAGTCACTACCTCTTAGGGTCAGTTGCTGCGTTAACACCGAGCAGCTTCTTCAGGGGACCATCCAGGCAGACAACGAGGGCCCACACATCATGTCCCGTCCAGTTGGTTGGGTGCAACACTGAACAACCGAGGGGCAGATAGACCAAGACGTGAAGGATGCCACTGCATGACCTGTACAACACTTGAAAGTCCTGCCCCTTCTGTTCACTCTTGCCTTTGGCTTTTTGATGTAGGCCAAGTTCTCAAGACCTTGGACAACGAAGGCTTGACCAACCACACCCTCGTGTATTTCACCTCGGACCATGGCGCCTTCATAGAGGGCCGAATAGGAGACACTCCCCTCGGAGGCTCAAATGGAATCTACAAAGGTGGTAAACTTCCAGTGTTTTAGTATGAAATTGTGTGGAGATCTCTGACTGCAAGGAGTCCTTCTTCTAGCTTAAAAATGCCATATAACCCAAGAGAATTGGTCGATGCCTACATAGGAGCAAATGATCTGATTTTCAGAAAATCGGAAGGACGTCTTCTATGCACCGTGGTCGTTGGATACCTGAGTGCCCACAGGGACGTGAGACCTCCAGCATTTTGCTGATGTGGTGTGATGAGGGTACTTGCAGAATTTAGCTGGAGGGCTCACAGATTCAAAGGGATATCCTCACACAGGATGGTTGCATGCTCCGTGATCCTTTCCGTTTTAGATATTTAGAGTATTTTTCTTTCTAGTTCACAAATGTTTCCTTGACTGTCATTTTTCCAAGCTCTGAGGAGTGTCCCAAGCCAGGGGATGTTCAGAGAGAGCCCAAATCAACAATGATGGGGCCGATGAAGGCACCCCTTGGGTTTGCGCCCATCGCCAACTCCGTACTCAATTGTCTGTATTATTCTATTAGACATGACCCAACAAAGTACCACACGCTGGGTGCCTTAAACAACAGGAATTTTATTGTCTCACGGTGTTGGAGGCTGGAAGTCCAAAATCAAGATGTCAGCCGCGTTGACTCCTGGTGAGGGCTCCAGAGAAGGATCTGTTCCAGACCTCCCTTCTAGCTCCTGGTAGCCTCAGGCATTCCTTGGCGTGCAGACACATCTTCTCCCTGTGTCCTCATCTCCTCTTTTTTTTTTTTTTAAAAAAAAATATTTTATTGAGGTCCTATTACATTATAACATTGTGTAAATTTCAGGTGTCCATTATTGTATTCCAGTTTCTGTATAGACTGCATGGTTTTCACCACCAATAGTCTAGATTTTACCCATCACCATACGCACGTGCCCGTTTATCCATCCCCCACCCTCCTCCCACCCCTTTCCCCTCTGGTAACCACCAATGTGTTCTCTTTATCCTTGTGTTGATTTATCTTCCACAGATGAGTGAGATCATACGGTATTGGTCTTTCTCTGTCTGACTTATTTTGCTTAACCTGGGGCGTGGGGGTTGCTGGGACTTGTGTACGAGAGAATAACATAAAGCCGTCGTTCTCACCTGGGAGCAAGTCTGTCCCCCACGGGACACGTGGCAATGTCTGGGGACATTTTTAGTTGTCACAATTCAGGGTGCTGTTGCTGGCATCTGGTGGGCGGAGATCAAGGATGCTGCTCAACATGCTACAGTGCATCGGACAACCAATCAGACAGTCATCAGGTCCCAAATGAGAAATCTGCATATAAAGGGTCCTAGCATGGAGACCTCATTAGGAGAGGTGCAGGATTGCTCAGTCGGCTTCTGTTATGGGCTGAATGGTGTCCCTCCAAAATCGTACGTTGAAACCCAGGACTTCAAATGTGGCTGTGTTTGGAGATGGGTCTTTAAAAGAGGTGATGAAGGTGAAATGAGGCCACTAGGGTGGGCCCTGATCCAGTAGGACTGGGGCCTTTATAATAAGAGAAGACGAGGACACAGACACACACAAAAGGACGACCACATGAGGACATGGGGAGAAGATGGCGTTTACACACACGCCAAAGAGAGAGGACTCGGGAGGGACCAGCCCTGCCCACACCTGGATGTGGGGCTTCCAGCTCCAGAACTGGGGGAAATAAATGTCTGTTATCTCAGGCGCCCATCTGTGGTCCTTTGCTATGGAAGCCCTAGCAGATTAATGCAGAAATTATCATTTCCTGTTTTGTTTTCTGCCAAACAGGGATACCTTAAAATTGCAGAGAGTTGAATCCTTTAAGACCAAAGTTACAATCCACACTATTACGCCTTTGAAATTCGATGATGATGACGATGATGATTTTTGTAGGCACCAAATGAAAGTGATGTGTTAGCTAACCATTAATACTTCTTCCATCTTGACTCTTCTGTGCCGATATGTCCATAGCATGATGTAACACATTGTTTTTGGTAGTGAGTTTTTCTTCTTCTTTTTGCTTTTTTTTTTTTTTTTTTTTTTGCTCAGGTGGCAAAGGCATGGGAGGCTGGGAAGGCGGGATCCGCGTCCCCGGGATATTCCGGTGGCCCGGGGTGCTGCCGGCCGGCCGGGTGATCCACGAGCCCACCAGCCTGATGGATGTTTTCCCCACCGTGGTCCAGCTGGGGGGCGGCCAGGTGCCCCAGGACAGGTACACGTGCCTTGAAACCACCCACCCTCTATTTCCTGAGAGCTCGCCCTTCACTCTGCCACATTTAGGGGGAACACGCAACATTAGGAAATTTAAAAAACTCTTCCCCCTCTGCTGTAGCGGAACGGCATGATTTCAAAATTACTGGTGGACGGTCAAGAGAACTCACATTAAAGTTAAGCACAGGAAACGATATCCACTCTTGCTAGCTGTACACACGACCTTGTACTGGAGGTTCTAGCTGGAACCACACGACGAGAGCAAGAATAAAAATTACAAGGATTCGAAAGGAATTAGAAAAATCCGAATATCGTCCACAAATGATACGATTATCATTTTATCGCTGGATAAAAATCTAAAAGAAGGTACAGAGAATATCGTGAAAGTATTAAGAAATGTCACAAGGTTATGGAAAGCAGCATTAGTACAGAAGGATGATTGCCAATTTGTACACAAGAGCAAATGGCCAACATGGAATTCGAAAAATATCATTTTTCAATAGCCACACAAAGTGTAAGCTTCCAGGAATAAAGTTAACAAATGATATGAAAACATTAATAAATTATGTGAAATGTTTAAGGGGAAATATTTCAATATCAGATATTAATAAAATTAATATTAAGCAATAATGTAATAAAAATGAATTATAATATTAATACATTGAATATTGATAAAACATTAAGTATTTTAATAAACAGAGAGATTATGAAATTCACAGACAGCAAGACTCAATATTGTAATGCTGACATTTCCCCCAAATTCAGCTATAAATTCGGTGTGATTCTAATCCAAACCCAACCACGTTTTTGTGTGCTGGGTACAGACTTTGAGACGCAGATACTGAAATGCATGTGACGGAGGGAAGAGCCACACCAATTGTGAAGACCCAAAACTTGCACAAACCTTCATCCTTTAATGAACATGGTGGTGTTGGCTCAGAAACAGGCACAGGCAGATGTGTGTCAATTGGTATCTTTATACATGGGTTGAAATAAGTGTGGGCACATGACGAGCCGGGATGCTGAACGGGACAGAATTGGCCTTAGAGAGGAGAAGTCATGGAGGACCTCAAGGGGGTGGAGCAGAGCATCACCCAGCACAGGGCTCAGTGACCCCTCCATGACCCCACTGTCGCTCTGCTCTCCCCACACAGGGTGATCGACGGGCGGGACCTGACGCCCCTCCTGCGCGGCCAGGTGCCACACTCCGAGCATGAGTTCCTCTTTCACTACTGCGGCTCCCGGCTGCACGCGGCCCGCTGGCACCAGCGCCAAGGTGAGTGGTTCCACGTTGCCCTCTGGGGCCGGGAGCTGGGACCAGGGGAAGTCCCAGGGGCTGGAGGACGGTTGGGCCGGTGCATCCGGTGGCATTTCCAGGGGGTGGCAGATTACCAGGCCAGAAGGATGCTCAAGACTGTCACGGCTGCCAACTTTGGACCTCATTTACTGGACCCAAAGCCAAGAGGGCTGAACCAGGAAAGGAGCGTGTGCCATCTGCGGGGTTAGGTTAGGAGACATTGCTGGATTCCAGAATGTTCTCCGTGGCACTTCTGGCAATTTAAGGAAAACAGCAGTGCAGACTATTTCACATTGGAATATTCCAGAAAATTCAGGATATAGCGCTGCTGTTTTCTTCAGCTCCAAGGCACTTCGCTTCATAAGATCTTACAGAAGAACGCCCAATTGGTATTTGATATGGGGGGGTGGCGGTTGTTAATAAGCCCGCTCAGCCTGTTCTTTTCCTAACGTCCAGATCAGAGACTCCCCAAACCAGACAGCTGATGGATCCATTTCCCAAAATGAAATAAACGTGTTTCAATGGATTCCAAGGGCCACCAGTTGGTTGTAGGATTTGGCTCTCCAGCCTTAAAAGAATGTCGGTCTCCAGCTTATAAATTACCTATGAGTCTCCGTCTTCATTGTCCCCAAGAGGCAAGAAGTCCACGGGATTCAGTGATTCATCTGCGGAAGGGCAGCCCCACAGAAAACCCTTTCACGTGGATGTCTTCAAGGGTTTTCCTAGCAGCTCTGTATGTAACACAAATCAAGCATTCGGGAACAAATCAACATCCGTGCGCCTGAAACAGCCGTGGGGGGTGGAGGGAGCAGAGAGGAGTCGAATCTGGATGACCGGCAGCAAGAACACGGCCGATGACTCATTTTGCTAAGATAATGCTTGAAGATGACTTTGCAGATGGCTCCCTACCAGCTTTGGGTTTAAAAAAATAATTTTCTGTAACATAGACTAAGTCCGTTTGGGGAGGGCAGAGTTATTTGATGGATTTTAATCCTCTGAGACTGAAGTACAGTGTACACTCTCCTACCCATTGTTCGAGGTCTGTGCATGCCCACCATCCACCTTTCTCGTCCAGCCCCAATATAAGGGGGGCTCCAGGGGGAGCCAGCCCGTGGTCCACCAATCTCCACCCATAGTAGCATGAATGGTTCACCCTTCCCTGCCTTGGGTTGATTGCTTTTTTATTATTGAATTAGAAATTTTTATATCTATATATGTCCTGGGTACCAGTCCCTAATCCCATATGGAACTTGCCCATCTTTTCTCCCAGGCTGTGCCTTCTCTTTCCATCCTCTTAACAGAACTTTTGCAAAGCAAGAGGTTTTTCATTTGGATGAACTTGACTTTGTCAACTGTCCCTTTTTATAAGGGTTGTGTCTTTTCATATCCTATCTAAGGAATTTCTGACTCAAGGATTTTCTTCCAGGTGTTGTTCAGTTTTAGGTTTTTCGTTTAGGCCTAGGATCTATTTTGAGCTCATGTTTGTATAAGGGATTTTGTATGGGTGGAAATTCATATTTCTACCCCCAAATTCACATATTGAAGCCCTAAGGCCCAGGACCTCAGAATGTGGCTGTGTTTGGAGACGGTTCTTTAAGGAGGTGATGGACGTACAATGAGGGCGGGTCCTGATGCAACAGGACTGGGATTCTGATGAGAAGAGGAGATGAGGACGCAGACACGCACAGAGGGACGACCACGTGAGGACACGGGGGGAAGACACGTCCACACGCCAAGGAGAGAGGCCTCAGGAGGGACCAGCCCTGCCCACACCTGGATCTCAGACGTCCAGCCTCCAGGGTGGGGAGACCATCAATGTCTGTTGTTTGAGCCGCCCCTTCTGGGGTCCTTTCTTGTGGCAGCACATGCAGACTGACAGAAGCGTCCTATGACTTCTGTGTCGAAGTTTATATTTTCACCTATGCACATCCTGTTGTCTCAGCACCATTCGTTGCAAAGGCAATCCTTTCTCCACAGCATTTCCTCTGCCCTTGGTCGAATCCTTGCCTTCATCACAAGGAATAGTAGGCATCCACATCCAGGGTGTTGGAAGATTAGATGACCAGCAACATCCACCTCTTGGCATGCATCTGGCCCTCGATATTGGGTATTTTTGTATCCTGGTCTCTCCCCACTTTGGAAGTCCTTGAATTTTATGAAGAGTTTTTGGAGGAGGTCAGAGGTGAACGGAATCTTGAAGAAAAGCTCAGATCTAGACAAACCTAGAGAATGCACGTATGAGTTTCCCGGGGCCGCCATAACAAACCATCACAAACTGGGTGGTGGAAACCACAGGAGTTCATCCTCCCCCGTCCTGGAGCCCAGAGTGTGAGGTCAAGGGTCGCAGGGCCGCGCTCCCTCCGGAGGCTCCAGGGGAGGGTCCCTCCTGCCTCTTCCAGTGTCCGGGGCTCCAGGGTCCCTGGGCTGGTGGCCGCCTCCCTCCCGTCTCTGCCTCCGTCCTCACGGGGCTGCTCCTCTGTGTCTGCGTCTGTCTCTAATAAGGATATGCATCATGGTGGATTGCTTTGAAAATGCAACAGAGCAAGCTTTCCTGCTTAACCTGTTTTTTGGCCGTCTTATCTCAACTCAGCATCATTATCTTTTCACAAATCTCTTAACGTAGGTGCTCTCGGTTCCTTGAGCAGCAACTGATCCAACATAGTTCTTGGATGAATTAATAAATGATTCATTCCAAGAAGTTACGAGAAAGCCAGGGGTAAAAACAGTCCTTGAGAGACTGCTCTAAAAGGGCACGTCTTTCCACCTTTCCCATAAAGCATGTGGCCAGAGAAGTATTTTTGTACATTTGTGGAAACTAAGCAGTGACCTTCCAGAAAAACTATTTTGGATAACAAGCACTACAGGCTGGCAGATTTAACTCAACCCACCAGGAAATCCGTGCGTGCAGAGCGGGGCTAGACCTGACCTGTTGTGAGACACGGAGGCCAAGACACACCCAGAGACCAACGCAAGTGATTTTTCTTGTTGTAACTTTTTTTTCCCCAGCTTTCTTGAGCTATAACTGACATATAACACTGTGTGAGTTGAAAGTGTGTTGATTTGACACATTTATATGTTGCAAAATGACTGCAAGCGTTAGCTCACACCAGCCTCAGGTCACACAGATACTATTTCTTGTTTGTGGGGAGAACATTTAAGATCTACTCTCCCAGCAGCATTCAAGGAGATGATACAGTATCATTAGCTGTAACCACCACACTATGGTTTTTTTTTTTTTGAGGAAGATTAGCCCTGAGCTAACATCTGCCACCAATCCTCCTCTTTTTGCTGAGGAAGACTGGCCCTGAGCTAACATCCGTGCCCATCTTCCTCTACTTTATATGTGGGATGCCTACCACAGCATGGCTTGATGAGCAGTGCCATGTCCACACCGGGGATCCGAACCGGCAAACCCCGGGCCACCGAAGCAGAATGTGCTATGGGCAGAAATCCGATTTCTTAAGAGCTTATAATATATGTATATATTATATGGGGAGTGTCACCCGTGATGGATGCTCCCTCTAGCGGGAGCAGTCCATTTTTTTTTTTTTTTCCTTAGTTCCTGCGTCTTGGAATATACTGGATCAGTGAGGGTGCTGGGAGCTGGGTTCCGGACAACGGGGAGGGTACACTGAACCGGAATTCAATCAGCAAACCTGTCCTGCTGCCCACTGTGGACGTGGCAGTGAGACGTCACTGTGAACGAGGCAGGAGCCCAGCTCTGCACCTGCCCCGCTGGGGGCTGCACACCTGGAGCAGAAAGCGCTATTGGAGCGGAGAGAAAGCGGCCCTCCTGTGGGCCTGGCAGGGGCCTCCTTCTGCCCCAGCGGAGGGGAGGGGACCCTGCCCCAAGTTGGCCAAGGGGCTGAGCCTCCAAGGACAGAGAGACACCCGGGGTCCCGGGGAGGGGCTTCTGGGACACAGAGCGTGAGTTTGGGGATCTTATTGATAGCTCTGGGAGTGAGCTGGTTCCAAGAGAAACTGGAAAGCAGCTGGTGCCTCGCAAACCAGCAATGAGCCGCGCGGGGGCGCGCAGCCAGAGGCTCCATCGGGGCCGGTGCTCCCAGGGGCTGCGGGGTCCCGGGCTCGGCGGGGCTGCTGCGGAGCAGAAAGAAGCTAGGTGAGGGGCGTGTCCCCCCAATTCGGGAGCAATCACAGCAGGTCACTTCGGACTTCTTGTCCCTCTGAGTGTGGCTTGCCCACCAGCAGCATCGGCGGCCCCAGGGTGGGGAGCAGGTTTGGAATGCACAGCCCCGGGGTGCGCGCCGACCTGCCTTCTGCCGGAGGTGGGGACGGCCCCGGTGCCCACCCCTCCTAGGCTGTTCCGCTTCCCTTCCAGGTGCCCGGCTCTGGAAGGCGCACTTCGAGACGCCCATCTTCTCCCCGGAGGGGGCCGTCGGCTGCTACACCCGGGGCCTGTGCCCTTGCCACGGGAAGGTGGCTCGCCATGACCCGCCCCTGCTCTTCGAGCTCTCTGGGGACCCCTCGGAGGCCACGCCCCTGTCGCCCGCCTCGGAACCCTCGTTTCACGCCGTGGTCAGCCGCATCCAGGAGGCCACGCGGGCCCACCGGAGCACCCTCACCCCGGTCCCCGGGCAGCTCTCGGGCTCCAGCAACATGTGGAAACCTTGGCTGCAGCCGTGCTGTGGCTCCTTTCCGTTCTGCGGCTGCCAGGAGAGCGCCCACCCCCGGGACGAGCTGTAAGGCCGGTGGGGCTCCTAGGGGAGGAAGGTGGGGGGGTGGCACAGAAGGTTGTCCCCCGATGACCCCCTCCAAGCCTGCACCCACCAATGTCCCACCAGCTTCCAGCCACTGTTGATTGCACCTAATGGGTTTGCATTAGGCCTTGTATTTTTTGATGCCTACTGAGCCACCAGCACAGAAGAAATGATGGAGAACCAATAAATGCACCCAAATTTAATTTTTTTTTTTAAAGTTTGATTCTCCAGTTGGAGGTCATGGACCATCCAGCGGGGACAGAGGGCGGAAGGGGGATTCCCGGAAGGGAGGAGGTAGGCCACTGGCTTCATCTCACGGCTCTCTTCCCTCCCTCCACCGAACCCCCTCTTTTCCCTCCCCAGTCTGCAGATAGGGCTAAATTAAGTCAAGGATCCTATGACCCCGGGCAGCAGACTGTCCACCCTGCGGCCTGATGACGTTCTGGGGCAGGAAATGCATCTCGTTGAGTTGCGGAGGGAACTGCAGAATTCCACAAAGAACTAGCCAATCCTTTTCAAAGGAATCTTAGTGTCATAGGTTATAAAAGCAAGAACACGCATTCACACAGGGGTAGGAAAAAAATATGCTTTCACAGATTCCCCCCACCATACGTTATTTTTTATTATGATAAAATATGTATAAGACACAACTTGCCATTTAAACCATTTTTCAGTGTACGATTTGGTGGCGTTAATTATATTCTCAGTGTTGTGCAAGGACAACACCTGTCTAGTTCCAAGAGTTTTTCGTCACCCCAGACAGAAACTTTGTACCCATTAACCAATAACTTCCCTTTACTCCCTCTCCCCAGCTCCTGGCATCCACTAACCAGCTTTCTGTCTATGGATTTGCCTGTTCTGGACATTTCACATGAATGGGATCACACGCTGTATGTCCTTTTGTGTCTGGTTCTCTCACTGAGCATCATGTGTTCAAGGTTCGTCCACATTGTAGCATGTGTCAGGGCTTCACTCCTGTTCACGGCTGTATTATATTCCACTGTATGGATGGACCACATTTTGTTCATCCCTTCATCCAGTGACGGGCACTTGGGTCGTTTCATTTTTACATGATTTTAATATAGAAAAACAGAACAAAAATTACCTTTTTATCAAACATTTCTTCCCAGATCTGCCTTCAGAATGTGGCATGTCCTTTCCTAACCACTGCCATTATGACCAAAATTAAGTCTCCCGCTGAGCACACTGTATTTGTTAGGGCTCTCCAGAGAAACGGATCCAGTAGGATGGATATATATGTAGATAGGTAGGTGATAGATAGACAGAGAGATAGATGATGGATGGATGGATGGATAGATAGATAGATGGATGGATGGATGGATGGATGGATAGATGATAGATGATAGATGATGGATGGATAGAAAGATAATGGATGAATGGATGGATACATAGATGATAGATACATGACCTTGATTTATTATGATAAATTTTCTCACATGATCCCAGAGGTTGACATGTCCCAAGGTCGGCCTTCAGCAAGCTGGAGACCCAGGAGAGCCGAGGGTGTGAATTCCAGTCTGAGGCCGAGTCCAAAGGCAGGAGAACATACGATGTCCCAGCTCAAGGACCGTGGGGAAAAGAGACGGCATTCTTTCTTTTTCAGCTTTCGATTCTATTCAGTCCTTCAATTGCTTGGACGAGGCCCACCCACACAGAAGAGGGCAATCTGCTGTCCTGAGCCCACCGATTCAAATGATAATCTCATCCAGAAATAATGTTTGACCAAATATCTAGACACCCCATGGCCATTGCGTTTATACATGATATTAACCCTCACATCCACACACTCCCCGCTTCTTATGTGTCTTCTCTTCAGAGTGGTGCCTCCTGTCACATTCTGAACCACACGTACATGTCGTCCACCTGCTCTGTGTCTCTCAGTCACAGCTCTGAACAGCCCCTGCTTTTCTCCTTCGGGGGGGGGGGTCTCGGCTGATCTCCGCAGGTTCTGAGGCAGCAGGTTGGAGGGCGCGTGAGCTTTCAGAGACCTGGCTCCAAGGACAGGTTCCCCCAAGTCGCCGATAACAAATGGCAAACCCATGGCCGTCCCCATCCCCATGCCCGTCCCAGCCACTCATCGCTCACTGATTTCAACCCTCCTCCGCGAGCCTGCAAGTGGCCTCAGGGTGAAAATCATGATGATGGTGGACACCATTTACTAAGTCCTTGACAGGTGCACACGTTGCTCTAAATGCTTTACGGATTCCCGCCCCTTCCGTTCCCATAGCGTTGGTGGATCTTGTGCAACTCAAGATCTCGGGGCTTTATGCCAAGTTAGCCATTAGCGTCTGAGAAACACTCATGAGGTCTGGATGAAGGCCAGCGGAGGAAACCGTCTTGTTCTTCCTTCTGCTCATCAGTCTCTCCCCGATCTTTGGCTGTCCACGCCCAACGCTGCTTAGGGTCCCCTCCTCCTCCCCGCCGGGCAGGAGGTGGGACAGTCAATCAAGATGTGCTGCCCTCCACAGCCAAGGGCAGCCAAGGAGGACCCAGCTGAGCTCATCACGTGTGCCTCCTGGTTCCGCACTGGGCTGTTGGCAGCATCTCTCCGAGGAAACACCGCCTGGTCCCATGGGCGGTTCTTGGTCTTGTCCGTGGACCATACCAGCCCTCCAGTTTTTCCCCCTCACCTCTGACCCTCCCCACTCACTCACCCCATCGTCACCATTTCGCTCAAGCAATCCAGTGAGTTTCTTGCTAGCATAAAGATCCCATACGGAGAGAGAAGACACGTGTCGTCTGGGGACATCACCCCAACCGTTTCATCACAGCATGGCAAATCTCAACCATTCCGGTACTTCCATCTCGAAAGTCAGCCTCCTCGACCAAAAGGGTCAGCCATTAGGAAGACGGGGACGCCTCCAGAAAAGGGGGCAGAATATTCTTCACCCAAGGAGAGGACCAGAATGGACATCAACTTGGGGTTGAAGGTGACACTCATCAGAATAGTCGGAAACGATGGGAACCTGGCCCAACTTGGGTGCGACGCTGATGAAGGCCCGTTCCTCAGGGACCACCTGCAATACGGCTCCCACAGCCAAACTCAAAAGGCCCCCTGGAGAGTCCATAAACAGCGGATACTGTCTTCTTTGATGCTCTCCATGGTCTTCTTGAGGGCACAGTGCCTAGACCAGCTGGTCTGCCAGCCACCAAGAGTCAGCTTCCCAAAAAAAATGCCCCTGCAAGATTTTCTCTTCCCAGACGCTCTGCATACTCTGCTATGAATTCTGGTTGGCCTCGTTCCTTCATGCCATCCTCAGTTGACCCACTTCAATGGAAGCAACCCATTTGAATGCTCCATGGAAGAAACCCACTTGAATGCAAAATGGCTAAGCAGCGTGCAGACCAACAATTCAGCGTCTGTGTTCTTCTCGAGCCGAGGCCAAGTAGGAACTGGGTCTCAGGTTGACCCTGGCCAGGAGGCAGCAAGGAAGAAAGGATTCCAAAAAAAGCATGAGTAATCTCTCGCTGATATGATGATTCTCAACTTCTCCGGACAAGTAAACTCTGATGCAACCTTAGAATGCGAGAGATCCTCAAATATTTTCACAAGTTCTGTTCTTCCAGAGATCAAATTTATTAAATGCAGCATTCTCCACGTCTCAATGCCTTTCCTCCCCAAGGTACGCAGCTACACGAGAGGTTTCTAACCCAGCTGACTTGGTTACCTGATATTCTCTTAGTCATTTATTTTTTTCTGGAGGATTCTATTATTATATTAAATATAATATTTAGTTTATAAATATAAACTGGGAGGGAATATTATAAATTGAGAATTTATGGTTTATAAATATTATAAATTGCTGATTCCTTCTGTTCACAATCTTGGTTAACAGTTGGTGCTATCTTTAAAATACTGCCAGTACAGTTTTTGCTCCTAAACTTAAAAGAAAATGTGTTTTACCTGCAAAGTCTGATACAGAATTTCATGCACCAGGTGTACTTGGAGCTGCACCAAAATGTAGCCACAGGTGTTTTGTGCGCCAAGAAAAAAATACTCCAGTTTTGTTTCTTAGCGTGGTGGAAGGAGCGGGCACATAAGACATCGACGTTAAATGTAAGGCAGTGATCTGATCAGTATGATAACATTATACTCTAAAGAGCAGAGACCTACGAAATTAGAAAGTGTTGTGGGTCTGCTTTTCCCAATTCAGGAGTGGTCGACAGAAAGAAACCCCATTCTGGAATGCAAACTAGTGCAGCCACTATGGAAAACAGTAGGGAGATTTCTCAAAAAATTAAAAATAGAAATACCATAGGACCCAGCTATTCCACTACTGGGTATTTAGCCAAAGAACTTGAAATCAGCAATTCAAAGAGACGTATGCACCCCTACGTTCATCGCAGCATTATTCACAATAGCCAAGACGTGGAAGCAACCCAAGTGCCCATCGACCCATGATTGGATAAAGACGTGGTGTATCTACACAATGGAATACTACTCAGCCATGAAAAAGCCAAAATCATTCTATTCACGACAATGTGGATGGACCTTGAGGGTATTGTGTCAAGCGAAATAAGCCAGACAGAGAAAGACAGACACCGTATGAATTAACTCATATGTGGAAGATAAACTAACACATGGACAAAGAGAACAGAGTGGCGGTTCCCAGAACAGAAAGGGTCGGGGCACAGCCAAAAGAGTAAAGGGGCACATATATACAGTGACAGATAAAAACCAGACCGTTGGTGGGGAAAACGAGGCAGTCTATACAGAAACCGGAATATAGTGATGTACGCCTGAAATTCCACAATATTATAAGCCCACGTGACCTCAATAAAATAATTTAAAAAAACATTTAAAGAAAAAAAAAATAAAGAAACCCCATTCTGTTTCAACTTGTGGGCAGTTCCACACCAAAAACCATTAGCAGGAGGACGGTTGGCGGGCATTCAAGACCCAGACAGTTTCCAGCAGGATGTGACCAAGCGACTTTGGGGAACAAAAAGACTATACTTTGTTCCTCTAAGTCTCCACAGCTTCATCCACCCGGCCAAGTCCGTATATCCAGAAACGTCTTTCTTCCCCGTGCCATTACCTCCTGCCCCCAAATAATAATTCGGCAATATTTCTAGAGCAGAAAAACCTAGACAAAGACCTCTCCTCTCTGTAGCAAAAATTTAGCGATAAATCACAAATCACATCTCTCGGGGACTCAACTTATCTAATTGGGCAGTCCTGACATCACACAGCACAGATTCTGGCATGGGCGTTATTCAGGAAATAACGTGGAATCACACCTCTTAGATGGACGGGACTCAGAAGTCATCAAAATGTTGTTGAACTTCTCACATATTGATTCAGCACCTGTCCCAACGCCTGCCGTCGAGAGAGGACCGCCAAAACCACGTGATGGATGGATGGATCAATGAATGAATGAATGAATGAATGAGTGCAATTAACAAGCCAATGCTGGGAAGATGGGCAGCTTCCCTACAGAGATCTAATGAGAGTCCAGGGAGCGAGGAGTACACAGTTCAAATTTCAAAAGAAACGCCTTTGCACTGGAAGGCACCTCGGAAGCCGGTGAACCCGCGTGCGTCAACGTGAATTCTCTCCTCCAGAGAAGCTGAGCCAGACTGACCCATCCACCCTCTGGAGAAGCCCCTCTCCCGTTTGTCAGGCTCAGGCTTCTGTTTTCCATAGACCGACACCAGAGCACCAAGCCCCCGACGTTCTTTTCCCGGGGGTGAATTTATGGTGTTACCCTGATGGTTGGGGATGACCCCACCCCAACCCCGTAAGGCTATGTCCACATGGCTGTTATCAGTGGGCCCTGAAGCATCGTATGTGTCATCCCAAGAGAGACTTCAGATCCTTAACCGCCCACACACCAAGAGAAACAACCCCTTCCTAACTCACGCCTTGCACAAGCAAACGCCACAACGGACGCCCCACCTCCACCCAGACCGCCCAGCAGCGTCACCTGCTCCAGGCGATGCAAAACGAGGCCAAAAGCATGCACTGAATCTTAACACGGCCCTCTCACCTTCTCCCAAACGGGGCGTCCAATTAACCTTTCACTGCCCGGCAATCCGGGCATGAGAAAGCAACCATTCAAACCTCAAAACTATCCCATTTCCCTCTTGATGACAGGGAAGCCCGTTTTTAACTATAACTGCGGTGGCCACGAACGGTGACCGCGGGAGATGCTCCATCCAGCCCAGTGCATCCATTCACAAAATCGGGAAGACTTCCGAAGACGAGGCTTTCCCGAAGCGTAAAGCATCCAGTCTCATAAAACTGAGAATTCTCTCAAAAGAGCTGAGCTGAAATGGCTGGGAGAGCGCAGTCATGCCAGACAGTATGGAGAAACTGAGGTAGCGAGACGCAGCCAGGGGCAGCCAAGCGTCTGCAAACGGATTTCCCTCTGAGCAAAGAGCCGCTCCGGATCCCCTCCTCCCGAGGGAGGTGTCAGCAGAAACGACTCGGTATAAACGTCAGTTCTTCTAAACCGGGCGGTAAGCCCCAGGCCAGCTAGAATCTCTCTTCCAAACACCTCCGGCCTTTCCCAAATCGGGCATCCGTCAACGGCTCGCTCAGGTCCCACTGGGTTTTGCAGAAGACAAACGACGGCCCCGGTGCTGTTTCTCCGACGGGCTTCGCGAAGTCCTTAAAGGCGAGTCACAACTCAAGGTCTCTGCTTCGTCCTCAAGGGAAGGACTTTGCATTCTTGAGGGTTCCCGAGGAACTGAACACACATTTGAGCGTTCTCAGCTTGGGGACAGAAGAAAACCTGCAGTGACGTCCAACCCTATGGCGGATGGATACGGTAGCACCTGGTCCAAGGCGGCATTTCTGAGCTCCTTCGAGCAAGCCCAGAGGCCGCTGCCAAAGGTCCACGGGACGTTTATTCCCGCTCCCTTTTGCTGACAGGGCGACAAGAAGAAAGGACCGCTCGGCTGAGCAAGCTAAGGAGGCACAGTCAGCTCGAATCAGCGGGGGGGCTTCAAGCTGGGTTTTCATGGTTATGTCGTTTCTGAGAGGCACTCGAGTTGCTCAACCATAAATAGAGGCACAGAGTCGAATGGCTTTTCCCTTTGAAAGGACCGGAGATGTCCGTGGAACGGGACCACGCAGCAGAACACCGTCCGACCACACGGGGTGCGGCCTGACCGCACGGGTTACTGCAGAAAGCGGTCCAGCTTCTCCTGGATGCGGGCAAAGGCATCCTGCCCCATGTAGTCTACGCGTCCCTCCTCCCATTTTCTCCTTTCCTCCTCGGGACTCAGTTCCCTGACTTTTTCTTTAAGAGAAATCTCGGAAATGGAGACGGCCAGGTCAACCTAGGAAAGACAAGCCAACAGGAGATGGGTTTAGAAGCGGTCCGTCAAGGAGTGAAAGATACCTAACACATCCATCCTATCTAGCCGTCTCAGTTCTCAGAGAGAGAGCGCGGGTCGTCGGCACTTTCCTTTCGAACAAAACGCACGCCGAATTTAATACGATATTCCAAGAAGATGCTTTTTTGGCCTAATTTTTTTGAAATTTTACAAATTATAACTCTACGTGGGCTCAATTTTTCCTAGGAACTGTTTTCATTTCCAGCCACTAAACCATTTCACACACACCCCTGCGTTCATTAAATACTTGCACCCACCAAAACCTCAATGTTTGCATCATTTGGTTATATACGACCAAACTACGTGAAATGAAGAAAACTTCCACCTTATGGAAATAAAGCCCATAAGATTTTGGACGGCTTGGCAAAACCATTTAAATAGTAATTGAAATAGTTGTCTTCTTGCAATGGCAGGGTTTCTATCGGCATAGGGCATACGTTTGAAAGAATATATCAGTACACAAACACATACTCACATCTTCCTTTGGGTTGGCACTCAAATGGGCCAACAGAAATAATAAAGACATTCGCTTTAAACGCTTCTTACCAGGGATCAGAAAAAGACAAAAATATGCACCTGATAGGAATTCATATATATATGCATATAAAGTTGTGTGTGCATATATGTGTATATATATGTGTATATATATTTTATATATATATATATATATAAAGTTGACTTTATAAATCTTAGTTGGAAACTAAAGCTGACTCAGGTATTCCCCAGATGCTGTGTGGATGTGGAGAAATATATTGGACACCTGAGAGTTAAATCATAGTTTCTGTGCCCCTGGGCGTGTAGTTTTCTCCCGTGATCATGTGCCACACTGGTTTTGAACAGTTTTTACGGATAAGGTTCTGCTTTCCACACTCGTTCCCGTATTTATTATTCAAACGGCGCCATCCTGTTGGTCAAGGAAGTTGCAAAGGTTAAAAAAGATCCCTTCCAGGATAGATCACTAGGATTTGGGCTTAGTAAATTCCTGGGAATTATAACTTTCTGGAATTCAACGGGACCCGTCGCACATCCCAAACCAGCTCTCGGCAGAAAACGGCACGGCGAGTGCATCGTTGTGATAAGGAGAGGAGGTCAGTATCCAAGAAAACAACAAAGTCTCTCGATTTTACGAAACAGGGTATTTATGCAAAATCGCAAATAAGCATCATCCATGGTACAGCGGAGAGACGGGTAGGAGGAGAATGTCAGTGCGCCTCAGATGAGTGAATGAACCACTCAGAGTCCGTGTCCTAGCGCTCACGGCGCCCAACTGACCAGGACGCCATCCCAGGCGTGTGCATCGCCCAGGAGGTGGGGACCTTCTTGGCGCCATCCGCTGGGAGCAGCCTTGGTGATAGGACTGGAGCTAATCTTAGGAGCCAGGCACCAACGAGGGTCCCATCCAGACCCAGCTCTAGGAGGCAGGCACCCCTGTCACCAATGCATGGATGCTCAGAGAGGGTGATAAACTCACCCACCGCACAGCTTAGCTGTCCACGGCAGGTCTGCCCAACACCACTCCCACACCGCGTCACCCACCAATAACCAATTCATAGAGCCTCAAAATCATTACACAGGGGCTGCCCTCGAGGAAGGCAAGCCCGAGTGCCACGTGCAAACCAGTGGAGTTTCAGAAGGAACCCTGTCACCAAGAGCGCTAGAAATAAGTTCCAAATCCTGCATTTGGCGTTGCCTAGACTGACAAAGTAGGAGAAAAAAGCGTGTACATTTTCCCCAAGGGGAAATTCTGGTAAAAGTGTCACGCACACTGAAATAGTTATTATCTAGCAGGCCAGATTCCAAATATATGGTGCTATAAACTGAATATTTGTGCCCACCTCCCAATTCAGATGTTGAGGCCTAACCCACAATGGGATGGTGTTAGGGGGTGGGGCTCTGGGGAGGGGATGAGGTCATGAGGGTGGAGCCCCCATGAGTGGCATTAGTGCCCTTATAAAAGAGAGCCCAGAGACCTCCCTCACCCCTCCCACCCCATGAGGACACAGCAAGAGGACGGTCATCCGTGAGCCAGGAGGCTGGTCCTCAACAGACACCAAATCTTGGACAAGACACCTTGATCTTGAACCTGCAGCCTCCAGAACCGGGAGAAATACTTTCTCTTGTTTATAAGCCCCCCCGACTCTATAGTTTTTTTGCGATAGCAGCCCAAACAGACCAAGACTCAAGATTCAGTACTCATTTTCATCATAGCCCCGATGCTCAGCTCCAGAGCCATACCTGCTATTACTTAAAGACCAAAAGATGTTATTAGATCATTGTTAGAGAAAAAAAAAAAAAAAATTAGCAATCGCTTTCACTAAAGGCATCCACAGAGAGAATGAAGTTTAAGAGGTCGACATCCGTAAGAGAAAGGGACAGGAAGCATGCATCTTCGTTCTCTCAAAGAAGAAATCATTGCATGCTCCATTTGCATCAAAACGTTCATCCCCCCCCACCCCAAATTTCCCAGCTTTGATTCTGTTCCTTTTAGACAATGGATCGCCGTGCGTTGGTTTCCATGCTCGCTCTGCAGGAAAACACAGCACAGCCCCTCCAGTTGACGGCAATTAACTTTTGCAGAACTGCTTTCACACAGAGAGAAAGGGCATCATCAATAAGGATGAGAAAAACCGTGGACCAAGCACCCCAGATAAGCAGACGGGCTGGAGGCACCAAGAGAAGCAGGCGGAGTCATTTCAACACAGTCAGCTTGGAAGTTGGGATCACCGGCTGGTGTGCGTGCATGCGGCCGGCCCCAGGGATGGCGGATATGATCCATTGCATCTTTTTCTTTCCTAATTCTTCCTAAAGCAAACGACCAACAGGAAACACAATGATGGAGGAGGCGGGAAAATCTGGGTAGACAAGCGGGTCCCTTATCCACCTGGGTCATCAATACACTCATCTGGGAAAACCACTCAGAAAGGTCAGGGGAGGAAGAAGAAAACCATAGGGCGTGTTCTCTGGTATTCATCGGACACAGACACGCTGAAAAGAAAAACGAGCCATGAGCAAGACGGATGCACCAAAGAAGCGTAAGTGGGGTGTACCGAGGTGGCTGGGGTCTCTGTGGAGTCTGCAAGTTGGGGGGGACGGTGGTGACAACGGGTCCCCCATCACTCCGGCTATAGTCTCAATTTCAGGCCAGCCTACCATCTGTCATACAGAGAGAGCAAAAACAAGTTTGCAAAAACAAACCTTAAAGGAACACAGCTCACCTGAAAACGCCCCCGTCTGCTCTTGTCTCGGGCTTGCACCCATCAAACTCCTGCGCCGGTCTCCTTGCATCTAAGCGGGGCTGTGTGACTCATTCTCACCCTCTGTGCTTTTCCTACCCTCTGTCCCCACAGGTCAGGGGAACAGCAAGGTCCCCCCAGCCTGTTGCAACGGGGGTCCCGCCAGAAAATGAACCTCGACCAAAAGCGACTCGAGTGACTATTTTCTCAACGCTCCCAAGGACGGCACCCAGCTAAGACCATCCCAGACGCGCAGGAGACAACTCAGTGCATTATCTGCACGACTGGCTGCCACAGGAGACCCTAATTCTCTCTCAGGGGACCACAGCGGGGAAGAGCTGCCCTACAAGAAGATGGAGCAGAACGACGGGAGGATCCTGGATCCCTCGATGACGGCACGCTGCATGCCTTTGCCTCCCCAGCTGACGGCAACACCAACAAGAAAGAGATTTTTCCACATCCGGGGACCATTGGTACAGCCCCTCGCCTACCCTGATGAATTCAGGGTCAAGCAGCAAGCCTGTGCGCACAGGCAGGGGCGCCACAAAAGGTCCAGAGGCTCCTGCCATGAACCTAATGAGTGTCAGCCACAGAGACTAGAGATCATTGACAAATGGGCCCATCCTCACTGCACGCACGCCGCAGAAATACATGGGCGTCAGCACAGGCTCCTCTGCCTGTCCTCAGAACTGAGTCTCCACCCTGGAATGCAGATTCCCCGGGCACAGCCCCAGCGATTTTGAGTTGACCCTATGTGGAGCCCGGCCGCTCCGAGACTCAGCTCCCAAATCTATGATGTCTGCATTTCGGTAATAGAGAAAGTACGCTTCATCCTGCATTAACCGAGGCACGGAGTCACGCAGACCCCACAGAGTCATCAAAAGGCAGGTATGAAGACGGCAGAGTGGGCTCCACGGCGTGAGTCCCACCCTGATGCTCACTGTCCAAGGAGAAAGCTGGATGTTCCACAAATCACCCCTCTAAAGTGACAGGCTGTGAGAAATTCTAAGGAGAAAAAGCATGGAGAACTGAGAGCCACTGTTATCAAGGTCACATCGACCTTGTCAGGAGGGGGAAGGTACTCCTGAAGGAGTAGCACCTAAAATGACATCTGAAGGATGAACAGGATGAAATGATAGAGAATGAGTAGAGATGGAGGGAGCCAAAGAACATACTGAGAAAACCAGGACAGCCTGTGCAAATGTCCTGAGGCAGAACATGAAGAAACTGAAATAAGTTTGCTGTAAGAACTTAGACAACCCCTCCAAAAAAGTCATTATTGGTGAAATTCATTAAAAAATATTTAAAATGTAGACGATAACACAGTAATCACAAATTCGCTTTTTCAAAAATTTTTTCCATCTCCTAAACTCAGTAGTGCAAGTTAAAATATGGGCTCCTTCTTCCAGATCTTGATTATGGATGTGAAATCCAAAAATGAAACTAAGTTCTTAATAATTATAGTGTAAAGCAAAACGATAAAGTTATCCAAAACATTAAAGACTGGGGCTAAGAGCAGCTCCTTTTTCTCGGGCGCCCATCCCTGGTTGCTAAATGACCTCGTAAGCTTCTTGGGTTTATGTCGCACAGAGATTTGTTGGGGTGGGCCGCCAATGAAGCACTTAGCCTGGCAAATGAGAAGTGCCAAAAGATGTGGGTAATCTCAAAAACATGGGGGGAAATGCCAATTCCGTCATCTCAATTTCTCTCGACAAAGAACAGATCAGTAGATTCCATGTGGGCATCATGAAAGAGCATCCTCCCCCGAAAGGGATCTAACTCAGAGTTACGTATTTGATAAGAGACGATGAAATAATCCTCTGGCTTCCCAGCTTGTCTTCTGTAGATGCCTTAGAAACTCACAAATTTAACTCACGAAGGAAGAGAAGTTCGATCAACTCACACTTGACATTTCTGAACAAGACCCACGGGTTTGTTTCAAAACAATACACAACTGAAATATAAACTGATACATTAATAGGAAATATTCCACTTATTCTTACTGGCTACAAATAGGTACTTCCTTCTTTACACGGCGGGCAGAAAGCATGGGGAGAATTCGGAGACGAGATTTTAGCAACAGCGTGGTGCAACGTCAGCCCTTCCGACCATCGCAGGCAGGCTTACGAACGAACGCACGTCCGCAAAACGTGACTTTTGTGAAATGCATTTATTTTTATCCTTCGGATAATAACGATTTCGCTGATTCATCCCCGTAACCAGCTGCCTGAAGTTCAGGTCACCTCTAAAGACAGAAGGGAAACTGGAAACAATTCAGGGGATTCTTGGCTCAAAGGAGAGAGAGAGAGACGGAAGGATGGAGACAGGCTTACAAAAAAAAAGGGCTGCGGGTCTGGAAAGGGGAGGCGGAGAGCGCACACGGCACGCAGCCAGATGGTGCAGCCAGATCTATGCACAACAGATGCGGAATTGATAAACACATCCATTTAGAACAGATAAAAGGGAAGCTCCCCTTTTGCATCACGGGCTGCAGTCTTGTGAAAGTTATGACTGCCGGAGGAAGCTAAAAATATAAATTTATGACTCCGTCCAAGAACCAAAGAGGGATTTTCCACTTTCAGCAACTGGCGAAGCTACGTGTTTCACAGCAACTCTCCCGCCAAGAATAACGAAAGTCCAGACTGAATATATGTGTGTGTATGTGTGCATATATATATATATATAAGATACATATGTCATAAATATATGTTTATAAGAAATATATCAGATTCCTACTAAGGCAACGAACAGTTAAGACGTAAGTTCACAGAATAGAAGACTCGAGAATTTGAGGTTATTCATCGTCCTAAAACTGAGCTATAGAATTCAACGCAACCCCAGTCGGAATTCCGGAAGGTTTTCTCCAGGAGCCTGCCAAGCGGGTCCTACTATTCATATGGAAATGTAAAGGGGCTGGAAGAGGCAAGGAAAGAAGAAAAACGTGGCAGAAGTTGCAGGACCGGTAATGAGATATTTTAAAGCCGGGGTAATCGTGACAATCTGTTACTGGTGCAAAAAAGAGGAAAATAAAACAAAAGAACAGAGAATCCGAAAATAGGTACCCCCCACGTGTGGGTGCCTGATGGATGGCAGAGGAAAAGCAGGAGGAGGCGGTGGGGAAATGACAGTGTCGTCGATAAAGCGTGCTGCGTTAATTAGAGATCAATGAAGGTTGACCCCAAACTCACTCACTGCGTAACATCCCTTCCAGGTGGGTTCCTGATGTAAGTGTGAACGTGGAAAACAATGACAATCCCGTAAGAAATCCAAGTGGGTCCTCTTCACAACCTGGGTTTAGAGTCAGCTTGCCTAAGCGGGAAACAAAACATGCTACTCACAAACAAAATATGAACGAACTGGTTTCTAGTCATCCACGGACGCGGCTGAGGGGTTGAAAAGGGAACACAGTGGAAAAAAAAATAGTTCCTATACTACTGAAAAAGAACCTGTAACTGGAATATGTACACAGCACAAAGCCTCTAGTGGGTGGGGGCAACCACTTTGCAAAATCCTCGGCAGAATCGACTAAAACGAAAACACACACACGTGCACACACACGCACGTACGCACATACCCTTTGACTTTGCAAATCTCTCCAGCCGTGGACACAGAAGGGCGAGGAGATGCGTGCACGCGCTTGTTCCCAGCAGCGTTTTCTCCCTGCCAGCCACGATTCTCGAGGCTCACTCAGCACGGGGTCACTCAGCACGACGGATGGAGCTCACAGACACGCCAAGCCAAAGAGGTCAGACTGCAGGAGTCCGTCTAGGACGAGCTCGAAACCGCTCACCGCTAAGCTAGATTTGGTCAAAGTCGGCATAGCGTTTTCCGGAGACAGGCAGGGTGCAACGAGCCTTTTGGGGGTGACTTTCTGGGGTCTGGATCATGGCTATTTGGGTTTTTTCACTCTGTAAAGTCCCTCAAGATGCATACATAGGAAGTACATAAGTGTGTCCTTTTTTATATGTATGTTATTCTTCCCTAAAAGGTTTCATTAAAAATAAGATATACTATGAACCACAGTAAAAACCACCAATACGTTTATAAAAATGAAGGGCCTCTCTCATCTTTTCATTAGCCACAACATTTCCCGTACCCAAACACTTGGCTGAGAAGATGATAAACGGCAAAGCGATTTCTCTAATACATTCCTGTAGATGGGATGTCAATTAGATATTCTTTTCATTAACTACACCATTCCCGTACCCAAACACTTGGCTGCGCAGATGCTAAATGGAAAATATATTTTTTCTACTGCACTAATTTACATAGGAAGTCATTTAGATTGTCAGCTTTCCTCTTGAAAACGGAGACCTGGTCTCCAACAAGGCTGTCATCATTCTGGGCACAAAGGCTGCCCTTTGGAATACGGACCCCAGAATCCAGACCCAGCTCTTCTATACTTATAGGGATTTATGGAAATAATCTTTTTTTTTTTTTTTTGGACTGGGTTCCAGCTCCCCAAAATAAAGAACCCACGGTCGATAATTCAACGGATGGCCGGTAGGTGGCAGCCAGGCTGCATAATATATTCCAAAGACCTCTCAGGGAGTGTGAAATGGGAAAATACATCCTCCCGATCCTGGAAAAGCATCCCTCCCTTTTAAAAGTGTATCGATCGACTTCACCCCTTTCAGAGACACACGCTCATCAGAAAAGAGTCACGCCGTAGAGATTTCCTTACAAAGCAATCACCCCCAACCCGTCAGTCCCAGATGGGAGGATGGAAGATTCAGCAGAGACGGGAGTCGGGATGAAGGATGGGACAATGGGTGGGAGCAGACACTCCAAAACACTGTTTCCTGTTTATCTTCTTTTTATTCCATCAAGGTTTTCAACGTCTGTGTTGTGGGCTGCAAACACGAGCCCCCAGATGTTTGGGGTTGAGTCTCTATTTACTTATTTAAGTGGCTTTAGTTGCACCTCCAGCCCTTCCAACCGCAGCTCTCTATGGATCCACACTGTTCCCCTCCAGAAGGATTTAAGAGGCGCTCACAGCACGCTGCTCCCCGGAGCTCCTTCACGGCTGAGACGTCCTCCCGGATGCAGAAGCGTGAGCTCAGCTGGGTATCGGATGCCTGAGTCCCACCTTCTTGCCCTCAGATCTTCCAAGACCCAACCCGCTCCTGTCAGAATTAAGCATTTCAGTAGACAAGTCCGCTGCCGGCCTGTCATCTCCCGCAAGCCTTCCACTGAATGAGTTTCTTTTTTCCCTCCACCCCATGGCAGTTCCCTATTTCTCAAAGTTCTGTCTCGAGGTGGCTCATTCTGTATTCATTTCAGAGACCCGCCCTTTGAAGGTGGGCTGTTGGCTTCCGGCACTTTTCTGAAGCTCCGGGGGGAGACGGAAGGGAACGAGGCTGCGCAGAGGCGCAGAGATGAGAGAGCCTGCAATTACTTCTGAGAACTAGTTAAATATCCTGAACCGGGCTAAGAAGTCATGTCCCCCGACCCTACCCTCGGCCTTGGGCTCAAACTCCAACTGGGCGCAGAAAGACGGCGGGTCCCAGGTGGCATCTACAGACCCCAGAGCCCGTAGTGACATGGGAGGGATTTCGGTTTTGATGGGGGTTCCTCCTCTTGTCCCAGGACTTGTCCTGGCCCCTGGGAACCCACTTCACTCCAATTCTGAAGACTTTTCCCGCCTTCCTTCTTTCCCCAGGATGGCCTCTTGAGGATGGGGTAGGGTTCAGAGCCACATGACACCTGCCAAAATGGCACCCCAAGCTTGGTCACAGGCGGAGCCAACCGCTCCTCCTCTCTGGGCTGCTGCCGATGAACTTGCGGTCTTTGGCTGCCATTGTCCATCTCACTGCGCATCAAGAAAAGACCCTCCTGAGATCTCGATCCTTGCCGTCAGCTTTGCCCGACATGCCCTGCACCCTTCAGGAGAAAAAGCTCCCCTTGGCTTGGCTTGGATTGAAATGGTACTTACGCACACACACAGAAAGACAGCTATCTGCTCTTTAAGCCACAGCTTCGTCAACAGTTACCAACCCAAAAGGAAGGTAGGGACACCAAGCAAACCCACAGCAATCGAGTAAATCACAATTAACACGAATTGAATGCGGAGAATACAGTGTTCTTGGAACTGAAGCGCTCTGTGCGCTGCGAACATGGTTCTGATTCTGCTGAGATGGGCATGCACGACAACCTGGGCTGGGGGACTAATGTCTCCGGTGACGAGGCAGTGCTCATGGGATCGACAATAGGCTTTAAGGTCGTCGACTAAAGGACAAATCCTTTTAAATGATTCTGATTCAGACAGAGCTTGGGCCATGCTTTTAGCACCACTCAGACACACTCCAAAATGATGGAATAAGATCAAAATCACATAACCAGGAATTAGAAAGGTGGAGTGTGTGTATTGGACTTCTCCAGAGAAACAGACCCAATAGGATATACACAGATAGCCAGAAAGAGATTGACCTTGAGGGATTGGCTCACATGATTATGGAAGCTAAGAAGTCCCACCGTCTGACGTTTGCAAGCTGGAGGCTCAGAAAGTTGGTGCGTAATTCGGTTCAAGTCCAAAGAACCAAGAAGCAAGAGGGCCGATGTCCGAGGGCGGGAGAAGATGGATGTCCCAGCTCCAGCAGAGAGCAAATTCGCCCTTCCTCCGCCCTTTTGTTCCATTCAAGCCCTCAACAGATTGCATGAGGCCCACCCACACTGGGCAGGGCCCTCTGCCTTACTCAGTCCACCCATTCAAATGCTAATCTCATCCAGAAACAGCCCCACAGACACTCCCCCCACCCAGAAATGACATTTTACCAGCTCTCTGGGCATCCCTTAGCCCAGCGAACTTGACACATTCAATTAACCATTAGAGTTGGAAATGGTCGTCTATACTCAACAGAGTCTGATCGTCCGCCAAACATTTCACGCGAATGTTGATTTTCCTAAAAACCCGACTACAGGCGTGGCTCCTCCTCCTACACACAAGGGAAGAGCCTAACCGCCAGATTCTTCAGATCCTGACTGGAATAAACAGATGTCCTTTATCTAACTCACATAAGGCACTTCCCGGGGCCACATCCGGGCTGTGGGAAGCTCATCATACATAAGGATGAATGAAAAAACTACAAAAAGCTCATTTTCTACCACCTGTCTTCATCGTCCGAACCTGAGGGTCTTTCCGTTTGTTTGGATGGACGCAAAATCCAAACTCAAAAATTATTACAGCGTGCATAGAATTTATCCCATGCAATAGTGACACATAGGGTTCCTTCCAAAGAAATTTGCTAAAATTTAAACAGCGGTGGCTTATAATCAACAGGAAAGAGCTCCCCCAAAGCTATCGAAATAGACAGAAAAATATGACTTCCCTTCAACCCAGCCCCCGAATCCGTCCCTTACGAGCTCATCGTAATTCCAGTGAGAAATTCAAGGGACTGAAAATGCCTTTCAACGTAAGGGTTTAAATGAGAAATCTTGAAACATCCAGCATTGACCCAATGTCGTTGCTTGGAAATCGTGGATGGAGAAACGACAGCCTGGTGGAATACGATTCTTTTTGCAAATAAGGTGCTGCACTCTCGTTTTTCTTCTCTGAGGATAGAATTCTGCAGACCCCACCTCAATAGAAACGAACATGGGGTCAACATGGATCTCTGCAAGCCACATTCAAGTCGGGGATCCTGCTGAAACCTCTCAGCACGCAGAGCCGTGTGGCCTGGCAATCGGGCTCGAGAGGGGGGACAAGAGCATTTGCCTTCTGAACCTGAAAGTTTTGGGACGCCCTCAATATCTGGATGAGACTAGACAGCTGTTCTCAATGTGTCTATGGGTTTCCTGTAGCTGCCGTCACCAATGACCACAAACAGGGCGGCTGAAATTACAATGCAGATTGATTATTTGAAAGTTCTGGAGGTCAGAATTTGAACACGGGTCTCAAGGAGCTAAAAGCAAGGTGTCAGTGCGCCTTCTGGAGGCTCCAGATGACCCATTCCCTTGCCTTCTCCAGCTTTCTTGGCTCCTGGCCTCTTCCTCCATCTCTGAAGCCCGCAGTGCAGCATCTCCCCATCTTTCTGTCTGACCTCTGTTTCTTTGATCTCATCTCCTTTTCTTTTGGCGGCGGGGCGCACCGTTATTCGGTATACCACAAAACATAATTGCACAATGCTCTAAATAAACGCAGGAGCCCCCAACACCAGAGCAAACCGAAGACTAGGTTTCTCCCTCTAAACCCCCTCGCTGGGAATGAGGAAGCAGCCTCTCTGAGCGGGCTCCCTGGGGAGCCAGTGTCTGATTCTCCGTCACACCCGTGTGGGGTGCAGGTACTTACGTCTTCAGAATGGCCTCCTTCAGGTGAGGGTAGGGTCTCGTCCACTCCCACGTTCGTCTCTGAAGGATCCTCAGCAGGCCACGCCTGGCTGGACCCCACCGCTGAATCTGCACACAGGTTTCTGGCACTGGGCACAGAATTTGCACACGGCCCCTCAGCACTGGGAGCTGAATTTGCACATGGTGCCCCAACGCCACCGAGGCAAGCCTGCAGAAAAAGCGGACGCTCTTACTAAGTCCTCCTTATATCTTTTCAACCCTCCAGCTGCCCTCGAAGCCCCAGGTGCCGTCCCATCCTCTGCATGCCTGGGGCTCCTCAGCCCGACCTTCTGGATTCATTACACATAAGCTCAACTAACGAATGCCACGTGGGCTTATTCAATCGGGCCCCGAGAACCTGTAAATGTTCTGAGCAGACCCTGCACAGAGCCGGATGCTCTGAGGCAAGAGCAAATGCTCTCATATCCCCGACAGGACAACTCGCAAAGCGAATTCTGATTCAACACTCAGGTGACAGGCGGTCCTCCTGCTGGACCACCCAGCACGTGTTTCCTAGACAGCTCTCAACGTTTTCTCTCCCAGAACCAGATGACTCGAAGTCTTACTTTCCTTTATATACAACCTGACGTGCAGCAACCCATCTGGCAGAAAATAGGAAGCAATGACTGCAACGGCATGAATACGAAGAAACTCCTATTCCCACATGTCAAATGATCAGAGGAACCTGGAGTCCTTGCAAAGGAGCGCCAAGCCCCAGCAAACAAAAAGCAGGGGAAACACTAAACTACAACTGCATTTCCATTTCCCAAGCAATGCATTTGCTGAGCAGCGACTCCATTGCACCAGGAAATGTGCTACTCAAAAAACGATCAAGAAATAGTTTCCTGGGACCTCCTTTCAAGAGGCGTTCTGCAAGAGAGATGTATGCACATCAAGTGGACGGCGGAAACGTCGCTGTCTGGTGCATTTAGGGTTACCGTGGCATCTTTAAAAAAAAACAAATTGGTGTCAATCAAAAACGTTTCAAATGCCCTTCAGAAACTTCCTCCAGTTGCTACTTCAAAGGATTTAAAGTGGAAAATGTCTTCCTGAACAAAGTTGCAATCAACCATCTTCAGCCACTTCTCCGTGAGTGGCTCTCGCCCTGATGAAGGCGGCTCGTTGAAATAATCTATTTATTCATCGGTCCCCTACAACACAGCAGCATTTCTGCTCATTAAACACTCACTCTTCTGAGCCAAAAAAAAAAAAAAAAAAAAATGTTGTCTGCCCGAAACACAGCAGGTGGAAGCAGCCGGCGTGTTTGAAGAAAACACACCGGGCACTGATCACGGAGAGTTTATCCCCGTTCTCAGCTCTTGGTTTTCAAGGGAGTCAGTCGCTTACCGTGCCTCCTGGAGATGCGTGTTCTTGCTCGTCCCGGATGCTTTCGTAAAGAGGCAGGATGCTGCCGTGGTAGATGCCCCACCAGACCTTGAGAAACGATGCCTGGTGCTGGGTGACCAGCTCGGAGCCCTCCTCCAAAACCGAGCCAGTCTGTGGATTGTACTTGTAATTCCAAGGCTTTCTGGACCCCAAAAAGTGGACCACCTTTGCACTCGAACCGAACCTGAGAAGGCAACGCCAAGGAGTCTGCCTACCACTCGGAAGCGATCGGACCCGTGCAGAAAGCACGCAACAACCAAGAGACTCGACAAAGGCAGAGACACCTAAAGGCTCGTCTCAACGGGTTATTGAAAATCACGTAATCACGACTACGTTGACTTGCCGTTATCGTACTTCAAGATAATTTTTTCAACAACCAACGTTTGCAGTATTTCATTTTCTAAGCACCAAGAAATGTATTCCTAACCCATTGGGATGTTCCTTAAAGCTCGAAGAACAAATCAAGAGTCTACTAAAGATGCACGGTATGGGGGCCCATATCATCATCTCCTCGAAAAGATAAGGAAATGGGGGCTGGCCCAGTGGCGTAGTGGTTAAGTTTGCACACTGTGCTTGGGCAGCCTGGGGTTCGTGGGTTCGGATCCCTGCCATGGACCTACACACTGCGGGTCAAGCCACACTGTGGCGGCATCCCACATACAAAATAGATGAAGATCGGCAACAGATATTAGCTTTAGGCCAATCTTCCTCACCAAAAAACAGATAGGGACAAAAAAATAATAGCTTTTATAGTAGATAATGCAAGCTACCAAACACAAAATTGGCTTTTTTTTTTTTTTTTTTTTACAAAATTGGGAATTTTCTCCTCTCAACTTTTTTTTACCCCCATTATCACCATTCCCATCATCCAAGAACCTATTTAAACATTTTTTTTCATAATCACCTTCCCATGAGATTTCAATACCATGGTCCCACTGGGTCTATGTTCTGTATGTATCTCTGTGCTTTATACATTGAAAAGGATACAATTTTTCACTCCCCGAGAACCAATTTCTGCCTCCTTGGGGGCAATATGGCCCCTGTTAAAAATGCATCCTCTAGAATGATTCATTTCCTAGATTTTCTATTTTCATTTATAACAACGTCACCTACAGCAGCAGATCTCAAACATTTTGGTCCTAGGACCTCCTGACATTCTTAAAAATCACCAAGGACCAAAAGCACTTTCTTCATGTGGATTCTCTCTATACATACATTTTCTGCCACAGACATTAAAACTGAGCAATTAAAAAATATATTTACCAATCCATTAAAACACAATCAACCCATCATATGTTGACATAACTTTCATTTTTTTCATGAAAAATGACTATTATTTAAAAAAACAACTTGTAGAAAGAGTGAGATCGACCATCTTAAGACGAGACAGCATGCTTCTCATATCTGTGCTTACATTCAGTGCATCGCTTTATCACGTCATCGAGTTTCCATAAAACCCATGTACGCTTATGAGAAAATGACAGTGCAAAAGGAAAACAAGGTCTTAGAATTATTTTTGTAAAGTCGTTTTGACCTTGAAGGCACTGGGAAGAGCTGTGGGGAACCCCCCCAGGGTTCCCTGGACAACACTTTGGCATCCACCATCCTTAAGACTCGTTGACTTGACTAGCTATCATTTAAAGCAATAAGCAAGCAGAGGAATGAGCTAATCTTTTTTTTTTTTTTTTTCCAAAATGCCAAAAGCTGATACAGATTCTCAGAGAGAAGGTGGCAACATGGCGGCAGGCCCAGAAGGATTTGGCGCCATGGAGAACTTACTGTTTGAAGGCGGGGCTGTAGGTGTATGCGGTGTTACTACTCAGGTTATAGATGAATGGCAGATGCTTGTGGATATCGGCCGTCGACCAGCTGCTGAAGAAGCTGTTCAATAAGCCTTGATCTGCCCCTAAATAATTAACAAACGCCCAAGGAGGTTAAGATGGAACGCTGCAGGACACTGAAAGAATGCAAGATGTGTTTGAAGGGCGTGACATAAACACCGGCATTCAACGTTGATAATTATACTTCTTCTTGCTGCCCTTACAACATGATCGTTGCCTCCAAGGTGACTACCGGGGTTGGCCGGTGGCATAATGGTTAAGATCGCACGCTATGCTTCGGCAGCCTAGGGTTCGCCAGTTGGATCCTGGGCATGGACACGCCGCTCATCGAGCCATGCTGTGGCGGGATCCCACATAGAGGAACCAGAGGGACCTACAACTAACATATACAAGTATGTACTGGGGCTTTGAGGAGAAAAAAAAAAAGTGACTAATAACCCATACCATTAATTTAAACAAATGCATAGTCGCTGCAAAATTCTCCACTGATAACCCAAACTCTTAATAATAAAATCGCCTTCTGTCTCCCAAATCCTCCAGTCCTTTCCCAATAAGGTGTAGCCAGTAGCGACATTGCTTTCCTACCGTTTTTGCTGACTTTGTTCACCCCTCATCCTTTCCCAGAGGCAGTTTTTCATCAGTCTACTATTTCCTTTTACGTTACAAAAATTCCAGCACTTTTCCCGTCTGTCCCTCTGGTTCAGTGAGATGTGTGACTTCTAGCTGGCTCATTTTAATTCTTCCCTTTATTCTATAAATGGGGTCAGCCAACCACGCCCTGTATCTGTTTTCGTAAATAACGTTTCACCGGAACACAGCCATGCTTGTCCGTTGAAGTCTTGAGAATGGCCGCTTTCTATTTGCCACAGAGATCACGCGGCCCACCCATGCGAAATATTTATTATTAGCTGGCCCTCTCAAGAAAGATTCGCCTATCCATTCTGTACGATCAGGAGTGAGGGGTCATCAGCATATTTTCAACGGTTCTCTCTGTTGCACACTCGCTTGCTAACGTCTTCATTTACTCCTTTCGCCCTGCCTGGCTTTCTTCTTCCATCTCCACCTTTAACTGACTTCAACGGGCCCTTCTCGCATATCGGGGTGGGGAGGGGGGGGTGAGGATGGAGAAGTGGTGGGGAGACTGGCAACAGCCCCATTCTCCTCCAGCAATTCCCAGCTTCCCCTCGCCTACCGTCGAAGCTGCCGTGGTCGGTGGCGTGCTGCAGCAGGAGGCCGTGCGTCTCAAGGGAGGGCTGAAAGACGAAGACGCCGCTGTTGAAACAATCCGGCCAGCCGGGATCCGGGGCTGCAGAAAACTCGCCCCTCTCGAACAGCTCATCGATATTGGACAGCACCTGGTGGAGCAGAGCACGGGGAACCTGCAGCAACATTTCTCCCACCTCCGGTTCGCAAGTGCGAGATGCAGTGGGAGCTTTAGGGTGAGCTGGGCAAAACGGTCAGTGAGCGGAAACCTGTGCCCTGTTTTTTTTTTTTTTTTTTTTTGGAGTCGACTCTTCTCTTTTAGGCTCATATTCAAGAGAAGAGTGTGCAAGCAAGATCGCTCTCCGGTTTATTTCAAGTGGTTGCAATCACGCTGTCTCTGAAATTACATTATTTTCTCGAGGTTCTTAAGATCCTCCACGGAACTCGCTTAATTGTATAACCTCTTGAATCTGGCAAATGCGATTAATGAAACTATGGAAACCGTGAACGGAGGGGTTTGCAAGTCAATATGATGTCAACCGTTGCCTTCCAGGGCTTGACTGACTGCAGATCCCCCCCGACATCTATTGGCTTTCTAAATTGTGCTCTGTGTGGAAATTTTAAAAAACCATCACTCTGGTTACGCTATTGTTCCTAAATTTCTCCGCATCTCTTCCTCTTCTTACCGGGGTGCTTCTGCACCCAAACAGATCTCCAACACTCCACGCCATTGTCCATTTCGACTTTGCAATATTGTTTTTGAAAGTGGCCACCATGGGCTCCCACACCGCAGGTCATAAGCCCGAAAGACAACGGGGGAATGCCATAGCTTAAGAGGCCGGGTGCACCAGCCCGGTCGGGACTACACAGTTCAACATACAAGCAAGGCAAAATAGTTTTTCTCTCATTATTCCGTTTTGTGCACGTGAAAGAACGTGCTTATGAATGCCTCCCTGGGAAGAAAGGTGCCTTCAAGGCCCTCAGCGTCCACAGCAGGATCCAGCACTGTGCTAGCAGGTACGAATACCCGATTTTGATGGACTGAACGTCACTGTTGATGACAGAGATGCAGGTTAACTTGTGGGAATCCCTGGGCAAGAGCTAGCAGCCTGCTTAAGGAGGGAGAGCATGGTGTTTAAGGAGCTCCTCATCGAGCGGAGCCTCTGGTCCTCACCACCCCCCGGTACTCACCAGGGTGTCTGCATCCAGGAAGACGCACTTGCTATAACGGGTCAGCGTCCAACAGTGAAGCTTGGTGAGGGTGACTCCTAGCTCCGGTCTGTTCAGAAAGGCCAGGTGGATGTAATCGGCACTGTCTATCAGGTTCACCTCGATCACCTCGTCAAACACCCTCGAGAGGACAACCCTGGAAAAGACAACGTGCCAAATACTAGGAGAACAGGAGACCATTTAATGCAGGACATCCTATATCCCTTCAAGAGGACACGCCTTTGCTGCCCACAAACACGGAACACGGATCCAGAACCCCGCCACACTCATTGCCATCTCCGTGTTCAGGCTTTATTTTTTTCCGTGGATGTCTTAGAGCTTCGCACATTGTTCACTTAGGCTCAAAACGTACGCAAACTTGAAAAACTTGGCAAATGGTACAGCATTGGTTTAAGGTAGATTGATTTGGGCTGTCTCTCAGGAAGCTACTTCTCTTTGCAAAATGCGTGGGTAGTGAGGCGCGAACGCTGCACAGGTAGAAACCAACACACGTCCACTGCAATCTCTATCAGTTTTCACTTTGTGTATTCAAAACCTACATTGTTCGTTGCCTACAAGTTTGAGTCTCAAATTTTGAAAGATTGTACCTTTTATCAAAATGAAATTTCCCTTTGTTCCATTTAATTATTATTATTATTTATTATTGTTGCTTAAATTCTACTTTATCATTGGCCGGAATATCTTATGCTCACAGAAGCTCAAGGAAATGCTAGAAGAAGGATGGGGGTATGTCAAAAAGATATAGGGAGCCAACCAGGAGGAGCTCCCAATGGCCAAAGCTGAAGGAATTTGAGCAAGAAAACAAATGACAAATCCAAAATATAAAATGAACATTCCTGGGTCCCATACTGATATAATCATTGAATAAGTAGGTAAATGAGAAAAAGGAGCAGCTCTTCCTTGCAGAAGAATTCCAAGTAATACACGTAGAAGGAATGAGGGAAACAGAAAATCAGCGTTATGCAGACACCCCAGATAACTGCCGCAGACCAGACTCACCGACGGATGCTAAAACCAACGGGGAACAGTTCTGAGGAGAAACAACAGGTTTTCATCGTCGAAAAGTACCTCCCCCAAGATGGTTATCAATTGCAAAGAGGAAAATTCTGACTTCAAAGGAAGAAACACTGTAGATACCGGCTTATCAGTAACAAGACAGCATCACACGCTCCCTGACACGATGTCCTGAAAAAGGCATTATCACTCCCGAGAATTTTTCTTTTTGCCAAAAATGCATAACCTCAGTCTAATCATGAAAAGACACTGGACAAACCCAAGTGGAGAGGCATTCTAGGAAACAACCAACCAGTACTCTTCAAAAACACCATGGCCATGACGCATGAGGCACGAAGGAAGAAATGTCATGGATGGGAGCAAGACATGACAATGAATGCACCGTGGGATCCTGGATTGGATCGTGGGATGGAATCCTATGACATCCTATGCATCCCTTCACTCTCAGGGTTGGTTGTTAGTTAAGCTGTCTCCCACACATGCATCACTATTTTATATATTTTTTTTTGTTTTTTTACATTTGTCATACTTTCTTCTTCTTTGTAATCCTTTCTCACCTTTCATGGCATGGGTTGGGATGTCTCCATTCCATGCATTTCCAGTTTTACTCATTTATCTGTTCAGTGCTGCTTCTTATATACTATTTCTCCTGTCCTGGATTCACATTTCATTTTGCTTGAGTGTATCCTCAAGCAATTTTTTTCCTCAAAAGTCTCTGAGGAATACAATTTTTGAGCTTTTGCTTATCTGAAACATCTTTATTTTGCTTTCCAATTACGCTAATTTGGCTGAGGACAGAAATCTCATTTCAAAATGATTTCGTCCCAGAACTTTGAGACATCAACTCTCTCAATCAGACTGATGGTGAAATACGTTAGGACTTTTTCTTCATTCTTGGGGCTTTGAAATGCCACTGTTTTGTGTCAACATTTGGGTTTTCTTCATTCGTTCTGCTCAACACTCAGGGAACACTCTCAATCTAAAATTCTTTCTCAGAGTTGAAATAGAACATGAGCTATTTTCTCTAATCCCTTCTCTCTGCTTTTTTTTTTCTCTTAGAAACTCCTATTATTAGACACATGTTGGAGCTTCTGGGTCTCTCTTTGCTGTTACTAGCTTTTTCACTTTTACTCCATATTTATCCGTGCTTATTCGTTGCACAGGATTCAAAGTAACTATATCTCTAAGAATGTACTATTTCATCACCACGTTCCCCCTGCCTTTTGCCCAGTTATTTACGGAATTTATGGCATTCTCAGGGTTGTATAAAGATCATGGGGTGTGGGGAAGGAAGGCACGAGAAATGCCGCTCTTTGTCACTACAAATAGCACGGCTTTTTATGTCCCTAAATGCTTCTGTTCAGCTCTGCTTCTTTCCCTAAAACAAATTCCTGGAAGCAGAATTAAGTTTCAGGAATACAATTTGTTTGAAGCGATGAGCACATGCTCCTGGCTTTGTTTCCCTGCAGAAAAACTCTCCGCCACACACATCTGCACCACATAGCCTGGATAGTGGTGGCCCCCTGACACTCACACCCCTGGTAATTTATGGTCATGGGTCATTGTTTGCCCTCTATGGCCCCAATAGTACCATACAGCACCATTCCTCCATCCTCCCAATGACTGGGTCCAAGAAAAACTCAACTGGGTCTGCAACACTGAACCCCTCCCATATTTCCGTGACGTTGTTTCTGAGTATTTTAAAGCTCATCTTCAGTAAGCCAAACGACTTAAAAAAAACAAATGTTGACAGCTTTTGACACCCGAGGAGACAGAAATCTAGGAGAGAATCATATATATATTTTTTGTTCCACTGATACCATCATTTGAGGGATGATGGGAGAATAGGCAACCACAGAAAGGTCCCCCCAGGGACGTGTGTCCACCCCCAGAGTCAGCCCTCCCAACTGTGTGTCCACTGGAGTCTCTGGTCAGACTCTGAAGGCCCCAGTGGCCTGGACACAGGAGAATGTCCCCTGCAGCTAAATGTATTGTCTTTCTCTTTGGGGCCTGAAGGGCTCATCTTATGCAAGAGGAAATACACTGAAAGCATCAATTAATTTGAAACACTTTTAAGAGAATGGGTTACATTCAATTTAACTCAAGTCTAACCACATGACTTGATGTCAATGACTGAGCTCCACCCCCAAACCCCAACATTTAAAAAGATATTTGCCAACCTAACCGGTCATAAATATTACCACGTATTGATTGGTCACGCTCTCTACCGCTGTTGTATTCGTCGGTCCACCTTTGCTTACTGTATGTAAGAGTTCTTTGAATATTATACAGACAACAACCCCGGTCTCCAGTATAAATTTTGTAAATGTGCTGCCTAGATTATCTATCTTTTACTTTTGCACGGAATATTTCTGACGTTCACCAGTTCTGGTGTCCTTTGCTGGGAAAATGGCATGCCCAGCTTTCAGGTGAATGGAACATCCATCTACGTCAGCGTCTGGGGACACTTTTGCTTGTCACAATTACCGGGAAGGTTGGGGGTCGGTGATCCTACTGGCATCTGGTGGGTGGAGACCAGGGATGCTGCTCAACACCCTACAGCGCACAGGATGCCCCACCACACAGAGTGGTCCAGCCCCACATGTCAGCAGTGCCTCAGTTGAGAAGCCCTGATCTATTTACTTCTCAGATTTCTCTATGCTTTAAAATTTGCCCTTTACATTTACGATCTATCTGGAATTCACTTCGGCACATGTTTAACTTTTATATTAAAAGGATCCCATCATTGCCTTTTTCTGATGTATGGATGCGATGAATTACATTGACAGCATGGACTATCCTTGCTTTCCTAGATCAAGCAGCATTTATTTCTTTACCATAGAGCCTGAGTTGCCTTGCCATGTTCTGTATTCAGGGGGCTTTTTCCATCTGTATAAAAACGCAATTAAACCTGTAAATCAAGATTTGGGTATCCAGGTCAGGACAATTCCTTAAAATAAATTAACATTCACTCTTTTGTAGGCTCAGAGATATGTCATAGTGCATGAACACTAGTTAATTCATCGTGGCCAATTTAATGGAAAATCCTTCATAACTGCCCAAATCCAGAATCTTTCTACCAGACCAGCCTTTGATAACGCTCTCAAATTCTCCCATTCTGACTGGGCAGCAGAAAATCTCTACTTCTTTGGGTGTCAACGTGGGTCATCTGAATTTCCATGGAAGGATCAAGCACTTCTTCAACACTTTCAATATTATCAGCAAAGCATTCTAGAGAGTACTTGCTTTTAAAATTTAAATTGCATCCAAAGTGACTATTTTGTCAAATGGAAGGTTTATTTGTTTGTTTTCTCAAATGGAAGGTTTACTTTTAAATAATCCAACACTTGAATTTGTTGTTTGTTCCCAAAGACTAGGTTTTTTGGGTTTCCGTTTTGAATTTCTTCCTTCTGTTTGCCCTATATATTTTTTTGTTTTCTTTTCTTTTAATTAAAACATTTTTGAACTAGATAATTTCTTCGCTGATTTTCATTTTTCTCTCTGGTATCACTGTAGCTGTCCCCTCTGGTTTGTGTAAGTAGCATTCACATAGCAATTACTGTTTAAACAGTATGTAACTCAAGCTTTCATTGGTTCACTGATCAAGTTATTTAGGAGAGAATTGCTGGTTTAAGATGTCCAAGCAGCCTGTTTTGTTTTGTTTTGTTTTAGTTTAACTGTTAACGTCTAGCTTTATACCATTATAGTCAAAGAATATAAAATTCCCTTCTTCCTCCAAGGAACATATTAAATGCCTCCTTGTACCATTAGTATAAAATCGATTTTTCTAAGTGATCCATGGTTGATGAGAGAGAAGAGTTTTGTTTACATAATGCGTAACATTTTAGAGACCCCTCATGCGTTGTTCATTAGATGAATTTACTTATGTGTTTGCTCTGTTTGTGAGTTAAAGACTAGGAGGGCTAAATAGACAGACTCTCCCACCATCATTCTCTCCAGGTCCACGCATATCTAATCGATTTTGTTTCTACGTTTTAGCTAACGATTGTTGATGCAGAAAGGATCATGTCCAATATAGAGATATATATATGTGAATTCGACACTTTTTCATCCAGCATCTCCCGCCTGAATTCTTACACTCAGAAAACAGTGGAACAGTCTCTGCTTTCTCTTTCCTCTCTGTGGCATCCAATATCTCTCTGTCCATCCTTTATTAAATAAATATATTGGATAAGATGGATTACTTTAACTGTGCCTAGTTTCATAAATATATTTACAACAATCGTTTACTCTTAACTCTAGGTTTTTACTGGTTTCCTTGCCCTGTTAAAAAGAACTTTCCCATTAAGTTCTGTATTTTCATACGACGCTCAGTCAACAGCCAACAATTTCCTTCAGTAGCAAACATCCTAAGCTCGTCCACGTGTGCGACTCTTTCTGTTGCTTCCCCGGAGAATGAGCAACGTGGCTGGACATAAGAGTCTTGGGTCCTAACGTTGTGGTTCCATAATTCCACATCTTCATTATTTTCTGACCTTTAATATTGTAATGAGGAAGCCTGAGGTCATCTAGATTTATTTTTCCCTTTGCAGACAAATCTGCTCTTATCAATATTGGAGGCCCATGGAAATACTTACCATGACAATTTAAAAAATTCTTCAATATACGTCTATGTAGGTTTTGATTTTTTATTTGGTGACATGCTTGGTGTCATCCATTTTCTCCCGGTATTTCTTCAACTCGGGAAATTTTCTTCAAGTATCTCTTCGTTTATCAAGATGATTTCATCTGCATTCAGCTTTTTATCAGGTACATCTCTGTTTTGGGGCTTCCTTCTCTATAAAGCTCTTCTCCAATACTGGAAAATATCTCACGTTTTCAAAAACAACCATTCTATAAATGGTGAGGCTGATTTTATTTAGTCATTAAACTACTAATTTAAGTTAAATTAAATTAATTTATTTTAAACTTCTCTAAAACATTTCTTAATGATTTTAATTGTTGGTGACCCATAACATCTCCCCATCTCATTCTGTTCCTGCTCTACACAGCCAGACCATTTTCAGCTAGTCTGTCATCTTACCTCACTTTTTATCATCGAGTCCATATTTTCCTGAATTTTATTGAAAGCACACCTCGGCTCTTTTCCCAACCCTCTTCTGTCTCCTGCGGTAACTCTTTCTCACAAGTATGCTCTTCCCCTGAACTTGAGTGTGGGACGACCCCACCTTAAGTTGGAGAAACTTTTGGTGGGCTCCATGGTGATTTTAATGCTTCCATGTCTTCACCTTGAAATAAGACCTGGGTTCTCCCACGTTATGGTCCCTCAGGCGTGGGGCGGGGAGAGTCTTCTGGTCTCCCCAGTACTGAGCTGGCCAAGGTAACTTGAAATCACTCATTTAATGATTTAACAGAGGAGAGGGCAGGAGGCTACATGAGGTACATTCCCACGTCTTTCCACTGTGGAATGACGCCGCTGTGCATGGAGCCAAGACTCCTCCCTCCGCTGACCCAGCTTCCTTTCCTAGTGCCACCTCTAAGCGGGATAATCCCTTCCTGGAATGGCCATCCAGCATGCCAGACGCAAGCCCATGCAAACTCCTCAAGGCTCCTTCAAACTCTGGGACTCTCCGTGGCCTCCAAGGCTGCCCACTCTCAAGATCAAAAGAGCAAAACACAGAGCCTGAGTCGCGTCTACCAACGGCCAAGTCCTGCCTTCAGCCGTCATCTCCTCTGCCCTCCCACGGTGGGGGAAAGGCCACTACCCTTCCTGACTCACCCTGCACACGAATGCCAAGCTCTTCTGGAAGCCGCCCCTGCACTGACAAAGTGGAGGAAGGTCATGATGCCCAGAAGCTCCATCACAAGCTCCTCCAAATGGCAGGCGTTTGGACCGTTTCTCCAGAAGCCCCACCTTCATGAAACGCTGCTGCTTCTGAGAAGGATGCTGGACATCTGCCCTCGCCTCCTTCCCCCATCTACACAGGGGCTGCCGTCAGATGCCACCCGCCCGGTTCCCCTCTGCTACAGGGCTTTCCTACTGGCAAATTCACAAAGGACCTTGGTTGGGGGGCGGGTGGTGACCAAAACGCATATGCTCCCATTTCCACGTGGTTCCAGGTTGCACCGAATGCTCTTTCACACATGCTCCCCTACAGCAAGAGTTTCGGAGCTTGAACATCCTGCCTGGCGTCACAGGAAAGGGAAGGTTGTAAATCCCATCAGGCAACTCCACATCCGAAGCTTACATCACTAACTCCCACTGTTCTCAATGTTCTTGCACTGGCTGCTTTCAAGAGAATTCTCTTGAATAGAAAAAAAAAAAAGAAAATAACATTCTATCCTCTCTTCCTCCATTGGCATCATCACTGTTCAAATGGACAGCTAAACTGAGGGGCCACCGGTTACCTGGAAGCAGCCAGAAGGAATCGTCTCCCAAGTGAACTAACGCAATTCATGATATTCTGATAACACCATCACGTGTCTCTCTACAAATGAGAACATTGCCACGCTCGAGTCTCAGAGTATATAAGGCACACGCTCTACAGAACAAGAGTGCTGAGCAGCTGCAGTGTTGTGTATCTGTGAGCATGCAGAGATGGAAGCATAGATGTCCCTATGAATCCAAGGATGGAGTCATCCGTGACCTCCCAACTCAACTCCTGCCTCATGATTTCAAGCTGAGCGTCTGTAGCTCCCAGACCCCTAAATCCCTGGTCCTAAATCAGGTCAGCCCATGGCACTCAGCTTTTCCCAGGAATCAAGTCCTGGACTCAACATGGCACTCAGCTCTTCCTAGGAAACAAGTCGTGGACCCATCATGGACCCATCATGACATGGACCCATCATGGACTCATCATGGATCCATCATGGAATAGACTCATCATGGATCTACTATGGCATGGACCCATCATGACATGGACCCATCATGGACTCATCATGGATCCATCATGGAATAGACTCATCATGGATCTACTATGGCATGGACCCTTCATGGCATGGACCTATCGTGGACTCATCATGGATCCATCATGGAATGGACCCATCATGGATCCACAATGGCATGGACCCATCATGGCAGGGACCCATCATGGACTCATCATGGACCCATCATGGACTCATCATGGATCCACCATGGACCCATCATGGAATGGACCCATCATGGATCCACCATGGCATGGACCCATCATGGCATGGACCTATCAGGGACTCATCATGGACCCATCATGGCATGGACCCATCACAGCATGGACCCATGATGGCATGAACCCATGATGGATCCATCACGGAACAAAACTCCCTTTGTTCCTACCTGCCAAAGCTTCCCTCTGTGGGACACTGTGTCTGCGGCAGCATGAAGTAACCAGGTGCCAATGGGAAGTCCCGCTTAGCCTGGACTTGTGCTGTATGCCCTACATTCCCTCCATGCCAGGGTCTCCCCTCTCCTTCCTCAGACCCTCCAACCCACCCTTGTTGACCACTGACCTTGGGACAGCTTGCGATCTCTTATCATAGTAAGGTGGCATAGTAAGGATAGTAGGTGGCAGAGTGGAGCATTGAGAGACAAGGACTCCAGAGCAAGCTGGGATCCTAGCTCTGCCCCTCATGCCTGAGTGGGTCTCAGGAAAGGTCAGAAGACAGCAGCAACAATAGCACCCAACCCAAGAGGAGTCTTGAGCTTTAAATGAGTGGAGTAGGTGTAAGAAGCTTGCAGTAGCGCCTCCTAAGAGCTGGCCGTTCGCATTGTCATCAGGCTGTCCCAGGAGTTCCAGCTCTCAGGACCCAGAGAATCTGGGCATCACGACTGCTGTGCTCTGGATGCTTATCTACCACCTGTCACACGCACAGCCAGGCTCCTCTCTCTACATGGTTGTTCTATCTCCTATCCTTGCCTGAATTGCCTACGTCCAGACTTCCTTTCCATGACAATCAAGAAAAACCGAGCTATCCTTGTACCCAGCCATGCATTCAGCAAAACAACAGAACTCCCATGCACAGTCACCTGGAGACACCGCTACACACCATCACAGGGAGAGATCCAACAGAGACACACGCTCAAGAGGAAGCAGAAACCTAGTCTACACATTGGATGGCTCTATAGAGCCAAATGTGAACTTCTACGATTTGGGGCTCAAATCTCCAACTTAGTTCATGATAGTTGCTTCTCAAATTCCCCCCCCCACCCCCCAAAAACTTTGACTTCTGAATTTCCATCGCTGAGACAATGAACAGTAAGCATACACAATATTATTTTCTAAGTACTCTGGAGTCAATGACACACCGTGACAGATTTCCCTACCTTACGGATGACTCGAGGGTCCTCTACAAATGCCAGATGACCCCCATGATTGCCAGCAGTCCAAGCCCAAGAATGGACCCATCATGGATCCACTATGGCATGGACCCATCATGGCATGGACCTATCCACGCCATGTTCCTGGGACCCCCTTGACCACAGTGGACCTTGCTTCCACTGGAGGAAGAGCCACCAGCTGGGCACAGGCGCATCTCCCAGTTTTACCTGAGCAGGCTGGACACGTGAGGGGTGATCAGCACCACCAGCTTCCTGGTCAGCCTCTGGTTCCTCAGTGACTGCCCCAGGACCAGGGCCCCCTGGCAGTAGACGTCATTGGTGGCCAGCGTGACAAAGGCCTGGTCAGACACTGTAGATAGAGACACAAACAGCAGAGTCACGCTCCTGACGGATCTCACGGGATGGCGGGTTGATGCTCGCTCCTCTTCTCCTGTCAAGGTCACAACTCATACCCACTAACCATTGGGTGTCCCACACGGGTTCCTCGGGCACACTCGCACACCTCCTTTCCTTAAACACACACACACACACACACACACACACACACACACACAGGAAAAGTGCGAGGAAATCCTCAACACGAGGCGAAGCCACCCAGAGTAGGACTAAAACGTCCTGATGCTACAAATCCGCCAATATGCACGCCTAAGACCGCTGGTTTTGTTTTGCACTCGGGTCTCAAAGACTCACCCAAAATATTTGAGTCTCAGCTGAAAACACTGTGAAAGGTGGAACAACACTGGGATTATCCCAGTGACAATGAAGATGCCCGCCCAGCTCAACAGAAGTGTGCTCCCTGGAGGAGCGGACAGATCCACTCATTAAATTCTGCACAGACCAGTTGTTGGAAAGACTTCAGCTCAAGGATATATGAGGTTGAGGAGACGGGAGAGGGGAAAATATATTGTTTCATTCACCAGGATGTTCTTAGTTTCCCAACGTCTCAAGAGGAGAGGAAGAAACTCAAAGGGCAGATCCAACTGATGGCAATCTTAAGTCTCAGGGCATAGTCGTGGCGTTAACTTCCACAGGGACTTGCAAACGATTGAATTCTTGGGTCCCCAAGAGCTTGTTGCCAGGATAAAGACAATGGGACAAAGAGATCCTTGCCTTGTGCCGGCTACTGTGCTGTCTGCAGAAATTAAAATTCGCGGCAGGTAGCCTGGGGCCAGAACACACAGGGCAGCCCCCGAGAGGCCCACAGACTCACAGTCATGCTAAATATGACCTGACAAATGGGGCTCCTGGGGTTCACGCCTTGACCTTTACATTCCATTGGGGTCAATTTCCAAATGTGCCTGTTGCAACAGGCTCCCGTCTACACACTGTCGGGTTTTTTCTTGGATGAGAAGGAATGAGAATTCCTGGCATCTCCACTGTGAGTTGAGAATTACAGACAGCAAACTGAAGAACTCAAGTCTGCAACCCAAAAGGTATGTGTCTGTCTATCTATCTATCTTGGTATCTATCTATCCATCATCTATCTATTTATCATCTATCTATCCATCTATCATCTATCTATCCATCTATCATTTATCTATCTATCTACCATCTATCTATCCATCTATCATCTATCTATCCATCTATCATTTATCTATCTATCTACCATCTATCTATCCATCTATCATCTATCTACCATCTATCATCTATTTCTCTATCATCTATCATCTATCTATCCATCTAACATCTATTATCTATCATCTATCTATCTATCATCTGTTATCTATCTACCATCCATGCATCTATCATCTATCTATCATTTATCTACAATCAATCTATTATCTATCATCTTTCTATCATCTATGAATAATCCATCATCTGTCATCTGTCTACCATCTGTGTAACTATGTGTCAAATCTATCATCTATCTACTATTTATCTATAAACAATCTATTATCTATCATCCGTCTATCACCTATCTATCTATAACCTGTCATCTATCATCTAGCTAGCTAGCTATTTACCATCCATCTATCTATCTATCTATGTATCATGTATCTATCTATCTATTTATCTATCTATCTAGTTTTTTTAAACAACTGGCTTAAAACAATGCACCGTTCACTCTCTAGGGACACAGATAGTATTCACAGAAATGTGCAGAACGAGAAAAATATGACGGAAAAGGTGAGACGCGTAGCTCTGCCACGAGGAGTTTGAGGGGCGGAGAGACATCCTGGTGGAAAACGTCCCAGAAAGAGGTCTGGAGGAAAACAAAGGTCCTTGGAGGACTCCTCCCCAGAGCTCACAGTGACTAGGGAAGCCCAGGACCAGAACAGACCACCCGTGACTACTGGCCGTCCAGAGAAGAGGACCATTAGGGGGGTCCTGATCCAGTGTGACTGGTGTCCTTATGAGAAGAGGAGATGAGGACGCAGACACGCACAGACGGACGACCACGTGAGGACACGGGGAGAGGACGCATCCACACGCCAAGGAGAGAGGCCTCAGGAGGACCCAGCCCTGCCCACACCTGGATCCCAGACATCCAGCCTCCAGGATGGGGAGACCATCAGTGTGTGTTGTTTAAGCCGCCCCATCTGTGGTCCTTTGTTATGGCCCCCGGAGCAAACTCATACAATGGGGCGTTAAAGTCAGGGAACAGACGCAGGCATGGTGTACCCACCCTGGGAAAACAATGACAGCGATCACCACGTTTAACTTCACATTCAATCGCCCTTCTCTGACTGAGGAATCACCTTTTTCCACCGAGCCTCATGTCCACCCTTGTAACGGTCTACTATATTTCCCACTGAAGCACTTCGGATCGGATCCTCCCCAAAGAAAAAGTAAATTCCCAACAGAGCTGCGGGATGAGTTCATCGTGGTGGTCGTTCCTGTTGGCTATTCCTGAAGAGAGCGTTCAATTCTTTCTAACCGGAAGGCGACATGAAGACGTGAAAAATATGTCACCAGCTCATTTTCTAATCCTTCATTGGTCAGAAGCACGTTCCACTGTACCTAAGAAAACTGATACTTCATTTGCTAGATTTGTTTTGACTCAACGTGGTTGATAAAAACGGGCTTCCCTCACTGGAGAGTTATAAAACCAGACGCCAGAACAAGTAAATTTTTGACCAGCTCGTGTTTCTGACCCACACGGTGTGGACGCATCGGCTGCTTCTGCATGAGAAACACCAACATCTATCGCGGGGGGGGAGGCCGAGAGGTCCTGGGAGCAGAGGGAACTGCCATGTCTGTGGACTGATCATTGAGCCTGTCAACAGGATGAAGACGGCAGCAGTGAAGAAAAGAGACCCTCTGGCCAGCGACCCCCAAGACGTGCGTCTCTGAATGTTAGCCACCACGGCCCCAGGCACGGTGCTGCAAATTCACGCCTGGATCTGCGCTCCATCTCAGCGCAAACTCAGAGCAGCGGATTCCAACGGAACAGAGGATGGAACGTTCACCGACAGACCTTCCGTTCCCACATGGCCTTTTACCCTGAAGAAACTACCAGACCACAAAGTTTTGGTGTGGCACCAAAGAACATCCCCCATTACCCAAGGCCACCGCACGGACAGGGCGAGCTTCCACGCAACATGGCGCCCGGGGGTCTGGATTTTTGGCACGAGCACAGAGCGGGAAAACACTGTCCTCCAGCCCCAGGTAAAGAAAAAAAGATATTCTTGCAAACTCAAGTGCAGCCTGAAGACTGTGCTGGCTGACAGTTTTACGATGATGCTAGGAGACACGTTTCCTTCTGTTCCTAGCCTGCCCTCCATTCAACTCATCTTCCAGCCTCCCCCCCGAAATAACACCGGCAGCTTCCTCCTCGGCCCCTCGCCTTTGCTGAAAGGTGGCTTTTGTTTCCTGCAAAGTGTTGGATGGCCACATCGGCCCTCCCAGCACATTCCAGGGCTGATGGAGATGGGTCCGCATGTCCGGGGTTGAATGCTGCCATTATGCAGGCCCTAGCGGCTTTGGGGGAACGTGGTTTTCATGCCGGAGACCTCCAAACCACTCCCTGGAACAGAGAAGGCTTTCTGCGTCCCCTCGGAGCCGAATCTCACAGCACGCCACAGAAAAGCCCCCTTTTGCCCCGGTCCCCGCAAACTCCCTTCCTATGGCCAGTGAGGAGGAAGACAGCACAGAAGCCGCTCGGCGAGTAACCACATCGCTCCTCTGGACAAAAACTAACCTGTTTTTTTAAAAACTGGACTCACGAATGATCCGGTCTGGTCTGATGCAACAGGGGGGTGTCTTAATACCAACAGGACAGGCCTCTTTCTCGCAAATATTCCGCATCACGTCTCTCCGCCTCTGAAGCCGACTGTCCCCATGTGATGTTCGAAAAACCCAAGGGCAGGCGGACAGGACCGAGTCTGAGCCCTGGAGGCCCAGGCCTTGCCAGAAGTCCCAGCCAGCCAGCCACCCTAGGCCGGCTGCCCTGGTCAGAGATTAACCAGAGCTCTTTATGGGAATAACAAATTATGGGGGGCGGGGGGGGGGTACCCAAAGGCCTTGACATCCCAGAGTTTTAGGGGCATGAACTTCCCGTTAATGTCTCCCACAGTTCAACACTATTGCCAAGAAACCAGCCCATATCAACTCTCAGAGCTTTTTTTTTTTTTTTTTTTTTTAATGAGTAGGGAGGCCCTAATAGGGAACCAGGTGTTTTGGGTTTTTTAAGGTTTTTTTTCTTCCGTGAGGAAGATTGGCCCTGAGCTAACATCTGTTGCCAATCTTCCTCTTTTTTTGTTTTTTGTTTTTTTTCCTCCCCAAAGTCCCAGTACATAGTTGTATATCCTGGTTGTGGGTCATTCTGGTCCTATGTGGGATGCTGCCACAGCGAGGCTTGATGAGCCGTGTGTAGGTCGGTGCCCAGGATCGGAACCGGTGAATTCAAGGCCGCCAAAGCGGAGCGCGCACACTTAACCCCTCGGCCCCAGGTAGGCCCCTCCCAGGGCTGTTTTTTACAGGAGAATGAGGAAATCCCAACGCCCCCCACCGAGCTATAAATGGTCCCCTCCCACATCTCCAACTGCTCTGGGTGACGCCAGCCCCCTCCAGCCCCGGGGAGACGTTGGGGAGGCAGATAATGGGAGATGAGAGGTTTGGGGGGATGGCGAGGGTAAAGCGGGGGTCTCGCCAAGCGCAGACTAATGTCCCGTGTGCCAGCAGGAACAGGGAGGCTGACGGAGAACAGCATTCGCGGACTCACCCGACATGGTCCGCGGCTCCGCGCGCAGTGGGCACCCAGGGGCCGGCTCGCGCCTGGGCGCGGTGGGTGGGACGGACTCCCCGGCCTCCAGCCGTGCCTAGCAGAGGCGTCGTCTCCGGGGGGCCGTGCAGATTTCCAGGCCTGCGGGCAACAGCTTTGCATTCTCAACACCCGTGGCTGCAGCCTCAACCTAGCGCCCCCCCCCCCCCACCCACCCACCCAACCCTGTGTCGCTTGGGTCCCGCTCAACCCTGGCCACCTCCACAACCCCCACACCCTGCACCTCCTCCTCCGCCCAGGCTCCCCTCGACCCCCTGCCCGCCCTGGAGTCACCTGGGACCCCATTGCACCCCGGCCACCCCCGCACCCCGCGTCTCCTCGGCGCTCCGCGACAGCCTCTGGCACCCAGCCTTTGCCCACCCGGTGTCCTCAGCGGCCCCACCGCGCTGGCACTTCCTCCTGGCTCCAGGGCAGCGTCTGCCCCCCCCCACCCCCCACCTCCCCGCCCCATGCCCCTGGATTCCCTACCCGCTCCTCTGCGCTCCGGGCGGCCCGTGCCGCCACCCTAGGCCGCCACTCCCCGATGACCCCCTTCCGCTCGGGCCCCCCCCACTGCACCCCACACCCCTGAACCTCACCCCTCCTCCGAATTCGGGCAGCCTCTGCCCGCCCCACCGGGGCCCCCGCCGCACCCAGGCGGCCTCCACGGCCCCCCGCACTCCTCTGCGTTCCCCGCACCGCCTGTGCGCTCGGGGCCGGCTCTGCCCCGCCCGGGATAGGCGCCCCCAGCTACCCGCTTCCGCTCGGCCCCCTACTGCGCCCCCACCCCCCACGCCTACCCCTCACCCCTCCTCCGAATTCGGGCAGCCTCTGCCAGCCCCCTCAGGTCCTCCGCCGCGCCCAGGCGGCCTCCACGCCCCCTGCCCTCCTCCTGCGTCCCCCTCACCGCCTGTGCGCTCCGGGCGGCCTCTGCCCCCATCCTGGCCCGGCGCCCCCCGATTCCTCCCTTCTGCTCCGGTCCGCCCCTGCACCCCGCTCCTCGCCGCTCCTCCGGACTCGGGCAGCCTGCGCCCCCCGCACCCCTGCGCCCCTCGCACCTCCTGCGCGCCCAGGCAGCCTCTGTGCCTCCGGGCCCCCGCCGCGCCCAGGCCGCCTCCACGCCCCCGGCACTCCTGTGCCCCCGGGCAGCCGCGGCCCGCCTGGTGCTGGGAGGCCCCGAGGACGGCGATTGGCCGCCCGCCGGAAGCCCGGCCCCACCCGCCCGCCGCGGGGACCGGGTCTCGGCCGCCACCGCCCCCGCCCCGCCTGGGGTCCGCCTCCGCCGCCGGCCGCGGGGAGAGCCGGGGAGGGGCGGTGGCTGCCTTACACTCCTGTCCCCGCCCCTGCCCCCCACAACCCCAGCCCTGCTGAATCCGGGAGGCCGCGGTTACTAGATTGGCACAGGTAACCTTTATCCAGCCCGTCCCAGAGTAAATGTTTGCCATGGCTGCGCGGGGCCTGGGCCCAAGGCCAGCGCGCTGCTCCGCCCACGGCCCAGGGAGGAGGCCGCGCGGGCAACAGCCCAGCCCGGCCTGGGCAGAAAAGAGTCTTACCGAATTCGGGGCTGCAGACTAGGAGAATGAATAAGTGAATGCATGCACGAGGGAATAAAGGAATGACTGAGTGAATGAGTGAGTTGAATGCCTGAATGAGTAAAGGAAGGAGTGAGTTCATGCAGGCATGAGTGGGTGCACGCAGGAGTGAATGAGTTCACGTAGGCGTGACTGAATGAATGACTGCGTGTACTCATGAATGAATGTGTGCATGTGCGTGAGTGAATTAATTCAATGCACGACTGAGTGAACGAATAAATGAGTGTGTGATGCATGCATGAAAATCAGCGCCCCCAGCCTTTTGCATCCAAGTCCTTTCTGGCTCCCCAAAGCTCCAGTGCTGGAGATAAGGGGCCTGGGAGGGACCCTCTGCGTGTGCTGGGTCTAGATCAGAGCCCCCAGGATCCAAGCCGGCAGGGACCTGTCTGGGAAGGCCAAGGTGCCCAGCTGGTCCTGGGGGTGGTGGGCAGTGGGACGGCACCCCTCATTGCAGCCAACTACAGGGGAGAGGGGAGGATGTGGACCAGGAATGCCAGCCCTTACGATTTGTCCTAAGAAGTCCCGGGTTATTTCATGGACTGTCCTGATTATGGGCAAGTCGTTCGAGTCAACAGTCCTGAACTGGGTGGGCCGAGGAGCTCTGTGGTTCAAATGTGGCGCCTCCCCCACCCCCACCCCGGGGCCACCAGTTTGAAACCTCCAGCTGCAGCATGAATACATTGAATGTACAGAGAGAAGGGAAGAGGAGCAGGGAAGCCGGCGCCCAGGGATGCAGTCCTGGGGAGCTGAGCATCTGGGACACACACCTTGAGTGTGGAAGAAGCAATTATTTCAGGAACTCTCCCATCTCGGTGGACCTCCTTGGTCCCGTAGCTTGTCATTGCACTGCTGTCTCAAGCGTGCAAGGGGCATATATATCAACAGAAGGACTTGACGTTCCTGTTGCGCAGGAACTGAGCAACTAGACTTCCTGCTCCACAAGTGTCACCTGGAGGGAGGGAACGGAGGGAGAAGAACCAGACGGGGTCATCTCCCCACTTAAACCAGCCCTGTGCCCCAGCATGTCCAACCCACGTCACTTCTACACCACCACTGCAGACGTCAACACAGTTAAAAATGACGAATGAGGTCTCCACATTATTATGAGAACCCTTTTGTCCCCCTGCCCCACCCCCCACGCAGTTGTGGGCCTCAGGGAACCCCCCCCCAGGGTTCCATATCTTACACTTTGAGAACCAAGACAATTCAGGCTCCAAAAGTGAGAAAAGAAATCTTAGAAGGGCCGAGGGGACGTCATCCATGGGAACCCTATCGGTGCAGTGGGCCGTGGATGTCCAAGGAATGTGGCTCCCCCGGAGCAGGGCTTTGCTGAATTTCATCTGATGCCCCATTATGATAAGTCCCCCCTCGCGACCCCACGGGGAATGGGGGCTTTGCCTGCTTAGGAGCGATCAGGGCTCCTTTGCCTTGGAGAAGAAGGGGAGGCACAGAGGAGGAAGGAGCCCCAAGTCCTCAGCACCCGGCCACAGAGACGGCAGTAACAGTTGATCATAGCTATCAGCCTTGACGGACAGATAGAGGAGGTGTTTCCAGCTCTAGGTTACAGATGGGCCCAGAGTGGTTAAGAAATCGCATCCAGGTGACGACGGAACTGGGCGAGGCCAGCTGGGAAACGTGAGGGCAGGGCCCCACCTCATCACGCTGACCCTATCCACACTCACGGCCTCAAAAATGCAGATCTAGGGAGCCGGCCTGGTGGTGTAATGGTTAGGTTCGTGCACTCCTCTTCAGCAGCCTGGGGTTTGTAGGTTCAGATCCCAGGCGTGGTCCTACACACTGGTTATCAAGCTATGCTGTGGCGGTGTCCCACATACAAAATAAGGAAGTTGGCAACAGATGTTCGCTCAGGGCCAATCTTCCTCACCGAAAAAAAAAAAAAGTGCAGATCTGGTGTGCAATGAGAGGATCCCTGGTCTGTCTCAACAGAAAAAGGGCATGGCCCTCCTTGGCCCCCTGGGGTGGTGTACACATGCTTGACCCATTACCAAGGCCTTATAAGATATCTGCAGGACTTCATAGAGCCTCTGGAAGGCTCCTTGAAATCCCTACCCTCTCTGAACCATCGGTGGAAGCATCAGGGTCCGAGAAGTTGTCAGTGGAGCATCCTCTGCTGTCGGTGCCTGGTTTTCTAGCTGCGCCCAGCCAGCCTAAAGGAGGAGAAACACTGTGGAGAAGCTGGACAGTGGCAGGAAGGGTCAGTTCTGATTCGAGTCCCGCTCAGCCCCCAACGGCCCCCTTGCTTCCAGAGGAAGGGGAGCCTTCCTGGCCTCAGCTTGTGCGGCTGTTGGCGCCAATACTGGCCAAGGGCCCCCTCCATCCTGGGCTATGGTCATCCCATGTGGCCCCATTCTGGCTTCTCCTGCTCCAGTGAGCAAACTGTAGAGTGCTGAGCTCCTGTGTGACCTCTGTGAGGAGGGCCCTCCTATGGGGAAAGTCTCCTATGAGACCATCCCAATAACAAGAGATCCATTTCAAAAGGTCCCAGACAGCTCCTGCCTCCTTCACGGCACGGGGGGACACTCCCAGCTGGTCCCCTTTCCCTGGGTTAGAAGTCACACCAGCAGGATATCCACCACCCACTAAGGGCCCTCAGAGCTGGGTAATTCTCTGATGTGGGGCCATGCTGTGCACTGTAGGGTGTGGAGCAGCATCCCTGATCTCCACTTTCCAGAAGCCCGGAGCATGCTCTCCCCAGCTGTGACATCAGAAATGTCTCCAGACATCACCAGTGTCCCCTGGGGGGCAGGCTCATTGCTGGATTGCTAAATATTGTAAAAAATAGATATAGATAGATAGATAGATGATAGATATAGGTACATAGATATAGATACATATATAGATGATAAATAGATGATACATAGATAGATAGGTAAATAGATAAATGATAGATAGATACAAAGATGGTAGATAGGTGACAGGAGATAGACAGAGAGATAGATAGATAGATAGATAGATAGATAGATAGATAGATAGATAGACAGATGATAGACAGATGATAGATGATAAATAGAGAAATAATAGATGATAGATAATACATAGAATGATAGATTATAGATCATTATAGATAATAGGTAGATGATAGATAACTAGGATGGATGGATAGATAGACAGACAGGTAGATAGACAGGGAGATAAACAGATAGATAGATAATTGGTAGATAGATCATAGATAGAGAAATGATAAATGATAGATAATACATGGAATGGTAGATTATACATCATTATAGATCAAGGTAGATGATAGATAACCAGGATGGATGGATGGGTAGATAGACAGATAGATTAGATAGATAGATGACAGATAAATAGAGAAATAATAGATGATAGATAATACATAGAATGATAGATTATAGATCACTATAGGTAATAGGTAGATGATAGATAACTAGGATGGATAGACAGATACATAGATAATTGGTAGATAAATGATAGAGAAATGGTAAATGATAAAATACATAGAATGGTAGATTATACATCATAGGTAGATGATAGATAACTAGGATGGATAGATAGATGGATGGATGGATAGACAGATGGATGGATAGATGGATGGATGGATGGATGGATGGATGGATGGATGGATAGATGGATGGATAGATGGATAGATGGATGGATGGATGGATGGATGGATAGATGGATGGATGGATGGATAGATGGATGGATGGATAGATTGATGGGTGGGTGGGTGGATGGATGGATGGATGGATGGATGGATGGATGGATAGATAGATAGATAGATGGATAGATAGATAGATGGATGGATGGATGGGTGGGTGGATAGATGGATGGATAGATAGATGGATAGATAGATAGATGGATGGACAGATATTAATCTCTCATGTGAGGTCAGGGTTTCTCAGCCTCAGCACTACTGACAATGGGGCCGGACCACTCTCTGTAGTGGGTCCTCCTGGGCGCTGTAGGGTGTTGGGCAGCATCCCTGGTCTCCACCCACCAGACGCCAGGAGCCAGACCTCCCTCCCAGTTGTAACAACCAGAAATCTCTCCAGACATGGCCCTGTGGCCTCTGGGGACCAAATCACCCCAGGCTGAGAAACTCCCCTGGAAGAAGAGAGACTTCTGGGTGGAAGCCGCCTAGGGCTGAGCCCTCTGCCAGACCCTAAGAAAAGACTTGGGAGCGTTCCATCTCCCAGATCATCCCACCACGTCTTCGAAGTTTGTGTCAGGGGTCTCTGCATGGAACGATCAAACACGAAACCCAGTGCACACCATCGGGGCTCTGCGTTCTCAAGATGGATGAATGCTGTCGGCCGAGGAGGAATTGATTAGCTGGTTAGCAGGCAAATGGCTGCCTCCCACCTCGCTCTCCGCAGCTCTCTCGCCCTCTCCCTGGCTGACACATGGCTCTCTCTCCAAGCTGAGCAAAAACCTCTGGGCTCCTTTACGCCCATCATGCGCCCCTGGGCAGCTTCCCAGGAGCAAAGGTCAAGTCATTCTGGGGTTCCGTCCTGGGGTCTTGCTTCTCGAGGGTCAAGCCTTTGCTGTGCTGGGCATCCTGTGCCATTAGGGTGTTGAGCAGCATCTCTGTTCTCCACCCACCGGATGCCAGGATTACCCCCACCCGGTTTT